GTGCAGTCCGGATAATCGACTCCCCGACTTCCCCGACTCGGAGTTAACCGCCTTATTGGTTTATCCGTTTCATTGGTTATGAGCCCGGGCCTACCATACTGACGTCTTAACAAACGCTTTGGTACCCCGGGGGCTCTATAGTCGCTTAACATCGTCTATAGACCGATCGATTGATCCCAACTGCGAGCCTCACCCTCGATTATCTTCCCACGAGATTATCGGCCAGTAATCCGCTCGGCGAAGTTTATTGAGTCGTGAGAACGCTACAATGACAGAAGAATCAGATATCGCGGAGAACCCCATGCCGCAATCAACGGCGCAGAGGCCTAGGGCAGGGCAAGGGAGGAATGGTAGGAAGCCAACAAAAGAGAATGGAATCAAGATATACCAATTTCCGATTGATAGGCTGAATGAGGAGAACGCTAGATACTGGTTTCATATGATGGAGGACCAGTTGAAGACCCAGTTTGCCTGGGAGGCGATTGAGTACTACCATGAGGTAGGAAGGGCAGAGTTCAATAAGATCTTGAAGGAGGATATGGACTGGTTTAAGATTAATCTGAAGGCGAATATGATTGTCCAGCAAGGCCTTTCACCAGCAACCATTCTGGAGATAAAAGATCAAGAGACTGCCGGGTTAAAATGGGATCGCCTAAAGGAGATGTTCTTGAAGTCATCAAACACCAGAAAGGCTATGAAGTTGATGAAGATGTCCAGTTGGACTTGGGATAATACGAGAATGAACGAGAAGGAAGCATTCCGTGAAATCAATCAACTGGGAGAGGAATTCATCGACATGAACAATAGCGAGATGGTGAATATCAGGGAGTTGATTGTGATCTGGTATCTGCGAGGATTGGGCAGTCAGTATACTACCTTGAGGGATACAGTGATGAGTTCAAACGCCACTTTAGATAAGGAATATGTCCTGAGCCGGGTCGAGGATCTCATGCAGATGAAAGGAGGATCTGCAGGTGAGAAAGGATCAAGGGTTCACAAAGATGGCAAGAGAAGGAAGAAAAGTGGATCAAAATGCTATGTCTGCGGGAAGGCAGGGCATTTCGCGAGGGAATGTCAGAACAAGCATGAGAGTGATGACGATGAGGATCATCAAAAATCCAAAGGTCGACAAGAAGGTCGACAAGGAAAATTGACAAAGCAAAAGGGGCGATTTGTCGGAGAGCGAAATAACAATAATGATGCCAATCAAGAAGAGCTGGATGAATTTAGCTCGTACGCGATAGAGAAATCGGAAGTGGGTCGATTTACGAGTGATAAGGCAAACCACGCAAGCAGCAGCAACCCATCAGTATGGTGTTTTGACAGCGGAGCCACAAGCATGTCAACCGGCAACAAAGATGTCTTTGAGAAGTTGGACCAGAGGAGCCGCGGAACTCTGACTGTTGCAGATGGAATTCAAATACCCATTGAGGGAAGAGGAACAGTGAAATTCACCCTGCCAAATGGGTCAATGGTCCGATTGAGTAACACCATATATGTACCAGGCTTGGCAGAGAATCTATTGTCATTAGAAGCGCTCCATGTTGTTGGATTCGAGTCAAGAGGAACGAAATGGGGTTATACAATACTGAAGGATGGCAAAGTAGTTGCCAAAGGACGACGAATTGGACGATCAACCTATCTGGATAGAGTTACGCACGCAAACGCTCTGTATGTGAAGCCAGAGCAAGCAAGAAAGTGCGCTGAGTTCATCACAAAGCCAGATGTGCAGTCAGTAATTCAACTGCTTAGTGGACGAGCCGCTAGAGCTGAAACTGAAAATGAGATCGACCAACGTCAGCAACTCATTCATCAACGACTTGGACACCCTGGAAAGAGACGTTTCAACGTCTGTGTTGAAGCCTTGAACTTGGACCAATTGAAAATTGGCAAACAGGATAAACTGCTTGAAAGTAATTGCGAAGTGTGCATCAAAGCAAAACAAGTGAAAAATCAGAGCCATGTTCCAGTTCCTAGAGCAAAGAGACCGCTTCAACGAGTATATATGGACTTTTGGGGTCCATACAATGAAGGCATAGGTGAAGAACGATATTACCTATCACTAATAGATGATTGCACACGGCATTCATGGGTCTTTATCAAGAAAAATCGGTTATCTAGCTCAGTGCAGAACACACTGGAAGTATGGCTGCGCCAGGTTGAACGAGAGACTGGCAAGATGCTATTGGTCATACGGACTGACAATGCAAAGGAGTTCCTAGCCTTGGAATCATGGGGCCTATTGAGAGGCATTCAATTTGAATTCATTGAGGCTCATACACCACCACAAAATGGTGTTGCGGAGCGATTCAACCGATATATTTTAGAAATCACGAGGGCTCTTCTATTCAATTCTGGCATCAACAAGAAATATTGGAAGTATGCAGTGGTGACTGCAAATTACCTCCGGAATCGAACAACGTTTGTCAAAGGTAGTGACAATAAGACGCCATTTGAGTTATGGTATGGGCACAAGCCAGATTTAGCCCATCTGAGAGTTTGGGGCTGCAGAGTACTTTATCACCACAAGTCTGATGACAAGTTGGAAAGTCGTGTTATGGCGGGAACCTTCCTACTGTATGGGAAGAGTGACAAGCAGTATTATGTTCTGCCAAATGGAGCCAGTGATATACGACTGGTAACCAATCCAACTTTCCGAGAGCGAGAACATGGTTATTTGACTGAGTTACTGCATACTAATGTGAACAGTATGCCATTGAATAATACATCAATGCCAATGGCCGTTGATACTGAGAAATCACCTGAGAACTCAGCGATCGGAGTTACAATGCAACATGGATCATTGAGTGGTCCTGAAGAACAACAAACAGAGGTTGTTAAGGATGGTGTACGCCCGCAAGGGGAGCCGGGCATATTAGCAGTTGACATGGAAAATACTCAACGAGATGCTCCCAATAGCCAGCCAGAGATGGAAGAGCCATCGCTACAAACATCCACGTGCGAGGTGGATAGTAGAAGGAATAAAGAAAGGCTGCACCAAAAATCCACGACTGAGGTGGATGATCGACGTGAAGAACTGCCATCAGAAGGGGGAATGGAACAGCAGAGTGTTCCTGAAAGGCATATAAATGAGAAAATGCGTGATTTGACCCCACAAGAGATTGGAGAGGTGCCTGTGGATGCTGATGAGAGCATGCAAAATGGACCACCTGAACGTCGTTCTATTCGTACACGACAACCATCAAGTGCATTGATGGAAAGCCGCCAAAGCGAGAAGGCATATGGCCGCAAGCGCAAAGCTGAAGGGGAGCAGGATGACAATCGTCCAGCTCAGCGCATGCGGGCCCAGTTGGCGAGACTAGCAGTAGCTACAGAGCTGCTGATTGGTGACAGGGAATATGAGGTTGCCAATAAAGCGCGTGAGAAAGCAGGTATACGGATACCAAAATCGTACAGTGAAGCCATCAATGATCCGATATATGGTGCTAAATGGAAAGAGGCTATACACAAAGAGCTGAGCACCTTGATAAGCTTCGGCACTTGGAGAGTCATATCCCGACAGAAAGCTGAAGGGACAATTTCATCAACCAGATGGGTGTTTGACGTGAAGTTAGGCCCGGATGGCCGAATTGAACGTTTCAAAGCCAGGCTGGTTGCTAGAGGAAATGAACAATCGGATGATGATTTTGATGAGACATTTGCACCGGTATTTCGACTAGATAGCCTGCGAATTTTGGTGGCTATAGCAGCCCAGCTGGGGCTGTTGGCACACGTGCTTGATGCAAAGAATGCATTCGCTGGATCAGACCTTGATAAACCTAATTGCATGGAAATCCCGGAGGGACTGCAGGATTTTGATCCAGAGGCTACTAGAGCTGGAGGCCTAGTCTTGGAGCTGCTGAAATCACTCTACGGCCTCCGCCAGTCTGCTAATCTATGGCATCGGAAAATTAGTGATTTCCTGAAGAAGATAGGGTTCAAACCGATTACCGCAGACCCTAGTGTTTTCATCAATGACAGGGGTCTGATCATTGCTGTGTATGTGGATGACATAGTGATATTTGGCAAGAGTGCCAAAGATATTGAGGTGGTGAAGAGGAAGCTCAAGGAGTTTCATCCAATGACTGATTCTGGATTAGTCAAGAAGCTATTGGGGATCCGCTTCACATGGGGAGAAGATGGGTCAATTCGCCTAGACCAGGAATCCTACGCACGTCAGATTCTGGAGGAGTTTGGCATGGCCGATTGCAATCCAGAAAGCATCCCGATTAGCCCAAGCGTCAAATTGAATTCGGAGGATAGTCCACCATTGGGAAGAAGCGAGCATAAACTGTTCCGGAGATTGATTGGGCGGTTGATATTTCTGGTTATAGCAACCAGACCAGATGTCGCCTTCGCAGTGAATCAGCTGTCTCAGTATCTCGCTGAACCTCGCCAAATCCACCTTGGAGCAGCCAAGCACATACTCCGATATATCAAAGGGGCTATCACCTTTGGATTAACGTTCAGTGCGAAGGGGAGACGCATAGAATTGAACGCCTATGCAGATTCCGCATATGCTAATTCGGCAAAGAGTCGGTCGACCACTGGCTTTATATTTATGATTGACGGAACACCGATTACCTGGATGAGCCGGAAGCAGTCAGTCACTGCGCAAAGTACAACAGAGGCTGAGTATATGGCAGTTTCAGAGGCTGCCAAACAGGCAATTTGGATCCGCCACTTCCTATACGCCATTGGAAAAGGATTGATTGGGCCTACAATCATATATGAAGACAACCGGGGTGCCATCCACCTAGCTGATAATCCTGTTGACCACCCGAAGACGAAGCACATAGCTGTTCGTTACCACGCTATTCGGGACCATATAGGCAATGGAGAGATTCGTCTTGAGCATCTGCCTACTGACAAGATGATTGCTGATGCTCTGACAAAGGCCACCCATCGCGACGCCCATACGCGATTTCTTGATAGCATGGGCATGGATTGATTGATGTGTGGAAGAAAGATTCAACATTTGGAAGTTGAAGTGTGCGTCCAACCGCCGCTTATCAAACTGTTAAATTGTTGTTGCCTTATTAGTTAGGTTGATGTTCGCGGCGATTGTACGAAGGGGAGTGATGAAAGTCGAGGTGGATCAATAGTTTGTCCGATTACCGAGGCCGGCAGATCCCTCATATACGGACACACACACTCGTTTAGATAGCCAAGCACTCATTCTACCATCTACGGTGTCTATAGATATCATTGTCACCCTCCGTATAATCTAAGTTTCTTCTTCATATATAGCCTCGTGCAGTCCGGATAATCGACTCCCCGACTTCCCCGACTCGGAGTTAACCGCCTTATTGGTTTATCCGTTTCACTGATCGTTTCCACAACTTCCAGAAAAATATCCGCAAAGATCTTGCATGCTTACGATGTGCACTGATTGCTGGTTATTGTCAAAGTGCCAATTATTGCCGATACTGCACAGAGTTCGAGTATCTGTATGACTGAGTATTCCACGTAAGCTATTCATTAAGTAGGCGGTATAGTCCAGCAGTACTCTGCAGAATTCTGTACTTCCCCTGAACAAACACAGCATGCCATGCCAATGTTACCAGTCAGATTCAGTTGATAGTTATTGATAATCTGCATATTATTGACAGCGAAGAATAAAGCATCGTTTTAGTATAGTACAAGTAATATCGTACAAGTATTATTGTGCTTTGTATGTATGTATGTATGTACCTGTGTGTTTCATACAAACCTTGGACTCCATCGCGGGCCTGCAATAACGGGGCAAAGTGGTTCTAGAATTACAGCTAGTCAGACCAGCGACTGGCGGCCGTTGCTCCTCTCTTCTGACACTGGTTTGTCGCAGTTTCGCAAAGCAGGCAGAATAGGAATATTTGTAGATGAACTGGCGATCCGTTCGTTTTTCTGTTCTTTTTCTTTTCTCCAGGATTCTTTCTTAGTAGTGAACTGTTGGACACCTCAAGTCCTCATAAACCTCAGTTCTCCTATTGACCTCCACGTGCTGTTCTCTTTTTTGCGCCTTTTTCTCTCTTTTATTTCTTCTTACCAGTGCCTCCTTTTTTTTTTTTTTGCTACCGTTCCCCATTATTCTTGTCCTATCTTCGCATCCAAACCATATAAAAAATTATCTCCGGTCGGCAACGCACCGCCTGGACCGGTGGCTGTTTTCCCCTCTCCTCCTACTCCCACTCGCTGGTCTCCAGCCATTCGGGACCCATCGACTACTGCTGATTGCTGCTGCTGCTGTTCACTCTTCCTTCATCCTTCCCGTTCCCATCTTCACCACTCCTTCTTCCTTATCCTAACCCCCTTCTCTAATTAACACTCCCACGATGAGTAACGAGGGCGGTTTTTCATCGCTCAAGTTCCGCCGGCCGTCGTCCAAGTTGCACAAAGATCCTCCCAGCTTCACTTCGCGGATTCTCAAAGGCCATCAAAGCCACACTTCACTCAAACGACACCCTTCTGCCCCAGTTGCTCCTCGTTCCTCTGCCGCTGCCGCCGGCCGTGACCATACTCGCACTAGATCCAACGCTTACGGTTCGTCATCATCGTCGCTGGAGCAGAACAACAGTAGCAACAATAATAGCGCTGGTGCTTCGCCCATTCTGTCCGGACCCGATGCTCATTCCCGTTCTTACCAACCTGCCCGCCCCGCCCGTTTTTCCCTCATCGAGCAATCCTCCGATGAACTAGTTGGTAGCCCCTTCGACACGCGGGGCATGCTAGATGCGTTAGACGAGACCGCCGCAGAGTCGGACCACCAGACGCCCACCTACTTCCCCCAACCGCCCCCTCAACAGCAAGCCTATCACTCTACGTCCAACCAAGAATCTTCTCGTGGTCTCAGACAGTCTGCCAGTTTTACTGCGCTACAGAACCGGATGGATTCGTTTCAGCAACGGCCCGACAATGACCGCCCCCCGAACCCCAAGCGGTTCTCCGACGAGGGGACTGTGACTTCCAAGCCCCCTATTGGGAGGAGTAAGAAGGCCAGCTTTTCTAGCTTTGTCAATAGCATGCTAGGCTCTCCGCGAGGCGTCAAGATTTCGGCCCCAGAGAACCCAGTCCATGTCACCCATGTGGGCTATGATAACCAGACCGGCCAATTCACCGGCCTTCCCAAGGAATGGCAGCGTCTCCTGCAGGAAAACGGTATCTCGAAGAAGGAACAGGAAGAACACCCTCAGACCATGGTTGACATTATGCGATTCTATGAAAAAAATGCTCGCGGTGACGACGAAGTGTGGCACAAGTTCGATCATGCCTATCCTCACCAGCAGCCCGCCGTTAGTCCCCTTGTTCTCACAAATACCCCCTCCCCGTACGGCCCGAGTGCGCAACAGACCTCTCCGCCCACCAGTCCTCGGTTCCCTCAGAATCATGAAGGCAGTTTCGAGAATCCACGAGCTCCGCCGCCGGTCCCTCGCGGCGCCTCTGGCATGATCCCTAACCGAGCACCTCCTAAGCCCCCGGTGCCCGCAAACATGACTCCAGCTCGACCAGCACCTCCACCGCCCGTTGCTTCGAGTCCATATGCAGGTGCCTCCGGTTCCTCGCAGGCTCTTGGCACCCCGGCCATTCCGGAGGCGGAAGCCTTTCCCAGCCAGCCTAGCGGTGGCAGTCCTGTCGCCCAGGTACCAGCTGGCGCCGTCACTACTCCCGCCCAATACCAGCAGCAGCAGGAGCAGGCGATGGCGGCCGCTCAGCAAGCCATCGCCCACCAGCAATTAACCCGAAGCCGCAGCCAGCGTCAGCCGGGCCACCAGCATCAAGGTTCCCACCAATTCGAACAACAGCAGGTGGCCGCTCCGGCCGCTCCAGCTGCTCCAGCCGCTCAGCCCACGCTTCCACCTCATACAGCTGCCCCTCCTGCAGCCCGTCCGCGACAACGTGTTCGTCAGAGCAATGGTATGGATATCCGGACTCGGTTGCTCGCCATCTGCACGCCGGGCGATCCCACACAGATGTACTACAATTTGAACAAGATTGGCCAGGGAGCATCTGGTGGCGTGTTTACTGCATACGAGAGGGGGTCACATGGTTGCGTGGCTATCAAGCAGATGAATTTGGAATTGCAACCAAAGAAGGATCTCATCATCAACGAGATTCTTGTCATGAAAGACAGCAAGCACAAAAACATTGTCAATTTCCTGGACAGTTACCTGTACGGCTTGGATCTGTGGGTCGTCATGGAATATATGGAGGGTGGTAGCTTGACCGATGTGGTGACTTATAACATCATGAGCGAACACCAAATCGCGGCCGTCTGCCGAGAGGTGAGTAAAATTCTACCTTCTTTTCATAGAAAGCTGACGCTAACATACCAATCAAGACTTTGAGCGGCTTGCAGCATCTTCACTCGAAGGGCGTCATCCACCGTGATATCAAATCAGACAACATCCTTCTCTCCATGGAAGGGAATATCAAGTTGAGTAAGTTATTTATTCCAGGATGTTACCCGCTTCGAACAGTCCTAATGCTCTTCTAGCCGATTTTGGTTTCTGTGCGCAGATCAACGATTCTCAGAACAAGCGGAACACTATGGTCGGCACACCTTATTGGATGGCCCCGGAAGTCGTGACCAGGAAGGAGTACGGACGGAAAGTTGACATCTGGAGTTTGGGAATTATGGCCATCGAAATGATCGAGGGCGAGCCTCCCTACCTGACGGAGTCGCCTCTCCGGGCACTTTACCTGATCGCTACGAACGGCACGCCCAGGATCAAAGAAGAGCATCAACTATCGCATATCTTTAAGGACTTCTTGTTCTTTGCACTGAAAGTCGACCCTGAGAAGAGAGCTTCGGCACATGACTTGTTGAAGGTGAGTGCGAATCGGATTCCGCTATGATTGATCAATCCACTAACTATGGATAGCACCCTTTTATGTCGCTCTGTGCGCCGCTGTCGCACCTGTCACCTCTTGTCAAGTCCGCGCGGATAAGTAAGGCCCAGGAGAAGGCCCAAAAGGGCAGCGCTTAATTGTTCTATACCCAGTCTTCCGGCCTTTCTACTTTGTCTCTCTTTTCATTTTTTTTCTTCCAGATACCCATACCTTACCCTTCCTGTCACTATCGCCTAATCGTGCTCCGTCCTTAAGCCGTCGTCTTTATCTCATTATACAGTGTCATAGATGGCGATCTATTGTTCGGCCTTTATTGTTACCTATTTCCTTTTTTTCGCCGTTTCATTCTTCATTCTGATGTCCTTTTTCCCTTCTATTACCCGCTAAAACCTCGGGTTTTCTATCATGATGGTTTTATTATATCTTTTTTCGGATGGTCTTCATTCTTTTCATGGGAAAACTGCTGTATATCTTATCGGGTTACTATTGTGTGTTTTTTTTTATCGATGCCCAAGCGATGGATTTTGAATAATATGGATCACCATGTCCAGCAAAAGCATTGTGCTAATATCTTTTTCTCGTTTTTAACAATTTATCTGTGACTTCTTGTTATATTCGTTTCCAATGTAATGCCGAATTTGCCTGAATACAGAAGAAGTATTTTGTTGAAATCGTACTATGTAGACTAGCTACGGTGGGCCTAGTATACGAGTACGGGCAGTGGGGAGGGCTATATTTCCCAGACCGGGCTGTGTTAGGCACAAGAAATGGAAGAAGGCAGCAATGAAGGTAGAGTAAAATAAGAACACACTAAACACAATCACCTTCAAAACAAATTCATCTGTTATTATATAACTGCTATATAACATCTTCCATCGTCATAGCTGAGCGGCCTGCTTACTCACTTCAGCTTGGCTTGCTCTCCGCCTGCGCGCTCTCCGTCACCTGCTTGTTCTTGTTCTTGTTCTCCAGGTGGCAGTCTTTCGATCTGCCTTTTCATTCAGCTACACCACAACTCGCCACCTACCTAAAACGGAGTATTTGACGATTTCGACTATCGCCATACGACTGCCTAAATCTCCATCGCACCAGACGATCTACACCCAGGCGAAAGAGTCGACCCGACGAACTACCTAACCTAACTCAACCTACCTCCCCGCATCCGCATTCCAAGCACACTACAATACAACAGACGATCTGCTATTCCTCGTGCGATATCTATTTGGTAAACGATCGGGTTGGACCAGGAAACGGATATTTCAGATAAATTAATAAAGAGAAGGGCCGATGTTTCGCGCACAGCAGAACCATTTCGACGACGCTGTCGGTATGTTTTGGCCTGCATCATACCGTGGGGCTGGGTCGTTATTGGAGAATCGCTAATTTGTTTTCTTATTTTGTGCAGCCAAAGCGACAGACGAGAATCTGACGTCGGAGAACTGGGAATTCATTCTTGTACGATACCTGCGATGGCGGAACTGAAATTGTGAATGAGAGCGCTGACGTTTATGTGCTTGGGTATAGGATGTCTGTGATAAAGTTGCTGCGGAAGAATCTGGGTACGTCGCCGTTTGCATCTGTTTTATGATATAATGTGGTATGAAACTGACGATGTGATAGCGCAAAGGATGCCGTGGCTGCGTTGATTAAGAGGCTGGCGCATAGGAATGCAAATGTCCAGTTATACACTTTGGAGGTTTGTCGAGTGGTCTCATCGAGTATATGGTTGGTCAGTGGCTGATCGGCCTAGCTTGCCAATGCTTTGGCGCAGAACTGTGGCCCGAAGATTCATCGGGAGTTGGCGTCCAGGAGTTTCACTGATGCTTTGCTGCGCCTTGCTAATGATCGGGTAAGTCTGCGCGAGAGGATACTGGATACGGATGTGCTGACTTTGTGCCATAGAACACCCACCAGCAAGTCAAGTCGAAGATTCTCGAGCGTATGGAAGAATGGACCGAGATGTTCGCCAACAACCCCGATTTCGGAATCATGGAGCAGGCATACATGAAGCTCAAGACAATTAGTAGGTTCCTGTATTAAAACCGCCCTCACATCGCAGCTGCTCATTAGTTAGATCCCAACCTACAGCCTCCTTCGAAGCCAGGCAAACGCGAAATCACCGACGTCGACCGCCAACAGGAAGAGGAGGAATTGCAGATGGCGTTGGCGCTTTCGATCAGGGACAAGCCCGCACCAGGAGGTCCGGGACCACAGGCCGAATCCAGCTCGTCCGCCGCTGTCTCCGCTCCTCAAACGTCACCGCCAGTGCAGCAGCAGCAGCAGCAGCAACAACAACAACAAGCGCAGGTGCAGGCACAAGCTCCTGTCCCCCTCCCGTCGGGAACCTCAGCTGCCACCATTTCGCGCGTGAGGGCATTGTATGATTTCCAGCCTTCGGAGACTGGCGAATTGCAGTTCCGGAAAGGAGACATCATTGCTGTCCTGGAGTCTGTGTACAAGGACTGGTGGAAGGGTTCGCTGAGAGGCCAGACCGGGATTTTCCCCCTTAATTATGTCGAGAAGCTTCCCGATCCGACAGTCGATGAATTGCAGCGCGAGGCTCAGATGGAGGGCGAGGTGTTCGGTCAGATTAAGAACGTGGAGAAGCTGTTGACGCTGCTGAGCACGCGTAATGCCGGACCGAATGCGCAGGATAATGAGGAGATTACTACGCTATACCATTCGACTTTGGCCATTCGACCTAAGTTAATTGAGTTGATTGGAAAATATTCGCAGAAGAAGGGTGAGATAGCAATTTCTCGGATAGCATGTTCTACTTGCTGATATATTCCAGACGAATTTACCCAACTGAACGAAAAGTTCATCAAGGCGCGACGTGATTATGAGGCGCTTTTGGAGGCATCTATGGCACAGCCTGGGCAGACATCTTATGCTAGACCTGGTCAACCCCCTTACGGATATCCTGCCGGGTTTTCTCAGGGACCTCCACCTCCACAGGCTGATCCCAACCGCTACTTTAGCCCGCGCCCTCAAGGTTTGTGATCTTTGCCTACCTAGCATTCCGGTTTATCTAACACCAAACAGACTCTCAACCGCTGCACCCTGGTGCATCTCCTTACTATGGCGGAGAGCAAACGGGTTACCCACCAGCTTCGCAATCCCCCGATCCTCGCAACCGCACACCCTCCGGCGGCTCCCCCTACCAGCAACCCCAACAACCCCCAACAGACGCATACCAACCAGTCCACCACCGCCCACAATCCACTTTCGACCACCCCCAAGAACTCGGAACATCCATCTACGACTCCCCCATCGACCGCCCCGCCGCCCAACAACTTCCCTATCCACCCGGCGGCGGACAAGTCCCACCAGTCATGCAACGCTTCCAACAACAGCAGCAACAGGCCCAGGCCCAACAAGAGTACTCGCCATCGGCCTACTCTCCAGAGGAGCCTAGCAGCCAGGCCCCCTATCCTACAGCTCCAGGCGCGCCCACGCATCAGCCTCCCCCTGTTCCTACAGGTGCATCAGCGAAGCCTACCACGCCTTATCCGTCTTTAACGCCAGGTGTGTCGAATGGGGAGGGCTATCAGGCTTATAATCCGTCGAGTTCGAATCCGAATTTATTTTACCGGTGAGCGGTCGGCATGGATTGAAGTGTGATTTGCTGCTGGTTTAACTAGGCTGTTGTCGATTAGGTGGTGGTAATATGGGAGGTTGCGTTGCTTGTGAAATGTTTATAGGTTATTCGGTATGCTTTTCTTTACTGCCTTGATATCTGGCGTATGCATTTGTTCTTAGCCCGTATAAGCTGTTGAATTTATCCAGGGTACATGCGCTTGGGTCTATTTGATACAATGCTCAGATAAAGCAACATCCAAGGCCGACGAGGCCGACAAATGTGTATAGCGCAGCCACTTACTAACAATTAATAAAGATGATTATTACAAAGCCATAGACAACCCCGCGAGCCTCGTAGTAAACTCGGAATGATAAATAACAGAATCAAATCTCCCGACATAATGTGAATTCATTCACTAGCATGGCTTCCCCTCAAAACATTCTTGTCATCGGCGCCGGGAGCTGGGCTACCAAGTCCTACACTTCCTGGCCCAGCACCCAAAACGTCAAGGAATAACTGTATCGGTATTGTTACGTCCAGCGGGGCAGTCTCTCCCCAGACAGTCCTAAACAGAAGAAGATCGACAGCCTTCAAAAGCTAGGGATTCACGTAGTCCCAACCGACATCATAAAAGACGACGAACAAACACTATCCTTGATCTTCGCCCGCTACGACACCATCATCGGCTGTACAGGTTTTGTCTCAGGCAGGGGGACACAAGTCAAGCTGACTCGCACCGCCATATCATCCGCCACCGGAAGAACCACAACCACGCGCTACATCCCCTGGCAGTTTGGTGTGGACTACGACATCATCGGGCGAGGCTCCGTGCAAGACGTGTTTGACGAGCAACTTGACGTTCGTGGCATGCTGCGTTCTTCTTCGCAAACAGATACCAACTTGCAGTGGACGATTATCTCCACAGGCATGTTCACGAGTTTCCTATTCGAGCCGTCATTTGGCGTCGTTGATCTTGAAAACGCTAGCATCTGTGCCCTGGGTAGCTGGGAGAATCGTGTCACGTTGACCACACCCGCGGATATTGGGAGGATAACAGCGGAAATAGTCCTGGGCTTGAACTCGAGCTCGAGTGCGGGCACTACTATTTCCTCCGACCCCAGCTCCAGCCCCAGCCCCGACTCCGGCAAGGTACTATTCATCGGCGGCGACACAATCAGCTACGCCGAGCTGGCATCGCTCGTCGAGAGAGAATCGTCCAGAAACCATTTCACAGGAGCCTCCTCAATGTGGGAGATGCGCAGAACGCTCTCGGCCGGGACCCGGGGAATGCGTTACTCAAGTATCAGGTTGTTTTTGAGCAGGGACAAGGGGTTTCGTGGGATCTGGAGGGGACATGGAATTGGCAGCGGGGGATACGTGCGATGACGACGGCGGAATGGGCGGAGGGGAATCTGACTATAGTGTGATGAGGTTTGCGTCGATTGAATTCTGTGGTTCTGGGAATTTACTTTGATTGTGGCTCGCTCGAATATATCCTGGGTACGTGTACATGGCTCGATGAGGTAGGGCTTAGGCGAACCAACTAGAGGCCAGACAATGTCAAAACATCAACAGCAAGGCTGATAGCTGGTCCCATTTTGCATACAACCAGTATCTATACATCAAAGAGATGAAATCATGTATCATTAACGCACACCCAATCCTCCCTACCCCCCAACAATCCCCGCAGACATCGACCCAAAAGACCCCTCCATATACACTACAACCCTATCTTTGAGATAAAAATTCCCCCCTTGCTCACTCGCACTCGTCAAATTCGCCGCATATGTAACCGCCTTACAACTCTTCTCCCCAGCCACAAGATCCTTATTATAATCAACAGACGACGCAATGCAGTCATTTAACGTGTATCGGAAGTAAGAAGGCTTCAGGCCCTTGACCGTCCCGTTTCCGTTTGCTGCGTCGTCACCGTTGGGCCAATCGACGCTGCAGTAGACGGCAAATAGGGAGCCAGTTGAGGTGCGGATGGTTGTGCCATTCATTGATGCAGGGGCAGGGTTTGAGGCCATGTCTATCGTGCCAGATGTTACGGGAGCGAAGAAGGTGGTTGAGGGTATTGTGGTAGATGAAGATGCTTTGGTGGGGGCTTGGGTTGCTGGTGCGTTGTTGGTGCTGTGTTGTCAACGGGTTAGTTTGGTATCAAAGGGAAGCGGAGTGAACGAGGTGCTTCGCTGACCTCGTTGTATCGGATTGTGCAGTATTATCATTATTGCTATTATTCCTTGCCGCTATCGTCCCACCGACTCCTCCCCCAACAGCACCGCCGATAACCATCGCCGAGAGTATCACAACAAACACCCAGAAAACAACAGGCTTCAAACCACAAATTGTCCTCTTCTGTCCTTGTCCTTGAGCAGCTGGTGGAGGCGCACTGGGCGGATATCCTGCTGTATTCAGAACATAATACGCGCCTCCATTACTATAAGGAGGGTGACAGTAAACTCCCGGCGTCTGGCTCTTAGGGCATGGTCGTGATGCATGAATCGACGCAGCTATCATAATTACCGTATCGGGAAATATATGTGGATTCTTGGGTTCGGGCCGATCCGCTAATTGAATCCGTTGCCTTAGGCCAGCAAAATAATCTAGTCGCACTTCAACGGAACGTTCATTTTTCTGTCGACATACTTCAATGCTTTTATCAAGCCATACCCCGCCTCGAAAATAATCATCCGTTGGTATTGACTATTTTAGTATCCACGATTGAATCCCACCATCCACAAGCCGGCATTTCGTGCCCTGTTTATTGTCCGGCAAGTGAAGGCTGAGCTGCGTGCCAGGGACGCGAATACTGTAGTGTCGATAATCAGTATATGGGGAAGATTGGGCTGCACATTTTGACTTACAGCCAGAAACCAGACCCGGTTGCCTGCTCTACCGTCCATCTCTGGGGTGTTTCGCTTCCGATGAGGGTTACGCCGTTTCCTGGTTAACACATAAGTGAGTAAACCAGACAGAAAGCGGGTTTTATGGTATGTCTGTACATACGTGGTGTTCCATCAATGGCCAGGAATTTAGCAGTAAATCCACTCTGCATGTAATATGATCCATCACCATTCTTCTGGATAAGCCATGTCTGGATCTCCTCGTTTCTAGGGTGGCTGTCACAAGTCAGAGAAGCTGTTGGTATAAGGAAGAAACACTCACTCGCCTATTATTATAGTCTCATCGCCAACGACTATATCTTCAAAGAGAACATTGCCGACGCTGTGGTTTTTGATTGTATACAGACTGGGTTTGAGTTCTTCCGGCATTGTCGCTTGATTTGGATGGTTCAATTTATTTTAAAATTGATAGATTCTCAGTAAACCGTATAATGTTGAGAGACTGAGTTTATTATATGCCACTGTTTTTATGTTTGAATCTCACATCATCATGTTTGTTTTTGTTCTGTTTCAGAATATTTGCCATTGAAATCCCAGCACGTTATGCCGCATGAGGGGCTATGGACAAGGTATATAAACCCTGATTATGAGGAATACGTGTCTAGGTGCTGCAGGAAGACAGGCGACACGCTGGTTGTAAGATGTCCTTTAAGTTGGAGTCGAATGTGTCGGTTCTGTTATTTCGTAGACCGATGAGACGATCAACACTCCGGGTTCCGAATCAACGTATGCGGTACTGAAGGTCTAGAATATTCCTTCTACTCTTATTCAGTCGGTAAATTAACAGTAGGGCATATGACTGATGGATATCAAATGTGGAGAATGTAAAGACAAATGAAAGGCGACGCTGTGAAGGGTGTTGGTAGTACATTATGCAGTGCCTGCATCGCTATCACATTGCAGATTGAGAAATAATTGGTTTCGTCGTGCTTCGTACACATGTGGCTCTACCATGTCAGGACATTGAAAGACTTTTCCATGATTACTACATTACTTCTTTCATGCTCGCGTCCAGCCCTTGGTAACGAATCATTCTCTTCGAAATTCTAAAAGACTACACTACACATAAAGCCTCGTTCATTATGGCCTGTATTTATGTCCCCATTTGCCAAATTTTCCAGATCTGGTTCGGATCAGGCGACGTCTCCACAAGCTGAAACCGAGGGGTTCCATTAGCGTAGATCCTGCTCGATCCATGATAAAATCCCAGTCAACATGCAGCAAGCTCAAAGCATAGCACTTACCTGTAATAGAAGTTACAATCTTCATGAACCACTTCTACAATCCACACTTGGGACTCGTCTCGTCCCATAACAGACGAATAGGCTCCTGATATAATAATAAATATGTTAGTCAACTCGAAGGAACAGGAGCTTTGATCAATGGCTGATTACCTGACGGGCTTACCACAAGGTACTTTCCAGACCCATTGCGGATATGGAAGTAATATCCTTCACCCCAGATGTACCAAAGCTGGTGCGGATCGCAGTCTGTCGTGAAACTGCTGCCATTCAGCCAGTCAGAAAAGACTCGTTGCTTTGCTGAGTAGCGCTTACCTAATTGTTACTGTGGAATGATCAGATGCTGACACCACGGGCTTTTTGTATGGCGTGGTTTTGTTTGTTATGCAGTAGTGACCAGATCCAATCTCTGAAACTGTTGTGATGGATTGGTTTTGGCTAAAAATGTCTTTTTAGTGTTGAAGAACCTAGATGTATATATACTCTGTTATTATGTAGAATACCGAAGATGTCGTATAGATGCTTATTCTGCAGATGTAAGTCTGTCACACCGCAAGTCAGCGTATAATGGGAATTAGATATAAATTGAGATTGTTTCGGCATTCTGGGTCGAGACTTACAATGGTAGCAGTTCAATACACATTTTATTAAAACAATTGGAGTACTTAATGATGCTCCTTTGTTCTCTAGTTTGCAAACCTACCACTTTCAAATAACCGATAGGCTAATGTCCGAAAAGGCACAGAAATCGGTTCCGAGCTAAATAAGATTTGCAGGTAGCCAAGGATGATATGTTGTGCATACTGCTCCGCCTGCAAGCGATCCCAAATAAAAGTACAAGGCTCTGCCCTAACACCCTTGCAGAGTGTGTTGGCATTGCCGTGTTTGCCCTTCGATTCGGTCACATGATGCATCATTATTTATACCTGCTGACGGGACTTTCCTTCTTCATTCAATATACTATAGAGGGTCAGATCTTCCCCTAAATATCCACCATAGAGTACGCTCTCGTTAGGATCACCGATATGCATCTTCTGGATCTACCACTTGAAATATTCCGCCATATTATTAAGCTATATTTCAATAGCATACCATTTGTGTTGGCTTATGATTTGAAAAATGTTCAGCTTGTGAACAGTCAGTGTCTCCATCGTCTTGGCCCGCGCAAAACTGTCATACTGATAAGACCATAGGGCTCTTTCATCAAGAAGTGACACGAACTGCTTGCCATATGCTCCACCGCTTGGCTCTAGAATATTATCCTGCTCACTCCCTCCAGCGCTGGGCATCCAGCAAATACGGTAATAATTATCTCGGCCACACTATCAAGAGTGTCAGTTCGCAAGTCATGAAGCATAGCCGTGCTAGTGAAGCAGAACTTTTTACCACCGATAACCAAGGATACCAACTCTCCTTGCTCGTATCACGCGCAGCCATCAAATTTATGGCTAAGGATTTGTTTGCGGTGACTAGCGTACTACGAGGAGAACAGAATCTCCCACGCAATTATCAACCCTGCCCAAATGATATAGATTACATCATTCAACTCGACGCGCATGAATTTGCCCAGTCAATGAGAACTGGATCTGGCCAGCAAAGCGATGCACCAGAGCATGTTCTATCTGTAGCAGCCTATCTGGGGGATGTTTCCCTGGTTGAAAATCACCTTGCACAGGGCGTGGATTTAAAGGTGCGAAGCAATATCTTTGGTCCCCCATTGCGGAATGCTGCGCTGGGAGGTCATTTGGAAATTTTAAGGGCTCTCCTCGACAAAGGGGCCAATGCGGACAGTGGGTGCCTTCCCGGAACTGAAGAAGGCTGGCAGGTGGTTAAGGGACAGCATCATGAGAAGACTTCTTTTGAAAAATGGATTCCTAATACCACCGATCTTCCTTCTACTGCAGTCGAAGCTGCGGCTCGAAACGGACACAGAGAGGTCCTGCAACTTCTTCTAAAACCAGAATTTGGCATTCCGAGATCATCTTATAGCTATTTAATGTCAATTACCTTTGCTGCTATAGGAGGAGATGCTGAAATGATTCGCATTCTCGCTGAGACTGCGGACTATAGTGCTATTTCAAAGAAGTCACTTCAGGAACTGTGGTACATTTCGCTCCGCCATGCAGCATCCTCAGGTAATATCAAGACCATTCCCCTACTGTTGGAAAAAGGAGCAGAGATCAATCGAGAACACGTTGACGAAGATCTACTTGATAGAAGTACGCCATTAGGGCGCGCCGCTTTCAATGGCCGTAACGAAGCGATAGCACTTTTACTGCAAAAAGGGGCTGATATCAACGGTGGGCGTCTCCATCCACTTTATCTGGCGATTAAGATGGGATTTCGTCGGACTGTGGAGTTACTGTTAGACCACGGAGTGGAAGTCAAATCCAAATTTTTGACAGATGCAGTCCGGTATAACCACACAGATATCATCCAGCTTTTCTTTGAAAGGGGTATGTGTGATATGCCTGATAGCTTCAAGAATTGAGAATGTGATATGCACCGTCTGGAAAAGCTGTTGGGTTTATGTGCGCTGAAAGTGCTATAGAGAAAAGGTCTCAATCGAGGTACGCATGAGCAATTAAAATGAGATTGTGGTATGACTTTTCATTATCGGAAAGCAATAGGTGAATATTCATCTTTCCAAGTCAGATGCGGTAATAGTCTAGTCTGTTGGTTGAAACCATTGAATTTATATATTTGCATATGGTTGGTGCTCTTTACATAATATACCTGGGACACCGAATCAGATATCCCTGGACCGTTATCTTGGCGATTTGAGACTGACTTGCTGCCTATAGGGATACTTAAAAAAGGGTTTATAGTATGATCTGCTCTATTCTCATACTTACCTATTGTAGAATCACGTGATCATAGGCACCTCCGCCGCCCTCTACTCGACAACGACCGCGACGACATCAGACGATTCTCTTTAACAACTACTAATTTACCAGTGGACGACCACGAACGAGTTTTCGCGATCATCGACATATTATATTTTACGCAACCACATATCTTAAACGACCTTGCATTTACCCCTTGGTTCGATCTGTGAAAGCTTCCCCGCAATCGCGCGCCCTCGCCGAACGATGCCCGATTTCGCTCTTTTTGAGTATTGGCAGGACCTGACCATTCTTTAAATATTCGTTACGACAGACATTATACGCAATTTAATCATTCGAGGAAAGAAGAGAGAGATAATCTTTGAGAACCTGGGGGGCATTACTGCCCAGGTCAACCATCATGGAAGCCGATTGGGATGAGCTATCGCGCATCCCGGTGCCTCCTCCAGGCCCGCATGCGCTGCCGACAATTGCCACGACTATTGCTTTTGATGATGTAATGGAGCTTTTGTGGATGGGAAATGAGTTCGTAAGTACTGTACCCTGGGCTTTTTGCGGGTTTATCTGACCTTTATTGTCTCGTAGGGGCGGGTTATGTCGTTTTACGGGCCGGAATTACAGAGGTATACCTCCGTACGAGCACACCCTACCACCGAAGGCTTGGTACGGCAAATATTATTCCATGAAAGGGGAGTTATCTCGCTATCTTCGAAGAGTGTGCACATGATATCCCGACGTGGCCTCACGCAATGGCACGTTTCCCACGATGAAATGACCGACTTGCGGTGCATGAGTTTTACGGCGCAAACAAACCGGATTATTGTGGCGGGATGTCAACGGAGCATGTTCACGATCGATATTGATAAGGGCATTGTTGTCGACAAGCTACCCACCGACCACAACTATACAATCATGAAGAAGAGTCGGTATCTGTGTGCCGGGACAGACGCGGGGTTGGTGAATGCGCTCAGTTTGCTTGATTTCCGCGTCATCAAGTCTTGGAAGGCACATGGAACTGCGGTCAACGATATGGATGCCCGCAGCGACCTGCTGGTGACCTGTGGATTCTCAGCCAGGCAGATGGGCGCTCCGATTGCCGACCCGCTCGCCAACGTTTATGATCTGAAGACATTGGCGCCGTTACCTCCGATCCCTTTTCATGCTGGTGCGGCTTATGTGCGCATGCATCCGAAACTCCATACCACCAGCTTTGTGGCGTCTCAGACCGGGCAGCTGCAAGTAGTGGATCTCATGAACCCTAATGCCGTCAACCTTCGTCAAGCCAACGTTCCTTTCATGCTTGGCATTGACCTGTCACCTTCCGGAGAAGCTCTAGCTATTAATGATACGGAGTGCTCGATTCACCTTTGGGGTTCTCCCGCAAAGGTACATTTCAATGAAATGAGTAGAGAGGTTGAGTTTGCAGATGTTACACCGCGCCCACCTGCTCTCGACTGGTCTCTCGAAACACCATTGAACATGATCGGCATGCCTTATTACCATGAGCGCCTATTTTCTGCCTGGCCTAGTCACCTAGTTTTTGAAGTCGGCAGCCCACCAGCTCCTATCGATCCCTCTATAATACCCTATCTCCGTCCTGCCGAGATGGGCCATGGCGCACCAAATCCAAAGAAGACTAGACGGTATCAAGTTGAAAACACCCGCGCATTAGCATCTCCTGAGCCTGCGCTCATTGCCCCGAAGTTCCTGAGTGAGAAGGCACGGGAACAAAACAAAGCTAAATTGGATGGGTCACTCAGTGATACTGCAGAAGCTTTGGCGGGTGCAAAAATCAACGGAAAATCGGACGACGACCCACTCCTCAAATATAGTAATGTCGAAATCAAGTACAGTAGGTTTGGTGTTGACGATTTCGACTTCAGGTATGCCCTCAGACTTCCCTTCTCTCTTTTGTTTTTACTTCGCAGACTACTAATCTCCATTAGGTTCTACAACAAGACGGTCTTCTCTGGTCTTGAAACACACATCGCAAACTCCTTTGCTAACGCCCTCCTCCAACTCTTCAAATTTATCCCACTCGTCCGAAATCTGGCACTTCACCACGCCGCCAGCTCTTGTATCTTCGAGAGCTGCCTTTTATGTGAGATGGGCTATCTCTTTGACATGCTCGAAAAGGCAAAAGGCCAAAACTGCCAGGCCACCAACCTATTGAAAACCTTCAGTAGCTTTCGGGAAGCATCGAATCTGGGCCTACTGGAAGAGAATCTCACCACCAAGTCTCTTTCGACAGCTATTCAATCGGTCAACCGGTTCTTCCTTGGCCAGATCGCTCATGATTCACGCATGGTACTGCCAAATAGTGATGATTTTGATCGTCATCTTACTACACTCGCGTCGGAATCAATCCGGTGCATGTTCTGCCAGAATGAAATTGTCAGAGCCGGGAACTCATCGCTGACGGAATTAATATACCCACCTGTCGATGTTAAACAAGTTCGAAGGCACCCGGCATATCGATTTTCAAACATTCTCAGAGCCAGTATTGAGCGAGAAACCCAAAATAGAGGGTGGTGCAATTACTGCCGACGCTACCAGCAAGTCGCCATTCGGAAAACAGTACACCGTATGCCGCTCGTTTTGATGATCAACGCGGCGCTCAACAACACGATATGCCGGCGACTTTGGGCGATGCCTGGCTGGCTCCCGGAACAGGTTGGCCTTGTTGTTGACAATGGCCAAATCATGTGCTATGAAGGGGAAGATTTGAAGGCGCGAATGCAGAATAATATGCCGGGTCTCTTGATATACGACCTGGTTGGTATTGTTTCGGAGATTGATATTCCGGAGCATCAAAAGCCCCACCTTGTCTCGTTTATTAACGTTTCAATCTCTGCTCGGGAAAAGCAGGAAAGGAATAGATGGCATTTGTTCAACGATTTCTTGGTCACCGAAGTGGACAAGGACGAGGCACTTAGGTTTAATCAGCCCTGGAAAGTCCCTTGCGTCTTGTCATACCAGGTTCGGGACGCCCGTCATGCGATTGATGACACCTGGAAACAGTTGCTTGATACCACTCTTCTTTTCCGCGAGTGGTCTTTGAAGTAAGCTGAACCCTATACATACTAGCAAGAATGTTCACTAATACGACGCTTAACAGTGGTGGCCGTCCGATCGAATCATGCCGTAAACTCACAGAAAAAGAAAAGCCATCACCCGGAATACCCGTCGCTCTTGACACGGAGTTTGTCGACCTAGAAAAAGCGGAGATCGATGTCAAAGCCGATGGATCGCAGGAGATTGTTCGACCGAGCAGGAGCGGACTTGCTCGAGTCTCTGTGCTGCGCGGCGCGGGATTACAAGAGGGCATTCCTTTCATTGACGACTATATTACGATCAAGGAAACTATTGTCGACTACGTGACACAGTATTCTGGTATCAAGCCTAGCGATTTGGATCTGAGGACCAGTGAGCACAATCTTGTCCCACTCAAAATTGCATACAAGAAACTCTGGCTTCTTCTGAACTTGGGATGCATCTTTGTCGGACATGGCTTAGCCTCCGACTTCCGCCAAATTAACATCCAGGTTCCCAAGAGCCAGACCGTGGATACACAATATCTCTATTTCCACCCTGCAAAGAACCGTCGTCTCAGTCTTCGGTATCTTGCCTGGGCAGTATTCAAAGAATTCATCCAAGAAGAACCTACGGACCCCAGTCAGGGCCATGACTCAATCGAAGACGCCCGTATGGCACTCCGTCTCTGGAAAAAGTTCCAGGAGTATGAAGATGCAGGTATCGTCAATCAAATATTAGAAGAAATTTTCCGCGAAGGAGCTAAGCTTGGATTCCGGCCTCCCCCTCGAAACGGCACAGCAGCCGTTCTTTCTCGTCCCGGGACCGCTGTGACCATGCAAGCATCCAACGGCGCCAGCACACCTACCGGACAAGAAAATGTCCCACCACCAGTTAGCACACCGACTACGCCTCGCCAAGGGTTTCGTCGGACGATTGCTTTGACACCTAGTAACGGCAGCTTCACCAGTCCTGGGACAGGTGATTTCTTCACTGGGAGTCCTTTGCGGTGATTGATATATGGTTGGATTAGCATTAGTTTTAGCGACCCCTTTTTTGTATACCTTTTCTGGGATGATGTGATAGATGTGGGGTTTTTATATACTGGACCCTTCTTGAACAATTTCCAATAGCTTTACTTCACAATAGAGAGAACACAGAATTTTCTAATGATGCCTTGTGGTCCTTCCTTTCCTATCTAGTTTTGACCCCCTTGTAAACATCGAACCCTCATACAGTCGTTTTCAGTGCTGTTTGAGAGAAATTAGTGATCGCTTAACCACCTGACTACCCACCTTATTGTCAACTCTTGCGAACAAAGACATGGATGCTGCAAGGGAAATACAACCACATCCATCATGTTGATTACTCTATCCATCATGACTCGCCTCTTGGTCCATTGTATGGATTTCAGTCAACGCTATCTGAATGTGTTGGTGCTAGCACTTACGTTGGCAGACGCATCATCTTTTCACAGCTACATTTTTTTCTCTGATTAGTGATGTCGGAGATCTGGAAATGGCAAGAAAGGTGGTTGAACCGCTGAATGAGAAGCTCCCTACACTTGCAAGCTGCAATATTCGCCTGGGTAGCGTTCCTGATATTTCTCTCCAAAATCTGGCATATAGGATAGCGACTCTGGAAATGGAATGGACTTGGAGTCCTTAAGGGTTCATTTAGGTTTTTGGACTTGCCGCAGGAGCTTCAGTATGAAATCCTAGAATATACGGAATTCGTTACCCCATGCCGGGAGATCACTTGGATCCTGAGGAAGGGTTCTATCTGCATTATAAGTTTGAAGACTGGATTAGGAACTGTCCACCTGAGAATCACTACACCTGTCAGTCTTGTTTTGAAACTGGTACCAGCGTTTGAACAATGGACGGTTCTGCTACTCTTAACATGCAATGTCCTCAACTATCTGCAACTGCTAGTGTCCACCAATGCCACTGTTTCTTATCTCATAATCTTTGCAGCATCTTGCTCGGACCATATTCTTTCCCAGAAACTGTTTCATCATGTCATCTAGAGGACCATTTTATGCAGCCGCGAAACCTGCTGTGTTGGACCGCCTTGAAACATTAATCTTCCTACGGGATGTGGTTCCTCTCAGAATGCTTCATTCTCTCAAATCTCTTGAAGTCATCTTTCCACCAACAAGTCCGGGCTGCATTTCCCTAGGATCGCCCACCCACCAATATTCGATTGAATTGATATCCTATGTGCAAAGCAAGCTCAATCTACCGTGCCTCACTCTGCGCATCTACTTTCCTCATCTCCACTCATCCAAGATAAGATGCTCCATCGCAAAAGCGCATTTACCAGAGAAGAAGACATGCAATCGATCGTGTCCATGCTCGAGTCAATGGCTTCTCCATTCTCGCAGTTAGGAAATAGACTCGGCCGATGTTTTGTACACGGCACTTGACATTGACTCGGGGTTCTTCTACTCAGAATTACATGCAGGACGTGGAAAGGGATCTAGTTCAAATTGAGAGGAGTTTGGAGAGACGAGTCATGGGGGATGATGGCTATGATAGTAGGTCGATGGAGGAAACGAGGCAAAGGGGAGTCAATGACTAGAGATATGGATAATTTGCCTGATTTTTTGGTTCAATGAGTTCCTTGGTGAATGAAAGATCTATGCATGTAAATACTAGCCAGTATGCTCTGAAACTCATAGATTTATGCAAGCAATAAGAGTATGCATATTAATGCACAAAGCACAAGTGGAGAATGACGTGGTGGGAAACCTGCGCTGCTCCCCGCCAACGACCATCCGCAACCTTTTCTCGCTCTTTCTTCTGTTTCCCTTTCACGAATTTCGTTCTACTCAGAACTGATAGATTCAAAACCTTTTGGCTGCTTGAAGCCTTATTTAAACTTAATCCTCACCAATCTAGCAACCTTTCCTACAAACAGTGAGCCAGGCGGCGATTCTCACCCCACCATGTCGCGACATCGCATGAAAACCGTGAGTTACGACGACGATTTTGAAGATGACGATGGCTACGACTCGCCCGACCCCGAAGAGCAGGAGTTTCTGGAACAGTGTACGAAAGATGTGCTTGGACAGCTTCGCTCGGGGGAACCGTCAGTGACCGCAACGAGGGATGAAGTCCAGGAGGCATTGTGGCATTACTATAATGACGTAGAAAAGTCGGCGAATTATTTGAGGGGTTAGTTACTCTACTTAAATAGTGAATTTTGGGGTAATACTAACGCTGGGTTGATTAGGCAAGAAAGCAAAGGAGATCCAGAAGAAGCAGACTCCCGCGACGGCGAAGCCGAAAGGTAAGCAAGTCCCTTTTTTCATATTTGCACTGTGTGGTTGGGTTCGAGTCATTTGCGGTGGCCCGATTGTGATGTGATCAAGGTATGTGTGCATGCGCCCCCCTCTGCTTGCTTAGCGTGGTCGATCGATTAAACGAAGAAGATTTCAAACTGACACTGGTGCGGAAGTTGAGCATGTTCTAACAGGTCTCTCAGTGCTGGCATACCCAATTCCCTCCCCGACAACCTCTCCGCAGATAGCGCACTTCTCGGCGTCAGAGTTCTTTCGCGATTCGCCATGGTTGAACGTACCTTCGCATCGTAAAGCCGATATCCTCGTGGAGCCTTTATATCCTCGAATGGGTCTTTTGGGTGGAGCGCCTGAGAGCAGCGGGAAGGTGTCCAAGCTGGCTGCGTTGGCTGCTGCACGGAAGAAGAAAGAAGGAGAGAAACCGCCTGTAGAAGCAACACCGGCTGTCGCTACTCCGAGCGCAGATAAGACCCCTGAGACACCTGCGACGGAGGCAAAACCGAGCTCGTTGTCGCTGCGTGAGAGACTGGCTGCCAATGATAAACCGCGAAAGCCATCGAATGGTATATCGACTCTTCGCTCCCTTGGCAAGGGCAGTCCGGCACCTTCTCCACTTCTGAAGAAACCAACACCCGAGCCAATGAAGCCCGAAGCTCCCACAGAACCTGGACTGGAAGGACCAGCAGAGAATGGCCAGGCGGATCACAAGGAAAAGGAAGAGCCTGAAGTGAACATTCGTGCGCCACCGTCCGGCTTTGCGAGCACGATTGTTGGAGACAGCACACGTCCGACGATGACCGAACCCAGCCACTTGCATTCCAACACCGCTGATTTGATACGAATTTACGGTCAAGATCTTACTGAACCTTTTGACTTTGCAGGCCCCAGTCCCGACGATGTGGTCGTGAATGCACAGAGCTCAGCAAAAGGTTTGGCTATTCGGAGAAAAATATGAGATCCCACCTAATACATTGCAGGCTTCAAGTCGAAACAGCCTGCGGCCAAGTCAGCAGGCGGTAAGAAGGCCCAGGGCGATCTGGCAGGTGGTATGGGCGACTTGAGTGTTGCGGAGAAGGTGAATGTGAAGAGCAAAAACCTTGACGTGTTGTCGGAGTACAAGAAGTCGAATCGGAAGAAGAGTGCCAATTTTGTTGTTATTGGTTTGTCTTTCCTTTACATGGCTACAAGGCATTATTGCTAACATTGGACAGGCCATGTTGATGCCGGAAAATCCACGCTTATGGGACGCTTACTTGCTGACCTGAAAGCCGTTGACCAACGGACGTTGGAGAAATACAAGCGGGAGGCGGAGAAAATTGGGAAAGGATCATTTGCATTGGCTTGGGTGTTGGATCAGGGGACCGAGGAGAGAGCCCGTGGTGTGACTATCGACATTGCAACAAACAAATTCGAGACGGAGAATACCGCTTTCACCATCGTTGATGCTCCGGGCCATAGGGACTTTGTTCCCAACATGATTGCTGGTGCCAGTCAGGCCGATTTCGCGGTCCTTGTCATCGATTCTAGTACAGGGAAGTTTGAGTCGGGGTTGAAGGGTCAAACCAAGGAGCATGCGTTGTTGGTGCGGAGCATGGGGGTTCAGAAAATCATCGTCGCCGTGAACAAGATGGATTCGGTGCAATGGGACAAAGAACGCTTTGACGAGATTGAGCAACAGGTTTCATCGTTCTTGACCACTGCCGGATTCCAACCGAAGAACATCGCGTTTGTTCCTTGTTCAGGAATCCAAGGTGACAACATCACTCGACGCAGCGAAGATCCGAATGTTTCGTGGTATACTGGACGGACCTTGGTCGACGAACTGGAGACTTCAGAACCTTACTCGCATGCGCTTGATAAGCCATTGCGGATGACAATCGCCGATGTCTTCCGGGGTAGTGTGCAGAACCCTCTGTCGATCTCAGGCCGTATCGAGGCGGGCAGCTTGCAAGTTGGCGACGAATTGCTCACGATGCCCAGTGGGGAGAAAGCGACAATCCGCAGCTTGGAAGTTGATGCGGATGTTAGTGACTGGGCCGTGGCAGGTCAAAATGTTGTCTTGAACCTGGCAAACATCGACCCTGTGCACCTCAGGTCTGGAGACGTCATTTGCCATTCATCCTCCTCACCCATCAAGAACATCACCAGCTTCACGACAAAGGTACTCGCATTCGAACACTTGATGCCCAGCATGGTCGACATCCACCGCGGTCGTCTTCATGTGCCAGGGCGTATTAGCAAGCTGGTTGCAACCTTGGACAAGGGGTCTGGCGCGCCTGTCAAGAAGAAGCCAAAGATTGTGGCGCCTGGCTCAGTGGCTCGGATTGTGGTCGAGGTGAACCAAGGAGTTCCTCTAGAGGCGCCTACGCGGGTTGTTCTACGTGCCGGAGGAGAGACAGTGGCGGCGGGGTTGCTTGAATAACCAGTAGATAGTTTACAAGTGTATAGAGTTGAATATATCCTAGAGTATAATTCATTATCCGGAGGATCTCGACTGCGAGAAGGCCAAGTGTCCTGTTCTTGTTCCTTGGTACAGTGAGTCAGCCAAAGGCCAAGTGTCGTGAATGCGCTGCCAAATCGGGAAAGACCGCCTGATCGCCGCTTGCCCTGTGCAGAGTGAGCTGCAAGTCAAAAACAGTGTTCCAAAGAGGAAGGCGGAAACAGCCTTGGGAGGCTACCACGCTACATCCCCTTACTATTTCTAGAAGGGTCCCCGCTTCTAGTAAGTTCGATGGAGGTTCTAGGGGCTCACTGATTGGTCAGTTACGCCTCCTCAGCCCCCTGTCGATTGCCTGATTTGGATACATATATCTGAGGCAGAAAGTAGGCGGTGAGCAGAACGCCAACTGCAGACATGACTCAGCATGGAAGCCAGCCAATAATCACGCGAGAAGTAACTCTGAACAGATGAAAAGGCCATGCTGGCCGCTGGGGCTTTGGAAAGCAATACAAGAACCGCCGCTGCTCTTTTTCTTCGCCAACCTCTTCTCTTCCCTCCACTGTGTCTTTTCCCTTCCCTTTCTTATTTTTTTGTATCCTCTTGTTAGTGAGGTACTTGGGAAGACGGGATCTTTCTGATTTTACTTTTCTATTTCCTTTTGACCATTTCATTGGACAAGCTGGGTAGAGATCGCTTGCTTTCCCCTCTCCAATACCTTCATAATGGCACAGCTGTCTGGTCGCAGCGGTGCTGCTAAGCCGTTCACGGCTTGGACGACCATCTTCTACCTTCTTCTTGTCTTTATCGCACCATTGGCTTTGCTTGGAACCGCACACGCCCAGGAGGAATCAGTACAGGATAACTATGGAACTGGTATGTCTACTTGAACGAATATCTTTTGGTGTATGGTGGCTAATGATGCTTGAATAGTCATCGGTATTGATTTGGGAACCACCTACTCTTGTGTCGGTGTTATGCAGAATGGAAAGGTCGAGATTCTCGTCAACGACCAAGGAAACCGTATCACTCCTTCCTACGTGGCCTTCACGGATGAGGAGCGCTTGGTCGGTGACGCCGCGAAGAATCAATACGCCGCTAACCCGGTCCGGACTATCTTTGACATCAAGTGAGTTGGGTCTACAATTTTTTTTTTTTTTTTTTTTGGAACCGGAATGGGTGGCTAACAGAACTAGGCGATTGATTGGTCGCAAGTTCGATGACAAGGATACCCAGAAGGATTCCAAGCACTTCCCTTTCAAGATTGTCAACAAGGATGGAAAGCCCGTTGTCAAGGTCGACGTCAACCAGACCCCCAAGACCCTCACTCCCGAGGAGGTTTCCGCCATGGTCTTGGGTAAGATGAAGGACATCGCCGAGGGCTACCTTGGAAAGCAGGTTACCCACGCCGTTGTTACTGTCCCCGCTTACTTCAACGACGCCCAGAGACAGGCCACCAAGGATGCCGGTACCATTGCTGGTCTGAACGTTCTCCGTGTCGTCAACGAGCCCACCGCCGCCGCTATCGCGTATGGTTTGGACAAGCAGGGTGACGAGCGCCAGGTTATCGTCTACGATCTTGGTGGTGGTACTTTCGATGTTTCCCTTCTGTCAATCGACAACGGCGTTTTCGAGGTCTTGGCTACCGCTGGTGATACCCACCTTGGTGGTGAGGACTTCGACCACCGTGTCATGGAGTACTTCATTAAGCAGTACAACAAGAAGAACAACGTTGACATTACCAAGGACCTCAAGTCCATGGGTAAGCTCAAGCGTGAGGTTGAGAAGGCCAAGCGTACTCTGTCTTCCCAGATGTCGACTCGCATTGAAATCGAAGCCTTCCACGACGGCAACGACTTCTCTGAGACTCTGACCCGCGCCAAGTTCGAAGAGCTGAACGTGGACCTTTTCAAGAAGACCTTGAAGCCTGTTGAGCAGGTGCTCAAGGACGCCAAGGTCAAGAAGTCCGAAGTTCAGGACATCGTTCTTGTCGGTGGTTCTACACGTATTCCCAAGGTCCAGTCTCTCCTCGAGGAGTTCTTCAACGGCAAGAAGGCCAGCAAGGGCATCAACCCTGATGAGGCCGTTGCGTTCGGTGCCGCTGTTCAGGGTGGTGTCCTCTCTGGTGAGGCAGGAACTGACGAAATTGTTCTGATGGATGTCAACCCTCTTACCATGGGTATTGAGACTACCGGTGGTGTGATGACCAAGCTCATCCCCCGTAACACCGTCATCCCTACCCGCAAGTCCCAGATCTTCTCTACCGCCGCTGACAACCAGCCCACGGTCTTGATCCAAGTTTGTAAGTATCTTTTTTTTTTTTTTCCCTGTCAGAATTTGAATAGTTGCTAATGATGTGCAGTCGAGGGAGAGCGTTCTATGACCAAGGACAACAACCTTCTCGGCAAGTTCGAGCTTACCGGTATTCCTCCGGCTCCCCGTGGCGTTCCCCAGATTGAGGTCTCTTTCGACCTTGATGCCAACGGTATCCTGAAGGTCGGCGCCAGTGACAAGGGAACTGGCAAGATCGAGTCTATCACCATCACCAACGACAAGGGTCGTCTGACTCAGGAAGAAATTGACCGCATGGTTGCCGAGGCTGAGCAGTTCGCTGAGGAGGACAAGGCCATCAAGGGCAAGATCGAGGCGCGCAACGGACTGGAGAACTACGCCTTCAGCTTGAAGAACCAGGTCAGCGATGATAAGGGCCTGGGTGGTCGCATTGATGAGGATGACAAGCAGACCATCTTGGACGCCGTCAAGGAGGTCAACGACTGGCTCGAGGACAACGCGGCCACTGCTTCCACCGAGGACTTTGAGGAACAGAAGGAGCAGCTGTCGAACGTCGCCTACCCGATCACTAGCAAGCTGTACGGCGGCGCCGCGCCTGAAGAGGACGAGGAGCCCAGCGGGCATGACGAACTGTAAAATTGTCGGTTATCTTTTAATGGAGTTTTGCTTTTGATAGTTGCATAGAATTGCATGATACCTTTTCAATCAAAATTCGTGCTGTCGTATATAACATAGTCTATGCAGCCAAATTGGCAATATAATCTTGCACAACCTCAACAACAACCTGATGATCATGCTCCTGCTTCAACCCACTAACCACAATAACTCCAACCACCCCATCAACCCCCTTCACCCTAACCGGAAACGCACCCCCATGAATCGCATACTCATCCGCCGCAAACCCCCCACACGAACTCCTCAACGCAAACTTCCTCACAAAGGCCCCTTCCACATCCGTCGTACTACTCTGCCCAAGCATCTTACACCTCATCAACCAACTACTTACCCCCCACCTAAGCACCGTATTCCTCTTCCGCCTTACCCAAACCTCATTATCAGACACGGTCCCCGGCTCCGTCGCGCATTGGAAGATAACGTGTGGTTGTGCCTGTCCCGGGGTGTCGAAACTAGGCGTTGAGGAGAGTGAGATACTGATCAATGCGGGTTTGCGCTGGTCGGAGGGGAGGGAGAGGATTCGTGCGCGGAGGGCGAGACCCAGCGACCAGGCTGTTGTAGAGGTGAAGGATGGGAAGAGCACGGAAGGAGAAGATTCGAGGGCCGTTAAGGCGGGGGGCTTGAGTTGTCTTGTTAGTATAATTTGAGTGTTGGGGGCTTGAGGGGAGAGGCGTACGTCGATGCTGGGGTTCTCAAGGGGTTTGAGGTCTTCCATTATGGTTGAGGCTGTATGGAAGGAGTGAATTGGGGATGGAGTGATTGTATAATGGTGATGCCCGCGTTATATACTCCGGTATGCATTAAAGGGACTAGTCCCGATGTGGTCCGGATGACTTCATCCGATATTAATATCTACATGAAGATGTTCATTGGACGTCCAGTTGTAGCTATATATACTGTGGAAGGTCCTAGCGAGGACTAGTCTTCGGCCCATTGACGATCTCATCCACTGTCTCGTTTTCCTCATCGGTCTTATTCCTCGGCGCATCACCAAAGACGTGCTGCATTTCTTCCAGCGAGTGATTCGAGGTCTATCATTGTCAGCCCATCGCATTCCAATAACCAGGTAGAGGGAGTGAGGTACCTCCTTCAAAAACAACCACGAATACCCAATAATCGCATAATTAAAGATCGCAAACATCAAAAACATCCTCCACCCGATATTCTCAATCGCATGCGGCGTCACCTGGCTCATCATGAAATTAAACAACCACTGCGACGCGCCACCCACCGCAACCCCGACTTCGCGTGTGCGACTTGAGAATATTTCTCCAACGTATAGCCAGGGCAACGGACCCCAGGACATGTTGAAACTGAATGCTTCCGCGTAGGTCATGATGATCATCGCGATTCCAGCTTTCGTCGCTCCTGAGTTGTCAGTGCTAGTTGGATGTGTGGCGAGCACGCAGGCGATGATTAGCATGAAAGAGCCCATTGCGAACGCACCCACCATGAAGGGCACTCGACGGCCGATGCGGTCCATGACGAAGATCTGGAAGATGACGACGCCGACGACTTTGACGACGCCGAAGAAGCCGGTTACTAGTTTTGCAGAGCTGCCGGCGCCCACGGCTTCGAAGATCTGGTTTGCGTAGTATGCTAGGGAAGTGTTTCCCGTGAGCTGTGCGCAAAGCTGGATAGTCACTGCGATGAAGAGACGGTATCTGTTCCCGGGGAGGACAAAGAGTTCTTTCCAGGAGAACCCGTCCCGGACGCGCGCTTCTTCTTGGATACCAGCGTGGATCTCATCGAATTCAACACGAAGCGCATCACTCTCTTCACCCCCGCGAACCCATTTCAGCGATTTCCAAGCTTCCTCTGTCCGCCCCTTCGCGGCCAACCACCTCGCGCTCTCAGACACAGTACACATCCCCGCCAACAACAACGTCGACGGCAACAGCTGCAGCCCCAGCGCTATCTGCCACTGCTTCGTTGACTCTGCATAATCCTTACTCACTGCGAAAGTCACCCAATAAGCAACCATCACCCCCAGCGCGAAAAACAACTGGAAACAACTCCCCAGCCGTCCACGCAGTTCCTTTGGCGACATTTCCGCCGCGTACATAGGTACAAGAACAGTCGCAGAACCGATTCCTAACCCCGCGATAACCCGACCGGCGTAGAATGTTCCCAGGGTATGCGCGTTGATGAGTTGTAGGATTGTCCCGATGGAGAAGACGATTGAGCTGAGGATGAGGCCGCCGCGGCGCCCGAGATACGCGGCGATGGGCATGGTGAAGAAGCAGCCGAAAAAGGCGCCTGCTTGGAGGATGGAGACGGCGTTGGAGTTTACGGTTGTTTGTTGGGACGAGGTATAGCGGAAGTCATTCTGGAAGGATTTGAGGGTGAGGACACCGCCTGTTCGTTAGCTTTTTCTCTTCAAGAATGCGTTTAGACATAGAAGAGGCGTACTGATAACACCGGTATCAAAAGCAAACGCAAAAGAGCCCATACAACTAGCCGAGACTAGGTATACGGCGCGGAAAACACCCAGTTTGCGGCCCATTTTGCCTGCGCACAAGTACGAGTATTCCGTACGAGAAGAAACGGTCTACATTGTCGTACGAGCATAAGCATTTATATACCATCAGAGTTACGAGCACAAGCACATATCATATGAGCTTAACAAAGTTACGGGAGGGGTTATGTCCAATGAGCGGAATGCAGGTCCTGTTCCATCACGAGAGTGTGGTTGGCAGTGGATGGTGTAGAGCGCGGGAGGGATGGCGTGCTTGGCTGGACCATAGTAATAAACAACAAGGCTATAGCCCATACTATAAGAGGATAATCTCCGATGACGGGGAATATCCGTACAATCCAAGGTGTTATATTCGTTTCTCGGAGTGTCTGATCTGATACGATCTGTCTGTCTGGGGAATGTGGAGACCGACCCCGGATTGGCGAGGCGCTATTTTCCGGATTTGGGGGTTAGTTCATTTTGAGGTCATCAGTTTGCCTTAGTATATCAATGAATTTCTAACCATTCTAACTCACTTCGCATACAAAATACTAGTAGAAATATATTGTATAAAACACACTATTCAAACGGAATACCACCAAAATGTCCACCGAACCCCCAACCATCCTCTCAACCCCTCAAACCCCGGAGGAAGAGGTATCCCGTCCCAATTATGCAAAACGCAATTCTCTATACACTGACAAAAATGATTAGAAAAACATCACCATCGCAAAAACCTATATGTCAATCGCCTACTCCCCTACTGACAACACCGGCGCCCGCTCCGTCTCCCACCTCTGTCACCCAGACTCCCATTTCTACTCTCCCTCTACTTTCCCTGGCTGCACAACACCCATGGACTACGCCGAGTCGCACGCGCACGTAATGGCTTCTGTCTCCGACCTCCGTATCGTCCGGTACGACCAAGCCTGGGCAAAGGACGGACATGTATTGCTGCGGTATACGGCGGAGGGATCGCATTGCGGAGCTCCTTATAAAGGGATTGAAAGAGCTGAGCCGCCGAAAAGGGCGCGGTGGAGTGCGGCGGCGATTTTTGAGATTGAGGGGGGCAAGGTTAGGAGTTTTGTTAAGGATTGGGATCAAAAGGTTATGCAGGTAAGCTTTTTCGCACTGCCAGGAGGGGATGAGTGTTGACGTGTTATAGATACAGCTGGGCTGGGCACCTGTGAAGGAGAGTCAGGATCCGAGGTGGAATAGGGAGATGTTGGCGGATCCAGAGAGCGCGAGAAAGGCGAAGTGATTTTTACAGAATGGGATAGATAACTGAAAAATAAATGTACCGGTACATTGTGATATTCGAATAGAGAATCTGTGCTAAATGATGTATCAACCAAGCCCGTCAATTCAGGAATCAACTTCTTATTGCTAAAGTATAATTTTTTTCCATCTCCCGTTCTTGAGAACCACCCATCGCGGTATTTGAGAGTAGCGGAAGCTGCGTAGGCTTGTCTTTCCACGCTGGCATCAACTGGCACCCCAGTTATCGTGACATACTTTTTGATCGCCATAGCAGATCCGGGCTTTTGCTTCCACAATCGCACGTTGCGGGAGTGTCGATAAGGCACGGCATATCCTCCATGATAATCATCACAAGTTATGGTGGTGTTTTCAAATTCAGCTCGTTAGTATCTACTATTTCGAGCCCGGGACAAGCAATAAGCCCACCAAAGATGCAGTCTTACAGCATGCTCAAGAATTTGTCCCTGGGTTCTACTTTACGACAGGAGATGAGATCCTGGAACTGGACAGAAAGGATTTTTATTATGTGTGTTCTCTCTCAATGGCGCGTCCTTCTATATTTGAGATCAGTATTCGGTGATGCTTCACTCTCGCAAGTGCTGACAAAGATGAAAGGGGCCTTTATTATAAGGCGAGACAAATACTTGCCCCTTATGCAATTACTCATTGTCTTATATTCTATTAGCATGTACAGCTTGTTCTTGTTCGGGCTGACCATACACCTTGGAGAATTGGGTGGCGTACTGATCAAACATGGGTGAGATAACTGAAGCCCTGATTGTACATTGGACCAAAAAGGAGCCGGACTCAGTACGAGTATAAATTTAATAAACGGCATGGAGATGTCAAATACAGTGAATGTATGAATGCATATAGCTTCACCAGTCTGGGCTTAATATGCCTATGAAGTGACAGCTGATGTTCTGAGATGCTCACAATGTTTCTGCCTGAAATTGATGTGGTGCCTCATCCAGGCACCGCAGCAGTCACATGACCACTCTTATAGTTTTCCAGAACAGGAAATCCAGGGTCCAGCCATCGGAGAACCAAGGAACGAAAGATCCAGACGTCTCTAACTGTATATAGCGGTCAATAAAGTCAGAGGGTACCGGATGTGTCCAGCAATGCTATTAGATGGGTAAAGAATACTGTACAGAGTACTCGGAGTACTGTGTCAGTCGTGTGCAGAGTAGAAGTACCTGTACCTGCAGTCGTAAGTATCTATAGTCTGGTAGAATCTTCGTGCCGTCCCAATCTGATCCAGTGCCGATCCAGACAATCACTGCCGTGCCTGTCGCCAGTTACGTTTCAACCTAGCCGTGCCTCCTTATTTCTTCCTCTTTTTATAACCTCCGTCTTTTTCTTCTCTTGCACCATCTTCCCTCCCACTTTCGTCATTCTTTAGTTTCATTGTCATTCTCTGTACTGTACTATATAAATCTAATCATGCGCTGGTCAACCATCGGCGCCACGCTCTTTTTCTCTCTCTCCGCCTTCGCTAATGACTGGCCTTATCTCACCGCCGCCACCGCGCCTTTCCGCCCGCCGCGACTTGAAGTCTCCAAATCTGGCACTACCGACCCCGGCTACCTCTTCATCGGTCCTCGTGGGAACGAGCAGTCTGGTACTGCTGCCCTAATTTACGATGAAGATGGTAACCTCGTGTATCAGGGACCTGAGGAGGTCACTGCCAATTTCAAGGTCCAGCGTCTCTTTAACCAGGATGTTATTACCTTCTGGGCCGGAGACATGATGAAACTGGGCTACGGTTACGGTACCGTGCACATTCTCGATAACACCTATCGCGAAATCTACACCGTCAGACTGCAGGACGATATTGTTACTCCCGATGGCCAGCCCCGTGAATCATACATTGACTTGCACGAAAGCCACATTACGGAGCAGAACACCCTGCTCGTGACCGCGTACAACATCACCCCGCACGATTTGACCCCCATCGGTGGAAAGCCGGATATGTTTATGTTGGACGCCATGTTCTACGAAATCGACATCGCCACCAACGAAATCGTACACTCCTGGAGTGCTGTGGACCACCTTGACAAGATCCCGTTGGAGCAGTCCAAGCAGGGTCTCGGCGAGGATTTCGGCGTGAAAGAGAACCCCTGGGATACTTACCACATTAACGCCGTCGAGCGCATGGACGAAGGATACATGATCTCCCTCCGTCACTACTGGTCCGGTTACTATGTGCACAACAACGGGAGCATTATGTGGCAGCTGAGCGGGGCTCTGGGGGAGGGTGATTTCAAGCAGGACGAATCCGCCGGCTTTTCGTGGCAGCACGATATTCGCATCTACAACCACACTGAGCAGGGACTTGTAATGGACCTGTTCAACAATGCCAATACCCCAACGGAACAGCAGGGTGCGACCACTGGTTTGAGTTTGGCTGTTGACCTGGAGAATCGTAGCGTCAAGGCACTCCGTATTCTCAGCGATTCTGACGATGTCGTCCACAGTGTCAGTCAGGGCAGCTACCAACTCATGAGCCAGGAGTCGCAGCATGTGTTTATGGGGTACGGTTCGATTTCCAAGGTTAAAGAATTTGATGCCGACAACAATGAGGTCTTTACTGCTCAATTCGGCGTAGACAACCAGGTTGCGTCGTACCGTGGCTACAAGTGCCCCTGGAAGGCTACTCCGTTCTGGAAGCCTGTGGCGGTGGTGCAAAGGCCGTCGTCCGACGCGGCAGACGTGTTTATGAGCTGGAACGGAGCCACGGAGTATGACAACTGGGCCGTAATGTCGTTGCCATCTCCGGACTCCACCGACAGTAAGGTGATTGCGACGCAGCAACGCACTGGATTTGAAACGGTGGCGCATTTGACGGGTGTCAAGAGTGGTGGATACATACAGGTTGTGGCACGTCGGGGAGATGTGCCTCTGGGGACGTCAGACGTTGTGGGTGTTTAAATTTTATTTTTTTCTTCCCCCGATATTGTATATAATGACCAGGATGTTACACCATTCTATAACAGTCTGTATAGTGATACTAGTGGAACGTGACGGTTGTACTGCAACGTTTGCATCTCCCTTGTGCATTCTATCAATTCGTCAGAACGGAAGATATAAGACTTCATGGGGTCCAACTAGAATTATCATCAACATCCGGTGAACAGTCTACACTCTACAGACAGTTAGACCGACAAGATGAACATCTTCCTCGTCTTCTTCCTGGGCCTCGCCCTAGCCGTGCCCCACGGCATGTACGGTCTCAACCCAGCCACAAATGCAATCAACCACATGAACCTGAAACACAGCGTCATGCACCCCGAAGACGCCGCTACCCACCAGCACCAGCAGCGCAACGAGATCGCCCCAATGGACACTAACGGCCCTCCACACCACGGCGGCCCTCCTCATCATGGCGGCCCTCCCCATCACGGCGGTGGCCCTCACCAGCACCAACAGCGCAACGAGATCACCCCAATGGACACCAGCGGCCCTCCACACCACGGTGGTGGCGGCCATCACGGCGGCGGTCCTCCGCATCATGGCGGAGGCGGTGGTCACCATGGCCCACCACACCACGGCGGCGGTCACCACGGCGGCGGCCACCACGGCCCCCCTCACAACATATTCTCAACCGCCGCACACCCCTTCGTCTTCCCCAACACGACCAACACCACCGGCGGCCACGCTATAATCCGCAACTCCTGCGCCTACCCGCTCTACCTCTGGTCCGTCGGTGCCAGCATCTCCCCGCAATACACCCTCCCCGCCTACCACTCCTACCGCGAGCCTTTCCGTCACGACGCTGTGTCCGGCGGCGTTGCTTTGAAGGTAACAACCGCGCCAAATGGGCTGTTTACCGGGAAGCCGCAGACGATTTTCGCGTACAATTTGAATGTGAATGCGAGTTCTGTGTGGTATGACTTGAGCGATGTTTTTGGGGACCCGTTTGAAGGTTCTAAGGTCAAGGTTGGTGTTGTTTCGGGCAGGGGTGGGAAGACGAGTGTTGAGGAGGGGTTGAGGTGGGAGGATGGGGTGCCGCCGAGGGGGAGTCAGGTTAGGGTTGCGGGTGCGAGGGAGGATTTGAGCGTTGAGTTTTGTTGATTGTCATGTCAGCTTGCTTGGAAGGTTGACTTTGGTGTGGTGAGAACGTAGTTTGTTGGGGGAAAAGTGCGTTAATGGGTGGATGGCGAATTGTTCTCGTGATTGCTTTGTTTTATTCAGTAATAATATGTATCCTTGCTTTCTGCATATTAAAAATGACTCAATTCCAAAAGTACTATTCGCGTTCCAATATGGCCACTCCTTACAATGGGGAATAGCACAGCCCTAAGCATATTTCCGACATGACTATTCGCTATACAGGCCCAACCTGCTAACTCTCAACATTATCTAAATTATGTCCATCCACTCTGTCCTCCGTACCCCACTTCGTACGGTGCACAGATGTCAATGTCACCAAGATCTACTAACGTTGATCCCGTTTCACTAACACTAGTGTCCGGCGGGGTCTGCCGACCTACCAATGACAATTCTCCTGAAAACAATAATCCCGGCGATGTTGTGTAGTTTCGAGACGTTAAATGAGCGCCAATGTCATTTGTGTATATGAAACTATTACCCTAAAGACGAATGTGCGTGGGTAGTTCGGCAGCAGATAGCCGGAGGGGGGAGGGTGTATTTAAGGGAGTATATAGATAGGTGCAGAGGTTGGACGAATTCAATGCTGGATTATCTGAGACATTCTATTTCATACTACTGGTATTGATCCTAATTTCATCATGTTATTCGGACTCACCCTCAAACTTGTTCCAGCTCTTTACGCTGTTTATCTATTCGTATCAACTATATGGTACATCTACCTCCACCCCCTCCGCCGCATCCCCGGCCCAAAATCATGGATTATCTTCCCCATCCTCCGACAGATATCCGGCATCCGCGGACGATTCGACAGCGACATTTGCCGCTTCCACAGAACCTACGGCCCAGCCGTCCGTTACGGCCGGGACGAAGTATCCTTTATCACGCCCGACGCGTGGAAGGAGATATACGGACACGGTCACGCTCAACTACCAAAGGTATTGACGTCTGCCAGTAATACATCTGATATTGTCAGTTCGAACGATGCGGATCATAGTCGCCACCGGAAAGCGCTTTCGCATGCGTTTTCCGCGAAGGGTCTGCAGGCGCAGGAACCGCTTGTTAATGGGTATGTGGATAAATTGATTGAGAGGTTAAAGGGTATGGCGGAGACCGGTGTGCCGGTCGATATGGTAAAATGGTATAATCTGACGACGTTTGATATAATTGGGGATCTTGCGTTCGGGGAGCCATTTGGGGGTCTGGAGAAGGCTGAGTATCATCACTGGGTGGCGATGGTTTTTGGGTTTGTCAAGGTTATTTCATTTGTGAGACTTGGGGATTCGTATCCTGTTGCGTTTAGCTTGTTGAAAGCGTTCCTGTTGCCGAAGGGTTTGATGGCCGCGAGACAAAGGCAGCTCGATCATGCAAAGAGCACTGTTGCGAAGAGGTTGCAGAATGCCGATAGGTATCATCGAGGTGACTTTATGGATTCGATGCTGCGACATGCTGGGGAGAAGGATGGGTTGTCTGTTGAAGAGCTTGAGGGGAATGCGAATATCCTGATTATCGCGGGGAGTGAGACGACCGCGACTTTGCTGTCTGGGGCGACGTACTGGCTGCTCAGGACACCGGATGTTATGAAGAAGGTTACGGATGAGGTGAGGAGTGTGATGCTGTCGGAGGCTGAAATTACTTCGAGCAATATTGCTGCGAGACTTCCTTATATGCTTGCTTGTCTTGAGGAGGCACTTCGGATGTATCCTCCTGTTCCGACGGGATTGCAGCGGAGGACTTTGACGCCTGTTCGGATTTCGGGATATGATGTCGCACCTGGTGTATGTTCACCTCGTCCCCGAGAAAACAAATGCTAACAGTGTCCAGACATCGGTGTCCATCCACCACTCTGCAGCCTACACCTCCCCGATCAATTTCTACCGTCCCGAGCAATTCATTCCCGAACGCTGGCTACCAGAAGCCAAAAACAATCCGTCCTCGCCCTTCTTCTGGGACAGACGTGACGTCCTGCAGCCATTTTCGGCAGGGCCGCGGAATTGCATTGGAAGGAATTTGGCGTTTGCAGAGATGCGGCTTATCCTTGCAAGGGTGCTTTGGAATTTCGATCTGGAACTTTGCAACGAGAGTGCAAACTGGAGCGAGCAAAAGATCTATACGTTGTGGGAGAAACCAGCTCTGATGTGTAAATTGAGGCCACGGATGTGAGACTAGCCGGGTATTGTTTCGGTAATGTAAAGATTGACGTCGGTAGATAGTATCTGATTCAACTCGGTGCAATTATTATGTTGTTTTCTGATATAGTAGTTAATCTAACCTTATATACGGACAACGCGGACCGCATTAACCGGCCTACGTAGTGACCCCAACCTCGGCTCTCCGATCTCCAATCCCCCGCATTCTCGGCCGTTACAATAAGTCCGGAGCCGGAGTACATATTCCTGTCTTCCTCGCTTCTCACTTCTCAATTAATTCTCTCTCTTCTCTATACACATTCTTAGATACTAGAATAAGTGACCATGTCTATCCGCATCCCTGCTTCAGCTGGCACACGAGCCCGCTCCCTCCTCCGCACCGTCCAATACACCCACCCTCCCTCATGTCCCTGCCACGGAAACCCCCTTCATCACCTTCAACACGGCCACCACAACCCAACCTCTCTCACCCGCCATCTCGCAACACCAGTAGACCCTTCGCGACAAAAGGAATATGCTTTTGAAATGGCTGCGTCGAGCATCCGCTTCGGCCCCGGATCCACCAAGGAAGTGGGTATGGATTTCAAGAACCTGAAAGCGAACCGCGTGTGCATTGTTACGGACGAGAATGTAGCAAAGCTGGATGCGATGAAGCAGGCCGTGGAAGCGTTGAGTCACGAGGGGGTAGAGTTTACGGTGTTTGATCGAGTGCGGATTGAGCCGAAGGATAGCTCGGTGAAGGAGGCGATTGATTTTGCGAAGCCATATGGGGCGGATGCATATCTTGCGGTTGGTATGTCAATTCTTCTCCCGTTGGATGATCTATGGCTAATAGTCAAGGTGGTGGATCCGTCATTGATACCGCCAAACTTATGAACCTCTACACTTCCTTCCCTGAGGCCGATTTCCTCGACTTTGTCAACGCTCCATTGGGGAAGGGTCTTCCTGTAAACAAGCCACTTAAACCGCTCATTGCTGTGCCTACGACAGCCGGTACTGGTTCTGAAACCACTGGAACAGCCATCTTTGACCTTGTCTCCAAGAAAGCTAAGACGGGTATCGCTCACCGCAATCTGAAACCGACACTCGGTATCTGTGATCCGATCAACACGCGTACAATGCCTCCCGCGGTAAAGGCGGCTTCTGGACTCGACGTGCTCTGCCACTCTCTCGAATCCTGGACCGCAATCCCGTACAACGAGCGTACTCCGCGTCCTGCAAATCCCATTCAACGTCCTGCCTACCAAGGTGCAAACCCTATCTCCGATATCTTCTCCCTTCAGGCTCTTAAGAGCTGCGTGGAGTACCTTCCCCGTGCTGTTAAGGATCCCGATGACTTTGAAGCGCAGTCGCAGATGCTCCTCGCGGCAACTCTGGCAGGTGTTGGGTTCGGCAACGCGGGTGTCCACTTGTGCCACGGCATGAGTTACCCGATTTCCAGCCAGAACCCGGGATACAAACACGGTGGCTACGCTGTCCCTCACCCAATTATTCCTCATGGTGTTTCCGTCGCCGTCACCGCCCCAGCTGTCTTCCGCTTCACGGCCGCGTCGAGCCCGGACCGTCACTTGGCTGCTGCAGAGGCGTTCGGCGTAGACATCTCAAATGTGAAGCGCGAGAGTGCCGGAGAGGTACTTGGGGAGGCCATTGCCAATTTCCTGGTTAAGCTTGGCGGACAGCCCCGCGGATTGAAGGACTTGGGATTCAAGGGGTCAGACGTGGATGGTCTCGTAGAGGGGACATTGCCGCAGAAGCGTGTGCTGATGCTGGCGCCGAACTTGAACGAAGAGTTGCAGGCTGAGAAGCAGGAATTGAGGACATTACTTGAACAGTCGTTGGATTATTAAATAGAGAGTATAGTTAGCAAGTAAATATTACGTGAACACAAAAACAGAATTTAATAAACAATAGTAAATCATGATCATCATACAAATCCTGGAACGAATCGCCAAGTCGAATCCGTAGCCCTCAGGCAAATCAGGCCACAAAACTCTGAACAGGGTTATCATCCCCAGCTTCAGTAACAGTCTCAGTCTCATCTTTAATCTCCATCGCCTCCTCCGGACTCTTCTGAACCTCAGCACCCTTTTCCGTCAACGGCAAATCCAAAAACATCTCCTCAGCTCTCAACTTCTCCCCAACCTTCTCCCCCGGCGCCGCATCAATCCCCTCCCTTATCTCCCCCAACTTAATAATGGCGTCCTGCACCAATCCCGCAAGCGCATGCCCCTCTCCCACAACCCTCTCTGCCTCCCTTCTCAACCCCCCCATCCAATACTCAATATCGTACTGCACTTCTGTAGCCCTAACCATAAACACATCATCCACAGCCCGCAGAAACCACTTCGTCATGCGCATCTCCGGCAGAAACTCCTTGTTCAACCAGCTCCGCAGAAAGACCACGGAGGTAGTCAGCCGGTTGTACCGGTTGTTGTAGCGCAGGTTGTAAGTAGTATTGCTGGTTTCGTATTGCTTTATGGCTTGCTGGCAAATCCTTAGGAGACGGGTTAGGATATCGAGGACGGAGGTGCGCAGGTCGTGGAACCAACCTAGGGCATGGGGGGAGTCGGACCAGTCTGGCGCAGAGAGTTGGGCAAGGATGTGTTCGTATTCTTTGTCTGAGTCTTGGTCTGGGGTAGGGGTTGAGGGCGATTGGGGAGCTGGGTTGAGGGGGCTCGTGGTGTGTTTAGAGCGAAAGGGGAGGAAGAAGGACATTTTGGTTGTCAGTATGGTTTTGTAGGGTTATTGTGTAATGTATAGGAAGGAGTTGACTCTCGGTCAGTGGTATCTGGTGGAGTAGAAGTGGAATAGGAAGAGGGGAGAGAAATGGAAAGAGAGGTTTAATACAGAAGAATTTTCATTGATGATGTATGTATTCATCTTCTACTTGCAGTGCGGTATTTGCATAATGACATGTCTGTGTAAGGCCACAAGGCCACCAGAACGAAGGCTTGACGTTTCTTCATTACCACCAGCATAACAACCCAACTCAAAACTTCTCCCCAGGAAAAGGAAAACCCCCTGGCAAACCCACAAACATCTGATCCGCAGTATACCCCTCCCCCAAATCCTCAAGTCTAAAAACAGCCTCCTGCACCAACCGCCCAATGATAAACCCTTCAAAAATCACTGTCCGCGCACTCTTCCTAACCTCCAGCATCTCTCTCACAAAAGCAGAGTCCAAGTCCACATCCCCCTTTGTGAAATACATTTCTCCCACATTGACCAAGTCCCCCAGACTCATCATGAACTCGGCCACGGCAAGAAGAAAGAATCGCGATAGCTGTGTCACGGGGATGAAGTTATCCCACCATTCGAGAAACTTCGGAATGGATTCGCGGAGCTTGGTGTAGCGCAGAGAGTGTTCGTGAGAGGTCTTTTCGTAGAGGTGTAGAGCTGCTTCGATGGCTTGGATGGATTTGGTAGTCATGCTAGTGATTGTCCAGCGAAGGTGCCTGAACCAAGATATCGCCTGGGGATGGTGGGTTTTGGGCCAGTCCGGGGCGGATAATGGAACGGTTTGGTCAGGCACTTGGATGAAAGATAGGTATTGTTCTTGAAATGTATCCATTGGGAATTGGTGTTTGGGAGATATATGGGGCTGAGTGAGGGAGTAGGAAGACGGAGGGGAGGAAGTTACTGGAGAGCATCATATTACGGAAGGTACTACCGGTAGCTCTGTATAACTTTTTATGTATACACCAGCTATGTTTGATGCAATAGTGCTTCTAGAATATTCACGTACGTACTAAACCCGTTTAAGAGCATCAACAACCAGTGCCAGCATTGCTTGAGCAGCTTTGGATCGTCAGCAGTGTCTTACGATATACATGCGCTGAATACAAATCTGACAAACCAGCGCCACGATCAGCTCTTCTCCCATAAACCACCCATCTAGCGACCCAAATCCAAACCTCAAGCCCAAGGCATGACATCACTATAGCCAGGCAAAGTCGGAAACATGTCCTGACCAACCTGACCATCCTCCAACTCCTGCAACCGAACCAAAGCCTCCTGCACCAGTCCAACAATATACGCCGCCTCACGCAGCACCTCTCTTGCTTTAGCTCTTACCTCCCTCATCTCCTTCGACACGACAACAGGCACCTCTGGCTCAGCAATCATATCCCTAGGATCAAGGTCCTTGCCCAGTTCCATCAGCTTCCCCTCCATTTCACGCAGGTACTCTTTGGTCATCTGGGTTTCGACGATGAAAGTATGTTCCCACCACCGCTGCAGCCTTCTGAGGGAACATTGCAGGTGGAGGTAGCGGCCAATGTGGTCGTCGTCAGTCTTTTGGTAGACTTGGAGAGCTTCGTTGATGATAGTGATGGAGCGCGAGGTGATGCTCGAAATGGTGAGGCGGAGATGCGAGAACCACAGTACGGAATCGGGAGTGTTTGTCCAGTCTGGGGCGGTTGCGATGGGTGAGATGGGGGGGCCTTCGATGATATCGTAGGGATGAGTGGACATTGTCGACTGAGGATTGTCTTTGGTCGTCTTGTCTTGCAGTTGAGATAATAATGTGGACGACTGTGATAGATGGAGGTAGAGGGGAGAGGGAAAGGAGAGAAAGAGAAATGGATTGGGGAAGTGAAAGTGGTGTGGAAACGGAAGGTGCACTGGGGTCAGTGTTAGTATTTCTGCATCGCTACTGTATGCGCTTACCTACTATACTCGATGCAGTTGTACCTATTCGACTCAAAAAAAATGAGGTAGAAGGATTAATAGTTATAGGAAGCCACGTCAAAGGCATACCATCAGAGTACCATCATGGCAGCAATCCTCTTGTATTCCTAATTCAGTGTTTAGCATTGGCACGAAGCTATTTGAAGCAGCAGGAATATACCTGGTTGAGCAGCACAACCACCAAAGCTCATGAATTCGACTTGTTTCGTCTCATAGCTACAAGGGACCCATCCTAACAATCAAAATCTGGAAATGTCTTCTCGATGACATACCCCTCTTTATATCCCACCAACAAACCAGCGACAGCCTGTGATGTAGGTGGAGGGCCAGTCGGGAGCGGTTAGAGAGGAGGGATCTCCGTTACGAGAAAGAGGCTAGGAAATTTTGGTTGGATCGGCCATGGTTGATGATCGTGGTTTGGAAGATGAATGAAGTGACGGAAGAAGAGTAGTGTGAGGTATGGAGATGTCATGAATCCTGTATGCATTGCCATTTTCTACGCAATTGCAACTAACCAATGAACTTGCACGTCTTTTCCAAAATGGGAATAGTACACAAAATCTTGAGGGATACTATTGGTAGAAGGTCGGAAAGTAAGCTCCACTTGCTTGGAAGTAGAATTGCATCAAGTATAAGTGCTCAGAACATACAACGTCGATGCAAAGATACTTTCACTTGAATTGCCAGTATCGACCGCCTTAGACTTGCATGGGCGAAGTATAAAACATCATTCCTTTGGTCACTCTTGCTCTTCCTCTCAACAACATTGAGACGTTTTTCTGTATTGAAGTATAGTTCCAACATGATATTCGAACGCGAGGAAAGAGAATATAGGCGACATGATCATAGTGACATCGACTTAATCCTTCGATCCGATTTAGCTTCCCGAGCAAGGATTTCCCGGCGACATCCCGAAAGACCTGCTCGGGGTTGTCGGATCCGGCCATGGGATTCAGGCCGTAGACATTATCGATGATTTATCAACGAAACTGGATGATTGCTTGGAAGTGGTGCCTTTTGGAACCGACATGGCGAGGGAGGGCAATTAGAATGTAGAGTGTTAGGTGTGGGTGTTTTTTAGGAAGGAGGTTATTCCTAAGATTTTCTCGTTGAGGGCATTGCGTGTTGTATGCGTATGTAGTTTGTTTTTCTTATTATGGATGGTGAAGATGAGAAAGTATAGATATAGACAGAGACGGAGAAGCTGATGAAGTGAAGGAATTGATTGGGACAGTGAGGCAAACAAATGAGTAAAATGCTGTGAAGTGAGATCCCGGGTTGCTTTAGCAAACAGCCTATTGTAAAACAAGCGATAGCTTAGCAATAGTAGCTACTATTATAGCCTGGGAAGAAGCAACGCTGACTATGGCGTTAAGGATACCATTGGAAGCATAGGTAGTACGAAGGAAGAAAGGCCAAGCATATTGAATCCGAATGAAACGTATTCAACTTTTTATTGCTATCCTATGCTGATTTTACAAGCACGCCTATGCTTATGCATATTGAACATTATGCTCTTGTCCTTAGTTCAAATAAACGCCAACCAACGCCATGGGTATAGATGAAACAAATGCAAATATGAGGACAATCTCGGAAGTGAAACAACTCAAAACATTGAACTCCGCTTCTTCGCCAACTTCTCCTTATTCTTCTCCTCCGACGACCGGCGCAATCCAAAGAAACTGCTCTTCTTTTGCTGCAAGGCCGGTGACGATACGTGTTGTGGCTGGAGCGGAAGGAATTGTACTGATGCATGTGCGTTCGGTCGTCGATTCGGACCTGCTTGTGATGGTGGGGCGTGAAGATACGGGCCTGAACTGGGACCAGGACCAGGACGTGGCGGAAGATGTGGCCGTGATGACGATGGATGTGATTGCATAGGACGATGCTGAGTCGGGCGTTGTGGCTGACGCTGAGGTTGCGGTTGGGGTTGTGGCCGAGGCTGTGTAGGGCGCTGTTGCTGAGATTTGCGCACTTGCTCTTCCTCTCTGCCGTAAATCTTTTGTAGACGCTTTGTTTCCTTTTCGATTTCGATTTGCTTCTTGCGGCGCGCTTTGTCGTTTGCTTCTTGGGCTTTCTTCTGACGGCGGAGGTCGTCGTCTGGTTTGGTACCGGGGGAGAAACGTACTTGTTGTGGTTGCTGTTGCTGTTGCTGTTGCTGTTGTTGTTGCGAACGAGGCTGAGGTTGAGGCTGGGACTGGGGCACGGCTTCTGGCAATGGCTTGGTTTGCTGGGGAATGGTAATCCGTGGTCGTTGCGGGCCTTGGCCTGTAGGGTGCGGTTTGTTATTCGCAACCAATGCACCAGACATAGCGGGTGGTTGCTGAGGCTGATACTGAGGCTGAGGTTGTGCTTTATTGCTGCTTGCAAGAGCAGGAGCAACAGAAGCAGTGCTAGGACCCGGTTTCTGGATAGGTTTCTGCACAGCAAGAGCATTCTGCGGAGTCATATGCGGTTTCTTGACATCATGCGAAATCGAAAATGCCTTCTCAATAGACGTAAAAAACACATCTCTAATCGTAACAGCCCCCAGCAACAACACACACTCCAACCCCTTAAAATCCTCCATCTCCACGCGATACAAATTTGGTTCGTATAATGTCAGCTCGCGCAGACCCTTGAATATCGAAATCGTGATATCCGGCTCTTTACTCTTCGTCTTTGTCTCAGGAATCGATGCTGTTTTTCCAGATAACAAACACGCCAGATCCTTGGATAACTTGCTATCCTTCCGCCATCCAAAGCGCAGTTTCGGCGTAACATCCGCAATCGCAGGATCAATCTGTGTGCGATCTAGCGTCGAGCTCGACGGCTGCCGGAACGTATGCTGCGGCATTTCGAAATCCCACATCGCAGGGCTATTCCATGTCTTGGGCTTATACCGCACAACGATCTCTTGGTCCGGATTATACAAATGCACAACGAACTGGCTCGGGAGGATGGGTTCAGGGGGAGGCGTAACGCCACCGTTTGCGCGGATCGCGTCTGCGGAGAGTGATGGTTGTGTCCATTCTGGGATGAGGAGGACTTCGCCGTAGATGATTTCCGGGACGTAGGGATCGCAGAGGGCTACTGCGTAGCGGTTTTTCGAGGAGGGAGAGGATGGGTCGGGGTAGCGGAGGTGGTAGGCTGGGGTGGGTTCGTCACCGTGGTGGCAGAGGTAGATGACCCAGGAGTGTTTATTCTGGCCATGTTTGAGGTAGAATGCTGTTCTTATTAGCTGTGTGGGTTAATGTGGACGCGCGAGCGCAGGGGTACATACTGGGGAGGTTCTCATCGAGCATATTGCGCGCGCGCGTAAAAGTGTCAGGGATACGAATAACTCCCCGATGCGATTGGCGTCAGTTAAAGGTCAATCGATAGTGACAGGAACGAGTGGATGTTATAAAAGATGGAGAAGCGTGATGTCGTACTCGTACAGGAACCTCTCGCCCTGCGCCACTCGCAGATCGGCTATTTTTAGCGTCTATCTTATCGATCTTCGTCACCTATAACGAAGGCTCCAGCATTTCACTCAATGTCTGTATACAAAGTACTGTTAGAATAGTAATGAAAAGATCCAATCTTCTCTGCGCCGGCCTTCACCGGTTGTTGTATGCAAGTCGTGCAGCTGACTTTCCCCGCTATAGGTACTTAGGTGCTCCACAGGCAAAGAATATATACAACTGCGCCCGGAAACAACGGAATTGCATTTGCACTGCTTTGTCAATTTGGCTGCCTATTATCCACTGTATGCCACTGCCTATATTTCTCTTTTCCACAATATATGACACGAGCTCGTTTAGCTTCATCTCCGCGGATGGGAGACTACTGGACCCCAGCACCACGGTAAGGTACGAGCTCTTGCTGGGGAAGAAGAAAAAAGTATTCGGTGTCTTCTGTATGCAGTCAGCCAACAAACAAGCGGAGGTGGTACGCGTACCTGTTTTTGTACGGATTTGTACACGGTACTCTGGGAGCGCATTGATTCGCATGGTTAAAATGAACCGGACCTATGGTCGTTAGCTGGAAACAAGAGAGGGACTCACTGATATATCAATGCTGAGAACCGGGCCAATAGCATTGTGATATTTACTATGCCAGTACAAGTAAGTGTTGATAGTATTTATGGAATAGAAGAGAAGGATAGGAACCTAAATAGCAGCAGCATCGAACCCAATCTAAAGCAAGATCATTAGCTGGAGACAGGAGAAGAAGACTGACCTGAATGTCTCGTTGGGTGGTTTCCCATATCGGAGGATGAGACTTAAGAACATGTTAGTACAGCCTATAGAACGCGAGGGTGCGCAGTGGAAGTATATAGCCTCAAAGCCTGGCACCATCTGAGCAATATGCTTTGCCGGAATTCGACGAGATCATGAAAGTCGTATTCCTGGAAAGAGATCAGTCCTGTCCCAGCTGAAGGAAGGACTTACCTCCAAGCATGCATAGCATCATAATCCATGCGAAGACATGACCGTCCGCTGTCTGCGTCTGCTATCTCCAACTCGATTCCATCGAGGTACTTATACACCTTCCGAATCTCGAGTCTTTGTCTGCCACATGCGATGCGAATGAATGTCCATTGTCACTTTATCCTTTGTGTGTGACGGAATGATACATGGCAGAAGATGTCGGTGCTTTGTACAATAATCTCAAAGAACTATTTCTGTCTCAACGGCCTGAAACCCTTTACTCGAGAACCACGGCAATAAAACACATAAAGACTCACATCAACAGATATTCTCTTTGATCTATTATCTAATCATCTCTATTATCCCAAGCCCATTCTCAACCAAACAACATAATGAAGATGAACCGAAAATAACTCTTTATCCTTTATACCCTCACTCCCCCAACCTCCTTCCCACCAGGTACCTTAGCAGCTTCTCTCTCAGCCGTACTAAGCTGCAACCCCTGGTCCTCCCACCCCTGCGTACCAAGCTTGTACAGCGTCCTCTGGCGCTCGCGGTGGGGAGTGGGGCCGTCCTTTCCGCGACGGCTGCGCGAGTCCGCTGTCTCGACGAGACTTGCGTTATCGCCATCGAGCAAGTAGCCTTCGAGGTCGTCTTTGTGCTCTTCTTCCGAGAAGACGTAGGTGCGGTATTCAGTGTTGGCCCAGCCGGTACCTGTGCGGTTGGTTAATGGAAAAGTCCGTTTGGTGTTGGAGATAAGCGGGACGTACCCTGGTATTGAGAGCTATCCTCCCAGTCCTCGGTGAGATAATGCAGGAAGCCACCATGAGTCACCACAACAATCTCCTTCTCGGGTCTGGCCTTTAACCACCGTCTTGCGTCACGGGCACGATCCTTGATCGCCTGGTTGGTAGGCTTATAGCGACCTTCCTACTACTCGTTAGCATCGTCCCCCTTCCACATCACACATACACTCAAAGCTAAAGCTTCAAAACTCACAAACTTATTATTCCACCCATCCTCCAACAACTCCAAATCAACCGGCAACCCCTTCTCCACAAACTCCCTCTCCAAAACCTCCGGATCACTCCCCGTGTCACAAGGAACGTCACTAGTCTCCTGCACATCTGGCAATGTAATGAGTTTCACACCATCGCCTTTCTCAAAGGCAGGCTCGAAGCTATGCAGCGCTGTGTAGAGGGTTCTGCGCAGCGGAGAGGCGGTTACGAGCTCGATGCGGTCGTGGTAGGGGAAGGCGTTGCGGAGGGTGCGGCATTGTTCATGGCCGAGGTCGGTGAGGGAGGGGTCGTGGATTACGTGGTTTGCTGTTGTGAGGTTGTGGACGCCCTGTAACTTTGTTTAGATTTCTTGATGAGAACAACATTGGGGGATGGGGAGGTACCTGGGCATGGCGGACGAGGTGGATGACGGGAGGCATGTTGATGGTTGAGGGGCTAATAGCGGGGTATTAAGAGAGAAAGAATTAAGTATTCAGGAGATGATTCCCCCAAACAATATTATCCTCAGGAACCTGATGTTTTGTAGAACTAGGAACAGGACGATAAGAAGGGACGATGCGATGGTGATGAAATTCCCAGAGGCAATTCTGACTCAGGCCGGACCACAGCTGCCCGCCATCCTCGGATTCTACACCCTATAGCATACGGAGTACATAGTTTCAATTAAAAGACTAGAATAAGAACCGTAAATTCAATATGATACCCCAAAGAAGCCCCTTCGCCTCTATATATCAACTAAATATACTAAATGTACACTATGGGTATGTCCAATAATGCCGAAATGCCGGAGTTGTATGAACCAACTATGCAACGCCAAAGCCCCGGGCATTCTCCAATGCCTTGTTCAACTTCTCTTCCAATACGCTCTTGCAGGAATATTCTGGGAGTAAAAGTCGACCGAAACAGGTTAGACTGGTTGGAAGGCGCTGCTCAAGTTAGCAAAGAACAAATATGATAGTTATGTTGGAAGGTAACTTACAGCATCCCCCACTCCGTTCTTCTGGATAACGAACATGATGCTCGCAATCCCATTGACAGGCACGCGGTCGCTTGCCGTGACAAATTCCAGGAGTTGTGCCTTCTTCTCCGCTGAGAATCTCTGCGCGATGCTCCAGAAATCTCGAACAACAGGGTGACTCGGACCGAATCCACCCTCGTACCGCGCATGCCGCTCCAGCTCTTTCACGTCAATCTCCTGGATACCTTCAACGACAGTTTTAAGTGCCTCTGGAGTGAAGATTGACAAAGCAGATCGATCGAGGCAGGTATAGAAACCTCGCGCAAACGCCTCGTATTGCGGCCGGACCGACTTATCCGTTAACCAAAAGATATAGTCCTTAACGAATTCATGCCGATTCCGATTCGTCACGAGACACGCTTCTTCAGCTGGCGGAGTCGGAGACTGTATCGATATCGAACCCTCCATGGATTTAGCAAAGTCACCATGCGACGATTCGCAAGACATAAGTTCCGTCGCTTCGGCAGCCATTGAGGATGGTGGACTCAGGTTCGCGCGGTCTCCGTAATGAGGAATGTCTGACCAGGCGGTCGAGTATTTTCCATCGACAGGCATGGATCTCGAAGGCAGTGGCCACATGGCGTCTCGGTCAACGCGCTGCATATCAACTGTCTCCACGCGCCCGAATGCTTCAAAGCTGAACTCATAGGTTCGCATGAATATGTCCGCAACGTCGCCGTCCTGCCACGTCAGAAGTCCCTCGAGACCCTTGGCCAGTTCTAGCCAACCATCCTGGATTTGGTCCAGGCGCTTCACCTTGAGGCCAAGCAACTTGCGGTAAAAGGCAATCGGGAAGTTGACTGGTAGGGTTAGACCGTTATACACCGCAAGCGACAGCAAAAGCCCAAGAAGCTCGAATTTATATAGCGGCTCCAACGAGCATGGTTGGAACCATGATATCCGTGTACGCGGGTCCACGGTAAACATGCCGTACGACGGATGCAAAGCCTCTGCCATAAGCACTCGGAAGAACTCTTGCTGCACGCCACCGTGGTCGAGACCTTCCTCACCTTCGTCCATGCCCATCTGCACCTTCAACGGACGCATTAGTTCGCGCTTCTCGCGTCGCCAAAGCTGATTCAATGCATCCGTAACGACGTTGTCTCGCCGCACGACGAGGACCAAGTATGTCGACATAGACGTCTTCATCCTCGACAGCAGGGATACATCGTCATTGACGTGGATAGCTCCAAATGCTGTCTGAGTGACGTGACGGGTCGTAGTCATCGCAGACTCGTAGTATTTAGACATAACAGAGTAATTCAAAGCTCGGAAGTAGATGACTAGGGCCGGCGGAGGGAACAAGAAAGAGTGTGACAACAGATGCATAGTCTTGTTATTATTAGACATGGTCCCCAGCCATTCCACAGGCATCTCCAGAGGATCCAGCCTCTCTGCAAAAAATGGTGTGTGGAAGTCTTCGGGGACAAGACCGAGTCGATTCCGTTCTTTGTATAGTGTAGAAAGGATCTGCACGGCGCCTCCAACGGTGCTGCTTCGTGGGATTCGTGGATTGCCATCCCATTCTCGAAGCAGAAGAGTACGAAGCCATTCTGTAATAATCGCAGGAGCACCTGGATGATGGTTAGTGGGCGCCTCACCATATTCCTGGTTGTTGGGACAAGTTGTGAGGTATTGTTCGCTGAGATTATCCACAATCAAGTCCAAGACATTGCTTTTGAGCGAGAAGGTATAATCGCGTGCCTTGGAAATCTCATGGAACGCTAAACGCGCCGTCAAGGCGCGAACAAGGCGATTCGCAAGCCGGAGAGCAAGCCCATGCTCGAATTTGTCAGTGACCTCCGTGACCAATTCAGCACTTGAAGACGGGAGATTCCGCATTTCAGCATCCGGAGCGACGGTGCCAATAGCACGCATCCGGAGAATGCCTCGCCATGTTGGAGCGTCTACCTCAGGAACTGATCCGGCTAAGGCAAAAAGTGCAATCGTAACTATATGGGCGGCATTCGCATCGGTGACGTGCTCTTCCTGTATAGAATCAGATGTTTGACGAGCAAGTATGGGAGCTGATAGAGGTGCTGCTATGCTCGAAGTCGCTGATGAACGCCGCGAATGTCTGCCAGACATGGGCAACTCCTTGGGAGGAACAAATAACTTTTCCACAGCATCCCACAAGCTATGTAAGACCATATCCCAGGGGCATATCGTGGTGAGTTTGCGTAGTGACGATTGGATTTCCTGAAAATCAAGGCGTGATGACTTGTCATTTCCGTTGCTGTTGGAATTTGTGCCCTGTCGAAAGCAACGCAGGATTTGCCTCGGGCTGCTTAATGAATAGAATACTGACTGAGCTACAAACGAAAACGCCTGCTGCTGGCGAGGTGTTGCAGAAAACCACTCAGAACCATCGTAGTTACCAGTGAGCTCCATATACTCAAGTTCTTCTTTCCACCGTTGAGCCTCTTCCTCAGACTGTATCATGACTTGCCCTAGCCCATCTACAATCTCCTTTGAGAGATGTGTAACTGTCTGAACTGTCGGTACAGTCTCTTTGCGACAAGGCTGTGGCTTGCGCTTTGGCTTGCGGTCACTGGGTGACTGAATTTCTATCGGCGTCTCTGAGGGCACAGCTGGAGGTTGTCGATTCTCAATATTTTGGACATCATTCAAGACCTTGGATCCGTCCCAGGAGACGCGTCTCTCCTTCTTCTGACGCTCGAGTGGCTTTATGCTGTTGACATCTCCCGTTCGTCCCCGATGTTTCTGAGGGCGGTGTTTCAATGCCGGTGGCGTGAATTCATTCGTAGTTGCATGCGCATTGATAGAAAGTTTTTTGGTCGGCTTTCGTTCCGGATGCACCTTTTCCTCAAAGCTCGACCGCGGACCCTGACACCATTGATCCGACTCGGTGAGCGAAAGGCGTTTCACATGTTGATTGGGTAGCTTTACCTCCACCGCAGCCGATTGTCGGCTTGGGGTCCGCGGCGAATAAGCACGGTAATTCCCACTGGGAGTACCAGAATATCTGCGACTCGGGGGACGCTCGTCCTTTCTAGAGTCGGGTTTGCTGGGGTGATTGTCCAGTTTTGGGGAATGAGGCGCAGGTTGTATTGGTATTTGGTCGGGACGCGAATCGAAAGAATCATGCGGACGTCGGAGAGGAAGCCACTCAACCATCCGCAAAGGCAGAGTGTCGAAAAGATTTTGCGTGAGGGACTTTGGGTCTTTCAACTTATGGGTTGCCGTATATTGGCCGGTAGACCTTTGTATATTCGAATTAGTTTGCGCGATCTCTGTAGAGGCACTTCCCTGTTGTGCCATCGAATTCCCATGTTTTGTTGTCTGGTCGTGTTCCGCAAGTCCACGGCTGCGTCGTCTGGATCGACGTGGCGCATCGTGCGATGAGTCCCATGAAGATCTGAGAGAATTGCGACAAAGGCCATTTTCTGCATTATCCAGGCTTGCTAGGTAGCAAGCCAGTGTCCGGGCGCTTAACTCGGTGTAGCGACGAAACGGTCCCTCGGTAACTCTCCTCCGGTAACTGGCACAAGTCGGTGTAAGGCAGTTGGGGTCCTGGCATCCGTAGAGTACTTGGTTCTTATATCTGTCATAGTCAGGAATATTAGCGACCTTTGCGCTCTGGCATATCTGTTTGCTCGAGGACACTCACCTGCGAACCAAGAGATGAAACTGCCTTCGTCGATCATCGCGATACCACGGCAAGACCTGGGACGGATGCGACACCTCGACTGTATTCTGAACAATAATCTCCGGCGTGTTCGGTGGGAGTTTCGACCGGTAAAACTGCGGACTGTCACGCGAAATGTCTGGCGAACTCACTGAAGCTCCGCGGAGCCTGGTCATCTTCGCGGTCTAATAGGGCGCATGCCTGACGCGGGAGCCAGAGTGGCAGGAATAGTTGATGCTCTGCCTTTGGTTCGTGAAAAAAGTCCCGGCCACGTAAACACCGCCCGGTAATCAAGCAAACAAAAACGGCTAAGGCAGCCTGACGAGTGATATCATCATCGTCTGTATCAGCATTACCGGCACCATCACGGTGGTCCGCCACATATGCACGTGACCTTCCCCAGAATCGGAGCTGTAAATATAATGTTCCGGTAAAGTCATTTACTAAGCGAGAGTAAGCCATATCGGGATAGCACGTGCAGAACGTCATTGCCACCGCCGAAAAAGGAAAATCTCGATTTTCATTTCAGACCTCGACTGTTAACAGCCACTCCAGGCACTCACCACACTGCTAGGCACCCATTGACTCTGAAATATCTCTGGACGGGCTGTCTTTTATTTTGTTTTCTTTTCTCTTATATTTCCTACCTTCCGTTCGTCTTGCACCGACGACGATCGTTCTCAACCACCCCGCTACCGAACATTCATTGATAATCTCATATCGGAGGAATACATTATCCCCCCAAAATGGACGGTTCCTCCCTTCCTTACACTTGCAACACCTGCCTGGTCGCTTGGCGCAGCAGCCAGGTCCAGCGTGAACACATGCGCACAGACTGGCAGTACGTCGATCAACCCATATCCCCAAGATACATGAGGATACTAACTTCGTTAGCTTGTATAACGTCAAGCGCCGTGTCGCCTCTCTGCCTCCTGTTTCGCTGCCAACATTCAACGAGAAAGTCCTCGCTGTCCAAGCCTCTTCCACTGCCGCGGCAGCCAAGGCGTCATTTGAAAAGACCTGCGTTGCCTGTCAGAAGACCTTCTACAGTGAGAACTCGTATCAGAACCACATCAAGAGCTCGAAACACAAGTCGCGCGAGGCGCGTATGACCAAGGAGCACGCCGATGATGCTTCCTCCGTTATGAGCTCGACCTTTTCGCTTGGAGAGCCGATCAACAAGACCCAAGAGAATGATGATGTCGCCCAGGCTGCCGACAGCCTGAAGGCAGCAACGATCGAAGAGGAGGATGAACAAGAAGAGGAGCCTGATAACGAAGAGTTCTCGTCATCTCGCTGTCTTTTCTGTAACAACAAGGAATCAGACATCAACGCCAACATCGAGCACATGCTCAAGAGCCACGGCATGTTCGTCCCGGAGAAGGATTACCTCGTCAACCCTGAAGGTCTTATAAAATGGCTGTACCGCAAGATCAATGAGAACAACGAATGTCTGTACTGTCACGCCATCCGGAACAACCCCGCTGGCGCCCGCACACACATGCGCGACAAGGGCCACTGCATGATCGCTTTCGAAACTGAAGACGAACAGATTGAGATCGGCCAGTACTACGACTTCCGAAGCACTTACTCTGACGACGACGACGACGACGACGACGCTGAATCGACCATTAGCGATGTCGGAGAAGGCGGAGTCAAGGTCACATCAGAAGGCGACGACGACGGCTGGGAAACCGACGCCTCTTCCGTCGACGAAGATGAAGACGAAGAAGAGGAGCAGAAATTGGCCCTCAGCCGCAAAAACAATGCCGTCGTTCTCGAGGACGAATTCGAACTGCACCTCCCCTCTGGCCGTACAGTCGGCCACCGCTCCCTCGCCAAGTACTACCGCCAGAACCTGCACAACTACCCGACGCCTTCTGAACGCGAAGAACGCCAACTCGCCATTGAAAACGGCGAGATCGAGCCCGAACAACCAAAGCCCAGAGGCCGCAACCTCAACCGCGCGGTTGTTTCCCGCGCTAACGGCGGCTCGGGTATGGTTGGTATTCCGGAGGAGCAGAGACGGGCCGTTACCAAGGCCGAACACAAGCAGAATGACCGTGCTCAGCGACAAGAATTCAGATACCGTGCCCGTGTGAACAGGGCTGCTAACCACCAGAAACACTACCGGGTATGTTTTTCCCTTCCCCCCTCTTTGTCACATGTATGTCTTTGTACTAACAGACATTTTAGGATCCCCTTCTTCAATGATCCTGTGCGCGAGTGGAAGAAATTGGTTTCTCATGGTAGTCTCTTTTATACCATGGTTGTTATATTTCTACGTTTGATCTGTTTACGAATCCCTCTTTTTGTCCTGCATATGTCTTTGGCTTGATATGTTTATATTCGAGGAGCATGGTGTTTATTCCCATATGAGAAATGAAAAGTGTTTTCTTGAATCCCCATACTATCTTGCAATAACATGAAATTTGGTAACAGTGCTGGTTTGTAGATAATCATAGCGAGGTCCATCGCAAAATTGAAACAATCCTTCCCCGCATGCATCAGGTAAATGACTAGGTAACGATATCGTACAAGAACAAGAAAGCGAATCAGACCAGATGGGTGTAAAGCAAAGTTTTGAGCATATCCACCAATTTAAATATCCGCAGAGAGCTATTCTTACATACTGCAAATTGGCTATGGAAAAATCCGAAAAAGAAACCAGAAGAATGTGCCGATCAGCGAAGGAGAAAAGCGGTCTCTCAAGACAAAAGAGGCTGCTGTTCATTTGAACCGCCATCAGTAGACTTGTTCTGATTAGCACGCTTCTTTCGTCGACGCTTCTTCTTCGCAGCATTGCTACTCGTGCCTGTATTAGATACCTTGTCATCGGCCTTGGCGCTTTGCTGGATTGGAAGTTCTGCTTTGCCAGTGGTGGGCGGGCTGGTTTGTGTTTCGTCGCCTTCTGATGAACTGGTCGTGTGGAGGACAACCTTGCGGATACCGTTTACGTCGATGACTTGCTCTGTGATGCTGCCACTGCGAGCGGGACCGGGATGCACATAATTACCCGGTTTCAGGGCTTTGGCTGACTGCGAACTTCCTGAGTGGATGCTATCATGTGCGCTTCCCTGTCTTGACGGAGGTGGGCGGGGCTGGTCATCCTGCTCTTCACTGACAGGTTCGGGAACCGATAATTGCGGGTTGTCTTTCAGTTTTTGAGTGGTAGGTGTGTCTTTGGATCGGTCGACCATGGGTGCGATGGTGCCGTAGCCCAATTTGACGGCGTGGACACCGTCACTGGCATCCATCCCGGCAGATTGCAAGAGTCCTGCGCCAATTCCTCCAGCCAAGCCCACCGTGGCATGCTGGGTCGAAGCAGCTTCAGAGTTGCTCTGGCTCGAATCGAATTCTATTTGTCCCGGGCGGGAGGGCGACATGCTACCACGTTTAATCTTCACGTTTTGGTATCGAGTTTGACGCGGCCGACTGGCCAAATTCGACGGTCCCAAGTGTTTGAGATGCTCGCGAATTTCGTCTGTCGCGCCACGTTGTGTGACCAAACCACCTTTCCAGTCCGAATCCCTGCCCGTACTTTGCCTGCGCAGTTGGAAACGGGGCTGAGGAGCTTCGAGGGAGCGTCGGCGGAGGTTGGAAACATCTTTCCTGGAAGGTGACTGGGTTTCACTATCAACGTCGACTAATTCGCCTTGGGGCACTGTATTGAAAGGGGGATCTTCAACGATTCTTCCCTTGGGGACACGGGACTTAGGGGCCGGCGTCATACGTCGAATCGCCTTGTGGACGTCAACAAAGACATCAGACTCATCGATAATTTCCTCTCCAATCAGCTCCTCGATCACATCTTCCAGCGTCACGACTCCCAGCGCTCCACGGTCCTCACTGGGGTATTCGGAAACAAGTACCATATGTGACTTGCCCTCCTGGAAGAAGTTTACAATGTCCAGGCAGCTAGTCTCGGGACGGGTTTCCGGAAGTGTGGCCAAGGCAAAGTCCTGCACTCTCTTGCCATCCTCGGGGTCGTAGGTAATGAGCATCTTCACGAGCAGCATGCCAACAAAGTTCAAGGGGTTGTCCGGGGCATGAATCGGGATGCGGGAGTATCCTTGGGAGAGGATGATATCCATCGTCTGCTCATCGAGGACGGTGTCGAAAGACATTGTGAAAACATCGTCCATGGGGGTCATGATGCTGCCAACTGATTTCTCTTTCAAATCCAAGACCGCGCTGATGATGGTAACCTCATCAGAGTTAAGCTGTTCCCCGGCTTCACCCAAGGTCTTGTGCAACGTGACCAATGTTTTGAGCCCGGCTTTTTTGTAAATAGTGCCATGGTCTTCACCCAGTAACTTGTCGAGCAACTTGGCGACAGGCCAAGCGATGGGCGACATGACATACATTAGAGCTAAGACAGCGGGCGCCATCCAGGCTCCGATAGGGAGACCGTAGCGGACGCATATCGATTGTGGGACGACCTCGCCGAAGATGACTAGAAAAAGCGTTCGCGGTTAGGTATGATCACACAAACGGTCAGACGGATGATATATGCAGGAACCGTACCAATCAAGACAGTACTACCCAGAACCGCCGGCCAACCACCTCCAAGCGATCGGTCGAGAACAATGGGTAAAGTTTCGTTGGTGATCACGTTGCTGAGGAGTAGGGTAACCAGAACCCAGTGCTTTCCTTTTTTCAAGAGGTTGAGCACGCTGGCCGCATTTTTCCGCTCAGAGCCTTCGCCCGAAGTTTGAATGACTTGGAGATAGACTTCATCCTGTAGATGGAACACAATTGTATCAATATCCTCATCCTGTTCCTGACAATTGCACAAAATAGTGTAAACATACCTGGCCCATCAACGCAATTGTCAACCCGGCAAAAGCGCCACCGCTCAGGACAAGAGCAGCGGCTATTCCTAGATAAAGCCATAGGCTGGGGTCATTGGCGGGTTTAGAGGACTCTTCGGAGATACTGATAAACGGACTAGACGGGGAGTAGCTGGTCGGTGCAGCAGAAATGAGAGGCAATTGACATAATGCAAGGAAAAACACGCGAGCCAGACCGAGGATAATAGGCCTGGAGGCCATATACCGATTCCCAGCAGGTGTAGCCATAACCGTGCGGGAAGAAAAGGCTGGACGGAAGGAGGCGTTACTGGACGGGCATTTCTTCCGAATTTTTCCTCGTAATTTGAACAGCTCGCGGAGGGTGGAGACTGTAAGAGGACGGAGCGACGATAAAACAAGCTACTATCGAAAGTACGCTGCGCCGCAGGAGGATCGGGACCGCGCAGACTATCGATATCGGGGCAAACTGCCGACTGTGCTCTGGCGAATGACGTGAGACTGCGGATAGCCTCTATAAGCAACTAGAAATGGCAGAGAGCAATGAAATATCAACCAAAAGAGCACAAGAACCGATTCACGATGTAATTCTGCAGGAAGAGAAATGGAACGCTTGATAGGGAGGAGAAAGCGAAAATCAGGGTGAAGTTGAAGTTGAGTCGAGCTGAAGGCGGCGAGGGCCTGGACCAATCACGCAGTGGGTACCTGATACCTGAGGCATCATATGATCTCTCTCACGCCAAGAGACCTAATCCGGACGTCCACGTCGCATAGAAGAAGGATATCTGACTGATCAGACTGCAGAGCCTAGTGTACAAGTATATGCAAGGAACTATATCTTATGGTTGACAAAGGAGTGGTAATATTCTCCCGACCGTGTGCCTATTCTGTCGCTAGCCCTAAGTGCCTGCACTAGCGCGCTTCCTCGACAGGATTATTTCTATTCAATGTCATTGTTATATTAAGGTTACTTTCTGGAGAAGAATACTAACTTAAGGCATACGGTCTATAAATCGGGGCTACGGTTGTGTAGAAGCCATGGAACCTCAGGTCAGGATATGTATCTTGACGAATTTGTGTAGTTTGAGTACCTCGTGCAAATATATTGCATCAAAGATATCGTGTTGACAAAGAGCTGATATCCTATCCAGAGTATTTATTTTATAATGCTTAGCGAGTTACGTGCTTACTACTTACATACCATGTCAGTCAAGAGACGTCTCGATAGATTCTACCCTAACATGTAAACTTCTCGCTCCTACCTTGCGATGTGCTGACTGAGGAAGTATCATTTGGATCGATAATCATTCACTAGCTCAAATGAAACGGGGTGTAATTAGCATATGCATATCCATAGCAATAATCGCGGGTTGTTTAGTCAAGCCCTAATATCAACCTCGAGCTGGTGAATGCATTCTGGCTGGTCCAATCGAAATTCGTAGATAGCCCTTGTTTGTTTTTCATGTTGCCTTCAAGAAACATTCACTGAGACTCGCCATTCCTCGAACGCCGTTTGTACTCGCTCATTTACCTATAAATACGCTACTATCTATCCTTCTCCCTCCCGTCCTCTATTGCTCTTCCCTCCATCTTCCCTATCCATCTTCTTACACTACGCTTCATCATCATCACTTTCTATAAACTATCGTCCTGTTTCCAGCAGCATTTACCATTTACTAGATATCTCCTTCTTTCTCGTCTCTAGCATTTGAACCGTCCTCTCGATTGCCTCTCGATCCATAATCATGACCACCCCCTTCGAGCAAGTCTTTCTCTGGGGGGAAGTCGAACCAGATCCACCTTTCCCAGAAGCTCTGATGAACATCATTGCATACGCCGACCTGACAGCTGGTTCTGCCATCATCCTTGCGACCCTCATACTGTTTACTTTCGTGTTGGCATCCTGGGAAATCACCTCTTTGTACATTTGTACTGGCTCGAACAAATTCATCGCCTCTCCCACCAAGACGGTATTTTCTCTGCTGAGGTGCTACGCGCTGGAATTCCTTCGTCTTTTATTGTCTCGTGATGACGCGCTGGCAATTCTCAGAGAGCGTTTCACCAAATGGATAATGGATAGCAGACCATACCGTATAACGTCTGTAATTGTCAAATGGTACTTTCCCTTTAACTGCCCTATCGCAGCGTCCTGTCGCCTGTTTGCGACATGGGTCTTTGGGTTGACAATGTACACAAGTGTGCTGGTCCCAGCCGCTCGGTACCTCTCTGGAGTGGTTGACAGTTGGAATTCCGATATACACTCGTTTCACTGTCCTGGTGCAATCTCGCGGTACTACCTCGAAGATCGACTTTCCCGGCGTGCCCTGTACGAAAGCTACTACTGCCTCGGAGAAAGAACCGGTCTCAATCTACGCAAAGACATTATTGCGAGTGACTGGCAGCTACTGAGCCGTCTGCTCAACGACGACGGTGAAATTGACCATTACCATGCCATCATCGCCGCGGTTTCCGTGACCTCTCTTGTTATCTTGACCACAGTGGTATTCACCGTCCTTCCCGAAACAACTGCCTTTAAGCGCGCCATGGCGGTCCTCTTGCGACAAGATCCGCAATCTGACGGACCCCGGCCGCTTACGCAGACGGAAAGTGACCTTTGGGACATGATCAACGGATACGAAGGTGACCTGGCCACAAGGAAGGCCCAGCTTGCAAAGAAAGATATGTTGCTAGCTGCGACAACCGCCGAACTGCACGCCTCGAAGCAACGCCAGGAAGAGGGCTGGGCTCTTGTTCGAAAGTTGACCGCCCATCGCAACGAAGCCGTGGATGCGCAGCAGCGCGAGTTATCCAACAACCGTCGCCTGCGTCGGCAGATTCTCAAGATCGGTGGCCAGCTCAGGGCTGCTGAGGGGTGCCTACAGGGCAACTGCCAGGAACATGCCAAAAAATGCCAGCAAGTCGTCAATGAACGGAAGCAACTGGCCGAGGAGCGTCAACAACTTGCATCTAAACGCCAGGAGTCCTCGGAAGACCAGCATCTTGCCGAAGATCGCGACCGAGTTCTCGGAGGACATCGACATCTTGAAAGTGTGCGCAAACAACTTGCATATGAGCGTCAACAGCTCGATGAAGAACGCCAGCAACTTGTCGAAGCACAGAAGCAACTCATTCAGAAACGTAAAAGGCTCGCGTCCCCACACCAGAAGTCCTCCAATGAACAGTGTCTTGCCAAAGAACGCCAGTTTCTCGATGAGATGCGCGACCGACTAAATGCTCAGTGTCAGAAACTTACCGAAGAGCGTCAACAGTCTGCCGAAGAGCATAAACGACTGATCAACAACCACCAAGACATTGCGATCCAGCATCAGAAGCTTCTCGACCGTCAACATCATCTTTTAAACAACAACCAAGAACTTGCCGTCCGCTGTAACGAACTGGCCGTCGCCTTGGGGATAGCCCGCCAAGAGCGGGATGCCGCCATGTTGCAAATGGACGCCACAATGGACCAAGTTACAGGCAAAGAGGATCAGCAACTTGCTGTCCGTTGTAGTGAGCTGTCCACCTCCTTGGAGGAAACCCGCCAGGAACGGGACGCCGCACTGGACTCAATAATAAAACAGCAGCACGAGATTGCTTTGATCAACCTGTCGGCAAATATTTCGCGTGCGGAAGCCGAAATATACTACACTCAGTCGGAAGAAAACCAAGCTCATTTCCACCAATCTATGTCTGACTTGAAGAGTGCCTGCGACTTGGCTGTTGAGCAGGAACGTTCAGCCACCGAGGAAGCTCGTAAAATAGCCTGCGGTCTTGAAATGGAGGTCAAGAACTGCCACAACAAGATCGATATTGCCCAGAGAGACGCCCAGAGACACTATGACCAGACGCTTGCTAATCAGAGAACAATTGAAATCTTGGAACATCGCTTGGCAAGGTACAGAGCATTCGAGATCGGTAGTACGCAGGAGGTCCCCAAGCGCCAGATTGGTAATCCTGGTTCGATGTCCACCGCTCTGGCTGAGAAGGACGTTACCATTGCAAATCAGCTTGCCCAAATTAACGACCTCACGCGCCAACTTGAAAAAGTTAAGCAGGGCGCGCCTTGTCCCGCCATGCCTGACGAATCAGTCCAGGAGAACCTCAAGAAGCTCCGCGTAGCCCTGGACAAGGAGCGGAGAGAGAGGACCGAGGATAACATCCGATGGGGCTCGAAGACCTGTGAGCTGGAGAAAGCCAACCAGAAGCTCCGTATCTCTATGTCGAACGCGGAATCCAAATCTCGTCGTCTAGCAGGTCGACGTCCGCCTACAGTTTCTTGATTCTTCAGCGACAGCCTGTTTTCCTTTTTGTACTTGCTCATCCTGAGGTGTCTTGAGTTAGATTTACTTCGTGTCTGGCATCAGCTTTTTTCTCTTCTCATTACTTCTGTGCTATCTTTTTTGTTGCCTTTAAGGATATTTATGTTTCTTCGTTCGGAGTCTTTGGGTGATTCGTTTCGAATTTGCTTTCCGGTATTTGTTGTGATGCTCCCGTGGTCTCTTTCGCTCCCAAAGCAGGTGAAGATTAATCGAGAGTCTCGTCACCTCGATGTTGGCTCATCGAAACGAATGATCGCACGCACTGTCCTTTGACGCTCACCACCAAGTCACTTTGGATTGGGTGCTCATAGGCCTTGCGGTTCGCGTCGATCTCTCGACACACTTGTCTAGCTTGACTTGTGATTCTAGCTGCCCATTATGTGTCCAATATACCATCTGTTCTTCGCGGCGAACGGGACTTCCTGTCATCTCTCGTTCTCGTCTTCGAACAATCGCCCACACCTTCGAGAAACAATCGAATGCCTCTTTTCCGCATATATAATGCTACTTTTTGCATCCGCTTGAAAATGTCTTTGGGTACTGTATCATCCATAAACAAATCACCACGACTTAACTTGAAGCCTTGAATATGTCTACAGCGGGTAGGGAAGCAAGAGGATACTTTCAGCGAGAATTACTGTCTATTACTTCTAAATATGTATGCTCTCTCGCTATGGCATCTGTTAAAACATAGCTAATCTCCTTGGCATCAGCAGCGAACACGGAAAAAGATCGGGAGCTAGCCTCAGCCTATTCGATACGCAGCACGGCGCGACAAGATATTCTGCAAAAAAAAGAGTTTGAATGAATGAATGAATGAATGACGGAAAAAAAGAAAAAGTACAAGTCGAAGAAGTCCTGTCGTATTTCTGTATCGGTGGACGTGACGCCGAGTGAACCCTTTACACTCATGTTCTTGCGTACGATGTGAGAATGTTGATGTACTAGCAAGGTGCTTCTTATGATATTGTTTTCGTGTGGTGGATGAGAATATCTTCGCAGCCGGTGCTACGGCTCCAATCTTCATTTACTATTTTGCATTATGCTTTTATTGTCAATACTTTAAAAACCCCTAGCACATATGCTGCATTTCCCCTGAGATACAAGAAGTCTTTATGCTATCAAAAATTCCTCCAACATATTTGCATGACTCAAATTAGGGCACGTAGCCACGTGGTATTTTTGCTAACCCTTTTCATTACAATGTTTGAACTAGTGAATAACGAGTTCTGTCATCGTCTCTTTAAAAACTCGGCTAGAATCTGACTCTGAATCTCGCGAATTCGGGACGAGAGTGCCGAATCCCAATCTTCATGTGTACCGGCAGCTGGCGGAAGTGGTCTCAGGCTGATAGGGGTTGGAATAGTTAGGCCGCGAAATGATGACGCCCCATTTTCTGAAATGATGGGATGCTCAGCAGATCTCTGGTATCCAGCGATAATACAGTCAGGACAGCCGTCATATTGCTCACATTAGTAACTCACATTTATATGTTGGGAGCTGATGGTGTGCCATCATTTTTCGTTACTGGCACCGTGCGTCTTCTCTGCATGCTCGAGGTTCATGTAGTGTAAAAGCCGTTGAGCTCTACGCTGCCTTTCTAGGCATGTTAGATTGGGCTTTCAACCGAAGCTGTAAGGTCCTTAGTTTGGATAGGCTGTCTCCCTCCGGCTGTTTATAAGTCTATCAACTCTGGAGCAGAAAACTGGTCTTCTGTCGGATACTTTCATGGTCTCTATAGGGATTTCTTTGTTTCTGGACTTGTTGTCTCCATGGACGCGTTTCAGTTTTCTTCGAAATAACATCGCATGTTCCTAAACCAAGCAGCCGCAGGACGTCTCACGGCTAGCAAGCTGTCCTTTATTTGCCAACCCTGCATGTTGCGTGGCTCAAGCGCATCGCTTGTGTGTAGATCATTGCTTTTGCGAACCTTGTAGCCGCGGTGGCATTGAAATCTGTGCCGGGATGATTCCACGCTGCACAATATCTATGTTGTTCGGTGGAGTTTTTTTTACCGTGGTTCTGGTAAAAGCTGGCCTTTGAGATCGTCTAACTGCATTGGGTGATGCCAGGAGAGATTGCCCAGAGAGATTACTATATGACGGTTAATGTGAACGGACTTGGAGTTAATCTAAATTGTACCTTGGAGAGTTGTACTTGGCCAGTGGCGTGTTCATAACTTCTTAGATCTTATCAATTATCTCGATAATCTCCAACACTTTATTCTTGGGTGGATTTATGTATGCTGCGTTGTTAAATTAAAAGGATCGTAAGGATCTGGAAGAAAGCCATGAAGACACATTTAGAGTAGAATAACTTGAGATCTGTCTCTCTCAGCACATTATGTGGCAGTTTCCCGTGAGATCTACCGAATGTACACAGGTTGACCCATGATGATGACCAAATCACAGCCCAGTGACAATTACGGCAACCCTCCTGGCTTCAATAATACACATAAGCCACCATTTAAATGACTATGTACAGCTCAGGCGACCAGTGCCATTGTCTCAAACTATGCATTATTCATAAAGCCCAGAAAGCAGATGCATCCTGGAAACAATTAGCACACATTGAAAAATGACCTAACGAAACATACCTATGTTCAGAACATTAACAGTGAGGACCCGGAAATATAGAGGTGCCAGGTATAGATTCACACCCAGAGCTACCAGGGCTGCTATGGTTCCTAGCAATCGCCAGTGTAGCTCTACCCCAGGGGCATCTACAGCGGGCGGCAGAAAGAATCTGGAAAGACGAGGAATGGGAACTGGAAGCACTGAAGTAAGCAAGTAGAACAGGAGAAGATAGCAGGGAGGGTAGCTTAAGCTGAATCTCAGCTTAAGCCACACCCACCCTGTCCCATAAACACAAGAACACTCTGCTCAAAAGCCCTGCAGATACAGGCGGACCGGGATGAGGAAAAGGATCAGAAGGATTATAGGAGATTATTGTCTCAGCAACTCACAGAGGTAAAAAGCAGCGGATTGGCTATAGGCCTCGGGCTCATGGAAAATGGTCTGTCATATCTTAGGTCTCGATAATGGCAACTGGAGCCTCTGTACTCAGCAGCGTACAGAAGTGGAGTGAAGCCGCGACGGATCTGGATCCGAAAGTTAATTTCTTCTCGAGAGAGGTGTAGTTCAGCAACATCTTTGATTTGATGTTAAATAGCAAGGAATATTCGTGATCGTTTCTTGTGGTTGTTGGCGCTGACTTCCGTATGGAATTGCTCAATGAGTGTCCGCGCCAGTTGGAGTTTGCTGTTGCATACTTCCCAATGCATAATCAAGCTGCCTTTATATTGGGCATTAGACCGGTAGGCAGCTGGTAAGAGTATACGGAGGAAGACCGTGTTTGCAAACGACAAGTAGAATGCATCCCCCGAGCTACGAAGCTCGTCTGCAACGGAAAGGATTATTTCTATTGGTAGGTCGAGAAATCTCATCTGATGCCCCTACCATTAGCATTAGATACAAAATCAATGGGTTTATTGAGATATACCATGAACTGTATTCCAATTATACCAAACTCGAGAGTTCTACAGCCTGGTTCACCGCCGAAAAAACATGAGATTTGTCGAAGTTGATATAAGAGATGTCGCGATGTCAATGAAATCCTGTCTCTAGGAGTTGATTGAGGGCCTGGATATGAGCTGTGCTACGGTGGCTTGTTAAAGGATCTGGAAAGGTGTTCGCTGTTTATCTATTTATGGTCGATCTATTTGTGTTGGGCAGATTTCCAACTGCTACTAAACTTTCAAATATGCCTGCGAAGTTCGTAGAGTGGAAAAAGTGTTTCTCAGTCTGATGTTTTTCGTGCGGTCGGATGACCTTCCAGCAGACTGATCTTCCTCCAATTATGCTCGAGTCTCGGTTCATATGCAACAGGTGGATGAGCAGTAGGCGATATAGCTGGGCCGATATTATCTTTAATCCTTTGTCGTATGCTCTTGACCGTCTCCATATCTGCTGGGAGGACTGTTGCGTCATTCTCTGAAACCTCTCTTTGTTGTGAGATCTCAAGAATTCTGTCCAATTTGGATTCATACGTCTCTTCCTCGCCAGTCCGTACACCCTCCCTGGAAACATTAGATTGAAATTGCGATTGAAGAGTCCCCATAGAGCCAGTGTGAACTAAACCAATAGGTCGAACAGGAACATCGTGGTCAATTTCATAAGCACGACCAAAATGAATTCGTGCTGTATGAGGGAAGACAATTGAGGGGTGTTCGACCTTCATGCGTAGTGGTTTGAGCGAAAGGCCTGTCTCCCCTTGTTCTGGTGGAGGACTTTCCTTGCTTGAATGTATGATGCCAAATAGATGTTGATCTGATTGATCCACACACCCTCGGCCTGCGTACCTTTATAGGGAATTAGCAGAGTTAGACTTCATAGCCTGGATAACATGACAGTCCTGAGGATGATAGCATGCTTGGTCGCAAAGACAGTCATCTCAAAATTTGAATGTGACACGTACGTATGTATTCCCAGACATAAACTTGATTCAGGACCTTCACGTACAACCACAAATCGCCGTATCAAAATCGGACCAGGGGCGCCACTGCAGCTATCCTGGGTTGACTGATTAATGGTATTCTTTATCTTGCCATCTGTAGGTATAGGGTCATCCGAAACGACATCGTCTAGAGTGATCCATGACTCTGGAGAGAATGTCCTGTCTGGATGACTTCTCGCTGTACTGCAGATTTTGAGATAAATATTCCAATGCTCAACACGGAAATGAAGTGTTACCCATTCATCTTTAGTCATGAGTGTTTCACCTTGTTTCTGCAAGCTATCATTGCACAAGCGACACCTGACATAGCCTCTTCTATATCTATCTTCCTCGCTGTATAGGCACAGATATGAAAGAGGGAGTTGGTGAATTTGGTTGAGCCTAGTTCTCCTGTTCGCTTGGTAGGCTGCTTCAGCTCTTTCCTGAAGGATTTGAATTGGCTCAAGAGGCAGGTTGCTATGATCAACACTCTCGCTGTGATTAAGGAAAAATTCGGAGCTGATTTGAAGGGTGAAAACTTGACCTGGTCGAAAAAACAAATGTGGTTGGTTTTGTTTCCGGTAATATACACCAATGTCTTCATTAGTGAGTATGTGTGGGAAAGAAAACCATGGTTCTACACCACCATTGAAGGCGGCTTACCTCTTGATCCCAGGTCAATGCCACCACGTATACAGGCTTCGAGTTTTACATCGGAAAATGTAGAGTAAACCATGGCCCTTTTTCCAGGTACAACCGCTTGTTTGGAATAACCTAATGAGAAAGAAGCACGATATTTAGGCCTGTACGCCGTGCTATATATATGATTAATAACTTCGGCTGGATGAAGAGAGTGGTACTTACTTGTAATAACAGGCCAATTGAAGCAGTATATTGACTGCACAAAGCATTGTGGCAAGTGACTTTCTCAGCTTTGCTATCTTCATGGATCAACTTGAGTCAGTACTACTAGCACAACATTAAAGAGAGTCGAGGGGCATTACGTGGTCAGGCATCCGGAATGCCCACTTGCTTTTCCTCCAAGTGTCTCTAGCAACATTACCCGAGCCACTACCGTTTAGCGAGGCCCTGTATGGTTCAATATTATGAATGAAAGCTTCCATTGCCTCGGTTGCAGAATTGGTGATGAATAGGAGTGAATTCAGGGTTGCCTGAGCTAGCTCATTTGAGACTCTCAGGTCTTCAACTTGCAAAAGGACCCTATGAACCACATGGAGCTCTGCAATGAGGTCTTTGTACTCTTTTTCTGAGCCTGTTGCTGATGACAAAGATTGAAAGAGTTTGTATGCTAACGATGCACCGGCTAGAAAGTCTCCAACAGAAAATCCGAACGACATGATGACCCAAAACTATTGTTGATAATGGAACGGTAAGTCCAAAGAACTATGGTGATGGTTATGTTTTGTTACTGAGACGACGTGTTCTGAGGAAGTGTATGATAAGGCACTTTTCAGAATTATGTGGCTGTGCCCCCAAGATGACAACGCACTCCTTGCCAGCCTTGCTGTCTGGCAGCTTACTTGACCGTGATTAGGTGATGATGCAAGAGATGCGGTAAGATAATTAGTCTAACGACGGTCTAATGCCGGCTCACTGAGGTCAACCAGATTGACGGCAAGGCAGTCTTTCGATATTACCCTTCCCTTCCTAGTTAAACGCTAGCCTGGCTACCTGGCAATACAGATTTGCACTCCTCATCTGGGGACCTGTGATTATGCCTCCACTCAATTTTCGGAATCGCTGCTGCGGAGATAAGCCTACTTGCAGCGTTCCTGTCCCTCATCCAAGAGGGAGAGTTTTCCTTCGATAGCGATTGACACTCGCTCCAGAGATGCAACCATTTATTGCGTATGCCCTCGCAGGCGCATCTACTGCAATTCTTCCTCTCACCGCAAAACAAGCGCCCAAACTGCTTCACATCCCGGCAGGTGGCAATGAATCGGCTTGTTAATCTGTACATCACCCATCTACACTTCGAAAGCCCCGCATGATACGACCCGAGATCGAGTTCTTGTTCTCACACGTACCCTGACCGGGCGCTAATGACTTTGCAAAGGTTGTTTGAGTGTTGAGTGTTTTTGCCCGCGGAAAGCAACTTTTGTTTTTGGTTCCTAAAGCATTCACCAACGTGAGACTTACACCCCTATGAGGTTTAATTGGAACCATTACCAGTATTAAGTATAATGGAGTCCGTGAAGCTATTACAAGAGCTCGGCGTGGGTGCATGGAGCGCTTCGCCTACCCTGACACCCTCTGTTCGCGTTTCAAATAAACAAAAGGACTTGCTTCTAGTGCCCTTGTAAAATTAAACCTGTCTTCACCAACTGTGCCACTCGCAGCGGTTGCGAGCATTTTGCTCGGCATTCGACGAGGATTGCAGTGCCGATCAAGTCCATTTGTTTTGATGGGCTGCTGAGCGTTCCTTGTTATGGGGGATACCTGAAAACAAGAGATAACTTGTATATCGCTATAAGATCTGTGTCTAGCACATAATATGACAATTCCATGTGAAATCTACCGAATGTATACAGATTGATTAAACCGAATCCTCCGGGTCCAAGACGATGACCCTAGCTCACAGTCCAGTGACAATGACAGCAACCCTTTTGGCTTCAACAACACACATAAGCCATCATTCAAAATGAATATGCAGAGCTCAGGCAACCCGAGTATTTTCTCAAGCTATGCATTATTCAAAAAGCTCAGAAAGCAGTTCCACCCTGGGAACGATTAGTACACATTCAACAATGACCCAATGAAACGTACCTATGTTCAGAAAATTAACAGTGAGAACCCGAAATTGTACAGGCACCAGGTACAGGTTCACTCCCTGCAGAATGGGCCAAATGGTCCAGTTGGTGCGAAGTGCCTCCCAGTACATGCGTTGCAGCTTCTCCCTAGGATTGTTTCCCTCGAGCAAAGACATACTAGACAAGAAAACGCCGATCATTGTGGGAGCACAAACCAGTTGGTCGGTTGTTACGCGGGCCGCCAATGTCCTGAATGGAGTGCTCAAAGAGATGCGGTTTTGCAAAAAAAGGAACCATTTGGTCGCAACAGGACCGAATACCACTGCACATGAAGTGAGCTTGAGAAAAGAAATCAAAAAGTCCGAAGCGTTGGAGCAGCCATACCACCACCATAAAGAGCCATCCGCACTGTGCGAGTCATATCATGGCTGAAAAGGCTCTTTCGTTCAACACCATGCTGTGCCAGCCCATCTCCGACAACAAATAGACACTTGGGTGATAATCAGCAGGGAGAATTGAAGAAAAATGCCATTTCAGGGGAAGGATATCCTACCGTTGTCGTTACGCTTTGTGTCAATACTGGACGTTGCAGGAGACTCCTTTGATACCTGTGTTTATTAGTCGTGCGAAACATGATAACGGGTTGAGATATACATGCCAGCTAAACATTATGAAACGCTTTTTCTACAGTTTGAATGGAAATCAGCAGAGCTAGTCAATGATTTATAGGTCTATTCAGCAGAATAAAGAAATGAAAGATTTTTTTTTTTTTCGTTTCAATAGAAACATGCTCGAAGACCTGCAATGGCGGAACATCTCGATCTGGAAAGTTAACCGCCTCTTTCCTCATTAAGCAGTTCCGCACCTATCGGGTCATGTGCTTTCGCGCTCTCCATAGGACCTACATAACCTTCTGATGGGATAGGCTTGCGGGCGCTTGCTATCATAAGAGATGGTACGGTCTCTTGAACCCTTTATTAGTTTGAGAAAGCAGGCTAGGCTCTCCTGTCTAAGTTTTTGCAAACTACAGGCGCTTGGATCAGATTCATTATGACAGACGTGTTAAGGCGCAACACCTCCTCGAGCAGAATTCCGGTTTACTAGGCAATAAAGCTCAAGAAATAACATTGCTGCTCAGTTTGTCGAGAAGTCAGTATGGCTTATATTTGGAGCAGTTTGACCTGGTGCAACCGGAGGAGGGATATAAGGTGCAGTAGTGTAATGGTTGTTGGCTTGATCAGGAGATGCCTTACCGAATAGCATTTGGCATGTGAAAAGCATCTTTGAGTAGGTATCACTGAGTGCTGTGAAGATATTGCGAGTTGGAAACCCACTTTAAGAGGTCGGCGGACACAATTATGCTTCAAAGGGATGAATGGGACTACCCACGAGTTGGTTTGTCACCAACTGAACGCCTACGATCATTTAACCAAGCGGAAATTGATCAATATCCTCATGAAATTCTCGACAGTCATGGTGGTTACTAACTTGCTTAACAAGGAACACAACATTCACCCACCTCAAGAGACAAAAAGAACCAACAACTCCCGCAAAATGGATTCTTGAAAATCATCCACCTCTCATTACTTCTAGAAAGACTTCACATGTGGTGCGAGGTCACGACTTGCAAGAAGTTGGTTGAGTAAGTATCCTGACAGTCTGGTGATGTGAGCTAGTTCACAGGGAGGTCGACTCCTAGTGTTGATAGTCTCATGTCAAATTTCTATGGTCAAATTGTGAGGTTTCCTCTCAAATTTCATATTGTTTCAGGGCATCGGCGTACGACATCCCGTGTCGCCAGTCTATATAGAAAACTGGTTGTCACACTCGGCCCTAGCTGGTCATAATTCACTTTCCATTTTAGTACTGCTTTTTGACCACTGAGAAAATCTGAAAACAGCGGCAATTGTATGCCGCGTAACCACTTTATGAAATGTGTCACGGCAGTCCCGTGGCCTTGTCCATTCCATTCGCATCATCCAGGCACTCAGCAGCCATCTCAAACCGCTCTGTGGGCGGTCCTGAGTAGTTCTTATGGCCCCATACCCAATACCAAACGGCCGAAATAGCCACAAACCCAACAAAGACAACGGACGCATAGTTCATATCTTCGAGGGTAACTGCACTGAAAGTCGGCATGGAGAAGAGTGGAATAGCAAGGGCGGTCCATGCTGGGATTTCAAACATCATTAGACTCGACCAAATACTCTGAATGCATGGCAGATAAGCGAAAGGATTTGCTCACCTAGGCAGACCACATTACAAAATATACCAAACACTCCAAGGTTGAAAGTGGCATTTTTGACGTCTTTTCGACGGCGCAGGAGCAAGGACACTGCAACAGGCATTGCGTAGCTAAGTGTCAGGAATATAACCCCTACGCCAGAAAATGCGTTAAATGCCGCTGCTGAGCCGAAGTATATAAGCCCCAGAAGTATCTCAATGGCCATTCCCAGTAGCATCGCATTGAGTGGGACTTCCAGCCGCGTATTGACTTGCCTAAACCATTTTGAGCCGGGTATAGCGCCGTCACGAGCGAACGCCCACGTGCATCGAGATGCGGCGGTGACGCACCCTACGCCGCAGATAATACCGAGGGCGAGGAGGGGAATGAGAAGGCAGAAGGCCCCGGCGGAGTTTCCTGTGGCGGACTTGATGATCGTGGGGACTGGTTGGCCGCTAGCGAGGTTTGCAAGCATGGCGATGTCGGGGAGGATGAAGTTGAGAGGGACGAGAAGGAAGAGTCCTGCGAAAAAGTTGGCGATGACACCTCCAACGAGGGCCTTTGGGACTTGGATTGCTGGCTGGTGGACTTCCTCGCACATCCTGTTGTTTGTTTCGATTGTTGGGTTAGCTTTCTTTTCTTTTCTTCATTCCTTTGGGGATCTGGCTGTATGGCCCGATAAGGAATGGTGATGGATAAGGAAACCCACGAGGTGACCATGCCAGAGGCCGAGAGGCCATAGGCGGCTTGCAGCAGACCGATACAGAAAGACCAGCCATCCGGCCAGCCCGACTGCGGTTCGAACCCTGTGAAGGCCCATTCAGCAGATCGTCTGCCATGCGCTGCGACGACAAGTACCGTGATAACGAGAGCCGTGACTCCTATCAGGGTCCAGAAGATCGCCATTGTCTAGACAGTATGGGGCCATATTAGAAAAATGACGATACAACGTCAAAAGCGAAAGAGCTCCGTCATACCTCTAGGTGTGTTAGCCATCGGTTTCCAAATGCAGGAATAGCGTGGCATATCAAAGTGATTCCAAGAAAAATAAGATACGTCTGATAAGCCTGAAAGTTCTCAGTGATGCCGACGCCTGAGGATTTGAATACATTCAGGCTTTCAACCAGAAAAAGCGCCGTTGCGAAGTTAACAGCAAGGGTAATTGTGATATTTCCAGCAATATAAGACCAGCCGCAAACCCAGGCCGTAACACGTCTACACCACGACGGCGACAGGACGAACGTCTGATAGTAGACTCCGCCGGCTGTAGGATAGACCGACGTGATCTCAGCCAGAGATGCCGCTACACACAGTATGATAAAAGATATTATTACCCAGCCCCAGAACATGTTAGCGGGGCCACCTCCTGCCATCGGATATGACATGGTTGTCGACAGACCATACGGTACAGATGCCAGGATGAAGCACATGAACACCACCTGCCATGTTGATCGGTTGCGTGACAATTCGGGACGGTATCCTAAGGATTCTAGATTGGAGTCTGCTTGGGGCTTGTCCATCTTATCTTCTGCCATTTTCGCTGTCGGTAGGGCTTGTGCTGCTCATGGAATATTGATGTGTCGTGACCGGAGGTTGTAAACGTACTCAAAGCGTGTCTGCAGTTCATTGATGACCTGCATGTGTCGCTTTGGCACAATAAGGGTAGGCGCGATGGAAAGAGATACTTTTTTTGAAGAGAAACCGGGCCATGAAGTCTAATCGTTGCAAGACGTGCGGGGCTTAAGAAAGCTCCGAGACGCCTACCACAGACGTCGCATAAAACCAATAATAAGCGGAATTAATTCGTGGACGTGGACGTTATCGGACGCCAGTCAGCTCGAAGAGGAAGCCAAGAAGAGCAGATTTCGGTGGGCTGTGAAATTTTTTCTTTTTTTTTTTAGCGGGTTTCCACTTGCCGAGGCCCACTTCTCCAGCCATACCCGGGATAAAAATTGTGAACACGACCCTCTGTTCACACTAAGAAACATAACTAGTATATTGGATGAGAGAAGACGTTGGCAAGACGTAGAAGTGCGTCATATGTGGATTTGCCCATTTACATTCAGACAGGTCTGACTAATTTATCCGGAAGGTACCACCCAGTAGCGATCTATTGTCACAATGAGGTTACCCTAAACTGCGGATATGGAATCTATCGCAAAACATCATAGTTGGGGGGGTTCGATGCATCGTCATACATCGGGGGGGTATCGTTGGCAGGGAAGACAGCGTTAGGGACTTCCTGTGAAGACATGAACTCATATACCGGCATTGGGAAGAAGGCCCCGAACGACTTCCACAAAGGCTTTCGGTCCACAAGCCTCCCGGTTTCCTGATCGATAATGTCTTCTCCCGCGATGATGTCCAGCTTCAATTGGTGGCTTGCAATCATGGCAGCTTTTTCTTCATCAGGATGTGTGCGAGAAGGGCACTCGCATGGTCCTTGGTGGAGACATGCCCGTTTGGTGTCAATGGCAGACATCTCTAGGACCTCCACGGCATCTGCGCTTGTTGGAATGCTGACATCGAAGGATATCTGGATCATGTCGTCTGTCGCTTCAGTTTTGGGGCGGCCACCAGTTGCGCTCCACCGACCTGTCATTCTCCCATGACATAATTGACGTACACATTGCTCCTTGCGGTAGATCGGGCCCTGGGTCTCATGATGGCTGAGCGTTGATAAGGCCTTTGCCGTTTCTTCAACCCGCCATTTCAGCTCTTTGATCACCACGTGCCTCATCTGCGCTGTTCGTGGGCCCTCCGTGATAGTCTGTTTGGCACATAATCTCGCAGTATATGAAGCTTTGTTACCCGGACCTGGGGATTCCTTGGGTGTAAGATCTAGGAAGACCCTCACTCGATCATCGCGGAAGGTTCGCACATGCTGGATAGTTCGAGCATGGCCCGGAATAGCACGCCGTAGTATTTGGACCGGTCGCGTCGCTGTTGCTGTCGTCCCAGTCGTGGATGTGGATGTCGCTGTAATCATATATGAGACCGTCCCTAGCGCCGTTTCCGTCGTTGGGGTGATATCAAAAGGAACAGGGATCCCGAAATTTAATTTCAAGTTCGTTGTTCCCCGGTCCTGATGATGTTCCACGTGGTGCTGCGCGTGCCAGAGATCACACCGGGTTATCGTCTCGATGCTCGCAGAAGCGCTTTGCCCTCGGATGGGAGTAGGCTGAGCTTGGATTGCCCTTCGCCGTCGCAAGCATCTAAAGAGACCACTGCTCCGCCGAGGAGCCGCAGCGGCACATCGATGTTCGAATGCCACCGTGCGTGTGAGCCTGACACTGAGCTTGGGGTAGCCAGAAGAGTCGATATTGGACGAGGCAATGATGATTTCCACAGACCCCGATAATGGGCTACTGTAGCTCTCATCATGTGGACCCAGAAAGATACAATGGGTTTGGGGGGCTGTCAATTGCACCTCCTGCACTTCCATGGCATGTAATTTCTCGAGCCTTTCGTGCAATCTGTGGCCCTGCGGTGTAGATATCTGGCGAGGAATCACTCCATGCGACCTGACCTGGCTTATTCAGGAGAAATAGTCACATCATAATAGCCGACCGATCGGTAGTGAACGGTATAGCAACAAACATGATAAGGATCACAATGTACGGTATCAACGTTAAACCCAATGAGGAAGCCAAGATGGTAAAATAGACTTTTGGTGGAGGAATAGTGCGGAGTCATCTGCCTCATTCGCTGAGCCTGTCAAGGTCCACTTCGATTGCCGAAAGCGCTTGTACTTCGTACTTACGATGTATGCGCATGTCGGGAGTGGGATGGCAGAGACGGCTTCGATGCTCAATATCCACAGCATGACCCCGAGCCATGCGGGGCTCTATGGTCTGCAGCACCGACTGCTACTCTCTACATTCTATGGGTGGAAGGACCGGGCCTATAACGTCTGCTAGATCCCAATGTTCCCTTGACAGCACCAGATCCCTTGTAGCTGCAATATAGCATCTGCTCGTTATAGTGGTCTTTTTAGGCGCAAAGATGTAGTCCGGTTGCTCATATTCTCTTAGAAAAGGGAGTCGGCTTGCATTCTGTGAGAGAAACCTTTAATCTCTCGAACGCCGCTTCATTCCGCTGTTTTAAAGGGAGACCAAGCAACGGTAGAAATTCCATTGAAGCACCATGGTGATTTTGATCTTAAGGACCAACATAGTCAAACGCCATCGTTCCAAGCAGTTCAACGCCGAAAATCATCCATTGCACAAATTTCTCTTCACTATGGTGCTGATCCAAACACCACAGGAATGGCTTTGAGAAACCAATACGATGTATTGCCAGAGGCTCTTCTCGTACCACTACGATTGTGACGACTCAAAAGACAAACCAGAATGAAACCGAGGACCAAGTGCCGTTTCTTTTTCTTCTTCTTTTTTCTTTTGCTGCGGGAAATGGACATGGCGATGTGGTCAGGATTTTGCTGGAAAACGGTGCTAAACCAAACATTTGAGGCAACTTGGGAGAGACAGCCATCTGCTGGGCTGTTGCGCAGGGATTTGAGGCAATTGTGAAAATGCTTCTTGACAGGGGTGCGAATGTGAATTGCTCTGACAATTGAAAAAAAAAAAAAAATCACCATTTATTTGGGCTCTTCAAGGAGGCTGGGGCTCTCTATCGGAAAAGATGTAAAGAGGAAGAAGAATTGGTGTTTGTTTTACAGTGCCATCAATGATACGGAGGCAGTGGTGCGCTTGTTGCTTCAGCATGGCACAGATCCAAATGCCACTGACGAAAAGGGACGGACGTCTTTACACATATCGATCGAAAGACGTAATGACTCGAAATCCCTAACTGCGCTTCTTTTGGAAGCTGGCAGCGACCCTAATAAAAAGAATCAGTACGGCCGCACCCCTTTGATAGAAATCATCGCACTTGGATTGCCCAATATGGTAACAGTACTGCTCAAAGCCGCAAGTATTGATTGGGATGCAAAAGATGTCTTCGGTCGCAGCGCACATGTTGAGGCCACCAGAAGGAAAAGAGACGGTCTTCTGAAGCTTATATTGCAAGATTGCCGAGAGACCCAGCCCGTCGTCCTCAATGACTTTACCAACCATTCAAAAACATATCGAGACCGATGCCGTGGCATCTGCCGGGTTTTTTGTGCAGTGGAAATGCATATTCATGTTTGAAATGCAACAGTCGCGGCTTTGACATCTGCGAGGAATGTAGGGAGTGGGGTGCAACATGTTTCGGTGATACAAATCAGACTGTTAAGCGAGGGAAATCGGACTAGTATGGGCCTTTTTGGCGGGTGAACATTCTTAGAGCCAAGACTCGAGAAGAATTCAAAGAGTAGTTTCGAAACGAACTGAATTATTATGCATTATGTGCAACAGACGAAAATAAGGTAGCCATATACAATGTACAGTACATCATAACGCGCAATAACCAATGTGTATATGCAGTTGCTCCCGAAGTGAAGTCATACCATGGGCGAAACAGATTGGGAAAGAGTATCTCGTTGGATAAACTCATGTCAATAGTATGGCAGTCTTTATGGAGACGACTAGTTTAACGAAGATGTATATTGCCTAACGAATGTATGTGCGCATACGCAGCCCATTAAGTGCTTGACTAGAATTGTACGTACCGCTGGCCTATATGAAGAATTCCCTGGTCTTACTACTCGGGCCAACTATTTATTCAATTGATTTTTATCAGTTATCATCCGGCGGGTCACGGGGCCAGTGGTGAAGTGATGAAGTATGTGAGCGAGGCAAAAACAGAGCCAAACAACAGCAGCTTGGCAGTTATTGGTCTTCTAGTGGTTCAGGAACGCAAGTAGTCTTCATCCATATAGTATGGAAGCGTTGAGTACCGGATATGACTTACTCACAAGCCATTCCACCCATGACGAAAGACACTCTTTAATAAGATTCAGTAACGAGAAACATGTGCTATCAATGCTCATACACAAATTTGGGTGGTCCATCAATCAGTAGTCTAACTGCACTCTTCCTTAGCTAGAGCTTGAGCATCACAAGCGTTCCCGTCCTCATCGTAGTCGCGATGCCAGACAGGCGTGTCGTCTTGCACGTAGTATGTTATACAATTGCCTCCTCCATTCCGCTTGGTCCAATCCACCACAATCTTTCCCTTGGGACCCTGGTATCAGCCAAGGCCCCTCCAGTAGCTCGATATGTCTTCGTTTGGATATTGGCTGCCGGTAAATCCATCTCCTTTAGCGTATCTTGGATTATTTTAACTTCAGGTGGAGCAGAGGGTCCGTGAGGCTTATACAGTATGTAAGCCACTGCATCGGTTGTCCATGGCTTCCTGTTCAATTTGTCCTGTTCAATTTGTCCTCCAGCTTTTCAATGGTATTCTCAACTGTTTTCTCATTTGTTTATATCTTTTCACGGTGGTTTTCTTCCGCAAAGTGACCGATGACAACCGCACGACTACTCATGATGGTCACAATGGTGCAGCCAAAGATTTGCCTTGGGGCAAATCTTTGAGACTTGTTCGGGTCCAAGGCCCATGAATTCTCATGTCCGATCTAAGTTTTGGATTGGATGCTGTTCCAGAGATTTTCCAAATTTGATGTCGAGATGGTCTGGAGCTCATTCTGGGGTTCTTGCATTTTCCTTTCTTGGCTGGCTAAAATAGGTTTTTCGGGTTCTCTTTGATCTTGCTTCTGGCCTCGAGTGCTTGCGTCAGCCCTGAAACGCCCCTTGAGTTAGGATTAGATAGGTTCTTCTACACTCGGAACGGATCAATCATATACTGTGGAAATGGTGACGCCTGGATGAGAGATGCCAGGAGACAAATCAAGAGGAGAAGCTCGATGCATAACCTCAGAGAAGTGTTGTTCTGCATCAGAACTAGTTGAAACAGTTACATCCTTCCTTGATCCCACTGACATGTGCGCATTCCGACTGACGTGTAAAACCCTCCATGAGAAAACATACAGCATCTTCTGGAAAACATCCCTTTACGGTATTGAGACCGACGTCTCCCTTGACAACTTAGGGGAACTCCAGACAATCTTACCATAACCATGTCGTATTAGATAGTACCTACGCCACGCGCATATTTCGCTACGAGTAATCAAAACCCTCGGAAAAAAGCTAAAAATTACTAAGTCACAGCACTCGTTGGCGACGTGACATGACCATACTTATAGCATCTAGAGCCGTACACTCAGGCCCTAGTGTAAACGCTGAAATAGCATGATCAGTATGCCCCTGCGACTCACGCCCTCTCCGTTCCAACCTAACCCCACTAAAAAACGCCTGTGGTCCACTGAGCTCCCTCTTTGCAGTGGACGTGTCCAAATCATCATTAGAGCGGAGAAGTTTTCCCGATTTCCCCTGTCCTGCAGCCACATCGGGTTCCTGCATCGGCGGCGGCGGTCGTGTATAAAGCTCCAACAACGTACGAAGCTTGTTTGACACGTCGTCCGGCAACTTGCGGTAATTCAGGGATCCGAGCGCGATAAACGCGCGCCGGATCATGTGCACAGGCTGGCCGTGCCATGGTCTCGGGGAGAGATCTGGTTCGAACCCGCTTGCGTAGAATCTGACCAGTATGTATGGTTCGTATAGGCCGCTTCCTTCTAGAATTGTTCCATTTGCTATTTGATGATTTTTGTACTGTTCTTTTGTGGGGCATTGGCGGGGGACGGAGAAACCGCCGCTGGCTGCGAGAGCTCGTTCTCTGTAGTCCTTCTCTTCGAAGTCGATGAAGAAATCTAAATCGGTTGGTATGATGACGAGACGTGGATCTGGGGCGGTATCGAAATTATTGTGGCATGTTGGACATAGACCAATGCCGTTATCGACATCTCTGAGGGATGTCAACAACAGATTCTGTTCTATAATTGTTGAGAGCTAGAAGAGTCAATATAGAGCCGGCCGACAAGCAATATAAAGTATCAAAAGTGAGTGGCACATACAGCTGGGTCCTTCTGAGCAATAACATGGCACGCCTCGACTGGAATGCTTTCGCAAAACCAGCAATTATCTCCTACTAATTCAACAATCTTGCCTTGCGTCGTCCCGGAAAAAGCAGATGAGGCCTTTGATTGAGACGACGAAGATGACGAGCGTGACATTGTGCTCTTCTGCGTTGCCCCGCTCACTGGACAGGGCTCGTAGCTTGGGCTACTTGAGGGTCAGTTTATTCACCGTTGAAATGAGGAAAAAAGCATTAGCAAGATCGAGATAGAGGTCTACTTGGATGCAATGCCGTCAATATGAGGCTGGCCTGCGAATGACAGCATTATTCGGCAATGTGTCATGTGATGTACCACGAATTGAAAGTGATGAATTGAATATGAAATGATACCAGCTGATACTGGTCTGGTCATGGAGAATTGAAAAAGAGAAAGTGCAAGTCAGGAAGACGGGGAAATTATTCGGGTGATTTACCGCAGGCTCACTACGGATACAGTATTACTGCAGGGTTCTTGCGCTTCTCTCATATTCTGAGAATAATGATTGATAATGGTCCATATGCAGAATCAGTCAATTACTTTGGTTATATTCTGAGCTCAGATAGTTCCTAGTCTCAGCTCTAACCTATTATTCAATTTCACCAGATCAGAGGGGAGCTGTGTCTTTTATCACACTGTCAGAAGATTCGGCAACATATTTTACATTGAACTCCGTCACTGACGTTGTTAGTATACGGCAAACAAACAGTGTCCCGAGAACAAGGCTTACATCCAGTGACCGAAATTCTCCCGGAGGGAAGCATGTACACATGGTACTTCTCCTTCAGTATATTGACCTGTTTTCGGGATAGAGTAGTGAGGGAGAGCATTCCTTTCTACAGCAGACACATCTTCAGTATTGTATATATAGGATGTGGAACCGAAAGATACTGACCTCAGATACAAGATGGTCCCAGGATCCTGGCTTTCTAAGCGCAGTCAATAACTCGTACAAGCGCTTTCTCATCACCTGCATTCTGTCACTCATATGGAGTAAATCTTGCTGCCATTGTCTACGAATATTCTCATATCCCAGAATGATCGAGACAGTCCTGGCACCGTACGATGGAGTAGTCGTTATCTCCGATCGCTGCAGTCGCTCCAGCTGTGTAGCCACTTTGGCTTTCGCTTGACTCGAGTGTCAGAACAAGTCCGGAACCCAGACTCACTAGGCAAGATCTATCAAAGGAAATAGACTTTTTTTCGCACAAATAGCGGCAATTTCCTCCCATTGTTCTTCAGTCATGACAATACCTGTCGGATTATGAGCGCAGCCGTGGAGTACCACAACATCATTCTCAATTGCTTCATTCCGCAAAGTATTGACCATCCCACTTAAGTCCAACGAATGGTCTTTCTTATCAAAATATGGATAGAAGCGGACGCTCGTGCTACTATCTAGCTGCTCCCAGACTTGGGGATGCGCAATCCAACTCGGATCAGGGATCCAGACGTTCGCAGGTCGAAGGGTCTTGGACAGGAACAGCGCCCCAAGGTGGTTTGCTCCGGTTCCTCCTATGGTCTGGATGGAAGCAATTCGATCGAGAGTAGTAGTCTCCTCAACTCCGAAAACCAGTCGCTGTGCATCTGACACCAGAGCAGGATGACCGGAAAGAGGCAGATGTTCATGGTCGATAGTTGGGTCATTGTGCAGAAGCTTTTTGGCCTGGCAATTGAGGTTAGACGTACCATGGCAGAAAAAGAAGAACTTACTTGGGCAACTGAAGGAAGTATCCATGGTTGCGCATTCTCATCCCGATAGAACCCAGGACAGAGGTCGACTTTCTGTGGAAATGTATCGCGTGCGTATGCTTCTACTAGAGAGAAAGCAGCGTCAGGTGGTGAGTCGATGATATTTTGAAATCGCGACATTATTATTTCTCCTCTACCTGACAGTCCTATCAATCTGTGAATGTTGGATTATTGCACCTTTTATGCGAGTCCTTGCTCATAGTTAGGGTCGGCAACGCGCTGATTCGCCGAATCCTGCACATATATACTTCGGTCAATGCACGGCTTGCCGGCTGTATACTCGGGATCTTCCGAATAGTGAGGGGTTCCTGAACCTTTGAAACGATTTATCTTACAGGAACCCCCCCAACGTAGAATAAGAGATCTCCTGTTTTCACTGCAATTTGCATCTGTCAGATACAGTACGGTACACACTCGGTGTCCAAATCATTTCCCCAGGGGTTACAACGCTCTAATCGCCTCGGTACGAGTCGCCTATCTTATTTCAGCATGTGCGTGTTAACAACTGGCGGATCTCTTTGAATGTTTCCCGGTATTTCGTCAAGTCTCCGTTCTACTATCAGACAATTCACAATGTCCGCGTCATCGAAGCCGGGTCTTCTCCTAATTGGAATTCTTCAGCACACTTAGCAGGAGAGTGAGCGCCTCCGCACCAAGTATGATGTGCTTCAATTCACGGGAAATAGGAATGAATTCCTCCAGCACTGCAAACAAGGTAACTTCAACCATGTCGTCGGTCTCTACCGCACCAATTCCACAAAAGAGACCGGCCCGTTCGATAAAGAATTAATCTTATCACTACCGGATTTACTCAAGTATATTGGCCTCAATGTTGCTGGGTATGATGGTATGGATATATCTGCCTGTACGGAGCGGAGCATTCGTATTTCGAATACCCCGAACGTCGTTGCAAATGCCACAGCAGACGTGGTGATGTTCTTGCTCCTGGGTGCGATGCGGCATGCGATGATCCCGCTGTAAGTACTAAGAAATGGAAGATGGAAAGAGGAAGCACCTCTTGGCCATGATCCTCATGGTAAAACCCTCGGTATATCAGGAATGGGAGCCATTGGTCAGGTAGGATTTACTATCCCATCTCCCTCTCTTGAAAAGTAGCTAATATCAAAGGCTCTCGCTCATCGAGCTCGCGCATTCGGACTGAGGATAATATACCATAATCGGTCGAGACTACCTAATGATAAAGAGGGTGAGGCAACCAGTTAAGATGCCTACGGCATTATGCTAACCGCGATCAGGATCAGCGACCTATGTCACTTTCGACAAATTGCTCCGGTCGTCAGATATACTGAGTCTCAACCTCCCAGCCACCCCAAATACGCGACATACTATCTCACAGCCACAGTTCAAAGTTATGAAAGATGGCGTCGTGGTGATCAACACTGCGCGAGGGTCTCTGATTGATGAAGCAGCGTTGGTGGATGCTCTAAATAGTGGGAAGGTTCTATCTGCAGGATTGGATGTTTATGAAGATGAGCCTAGAGTACATCCTGGCCTTATCAGTAATGGCCGTGTTATGCTTCTTCCACATATTGGCACGACGACTATTGAGACTAAGCGGGAGATGGAATTACTGGCATTGCGGAATCTTGAACATGCATTGGATCAGGGAGAGTTGTTGACGCCAATTCGAGAGCAGTCCTGAGGCGGAGCCCGTTTGCCAGTGTATTAGTAGCCCATTTCTTCTCGTGGTGCAGACAGTAGACTAGCCCCTGTTGAGTGATGTTTACTATCCAAACAAAAGTCTCGATGCCTGGGATTGGGAAAGAAGTACCGCAACATATACATAAGCGTAAGCGCCAATGAACAAGGAATTTTCTTGATGCTCAATTGGCGTACATAGGCAGATACCCGATTTATGAGAAGGTCAACTGTACCGTCTAGATGTATCCGATGGCAATTCAGACCTGGTTATCAAAGAAACCGGTTACTATCATTCCTAGTATATCCTGTTGAGACGCCATATACAACCAACTCACGCAATCACCATGAAATTCGATATCTTTTAGTCTTCAGTTTGCTTTTAGCAGTTGCAGCCGACCTTCAAATCAAGCTCGACCAAAAGCTCGCCCCGAAAAAGCCAGGTAAACATTGCCTTAACGACGACTTTGTACGTGCTTAGCTCATACATCGACGTTAAACAGGTGCCCTCGTACGGCCAGCTCTTCAAAATAGCCACCGATACCTACAACAAGATGGTGAAGCTCTGGAAATCTGAGTGTCCCCACCAAGAACCAGCCCACGGCCATGGAAGCCCTGGCGGTCAATAACCAGGTATTCCTAGCTTCGTCAATTAAGTGTGTCAAGACTGGCAAGTGTGTATATGGTAATTGTAGCGAGGAGCAGGATCGGGGCAAGTTGAGCAACAATCTTACGACAGTGTGGGAGGCGAAGGAGCTGATGGGCGCGCTTGAGGACTGTATGAACGAAATTGAGGTATTGTCACATAGCCAATCAGGACCAGGGGCATATCGTGGCGGTAGATTAGGCCCAATCTCCCCCCACCCCAGAAATGATGTTCTTGCCCTCCTCTTATTGTGTTTTAATTGCAGAGTGTATAAGCCTGAGATCTACTATTATAATGGCTCTTGTCTCTGTGTCCGTAGTGACAGCCTTGCTGGACTTGCACAGTCTCTGGGCTCTGGTGCTCGTTGGTTTGGTTGTGCGTGCCATCGTGCGGAGATATTGGACACCGATCAGAGATATCCCTGGCCCATTTCTGGCATCGTTCTCGAAATTATGGCAGGTTTACCAGCTATGGAAAGGGCATATTGAAGAAGAGCTTATTTGTTTGCATAAAAAACATGGTATCATCCCCAAACTTGCATTTTTCATGCACTCTTTCTAATAACTATGAGTGACAGGATACTTTGTTCGCATTGCAGAAAATGAAGTCAGTGTCTCTCACCTAGACGCAGTCAAACAACTTCTGCACGCCAATATTGCTAAAGTACGTTCTTATATTCAAACGACAGCACTTAGATATTAATAACCATCTAAAAAGGGTCCATGGTACGCAATTTTCAGTCTACCAGACTACCGCTATGTCAACCAAATGTCCGAACTAAACCCCCGCCGCCACATCGAAAAATCCCGCAACATTGCTGCCAGCTTCGCACTCTCAAACATAATCAAATCTGAACCGCACGTCGACGCAATCCTACTACAACTCGAAAGCCGCTTAGACGAACTAAGCAAATCCGGCGAAGCCGTGGACTTCGACAAATGGTTCAGCTTCTTTGCCTTCGACGTCTTGGGCGAAGTAACATTCTCCAAGTCCTTCGGTTTCACGGAGACAGGTACGGATATCAGAGGTGCTGTTGCAAATACTAAAGCCCTGGCGTTGTATATTGCAGTCATGGGTCATTATACCTGGTTCCACAATTTGACGCTGGGGAACCCACTGCTTAGTAGCATTGGGGTTCAGCCCTCGTCTCATATCTTCGATACATGTCTTGTGGCTATCGATGCCAGGAAGAATAATCCTGAAACAAGGAACGATATGATGCAGCGCTGGCTTGATGTTCGAGCTAAGTGTCCGGATCGTATGGCAGAAAGGGAGCTTTTCGCTGCAGCTGTTGGTAATATTGGGGCTGGGGCTGATACTGTCGGGGCTACTGCTCAGGCTTTTGTGTATTACCTGCTGCGTCATCCGGTGTATTTAAAGCAGCTGCGGGATGAAATTGATGCTTTTCAGGCACGGGGAGAACTTTCTGCTATAGTTCAGTACAACGAGGCGCGAAATTTGCCGTTTCTTCAGGCTTGTGTAGGTACTCCGGCTGAGACAGATGAGATGGCTTTGTTGACTAATACATATCAATAGCTGAAAGAGACCTATCGTTTCCATTCAGCTGTTGTTGGTGGTCTTCCTCGAGTCGTACCACAGGGTGGGATGATTATTGCAGGCAGATACTTCCCAGAAGGGGTATGATACCCCAAAAGTACTCCCACAACGCGGTAGAATTTAGGTTTGATACTGACCAGGGATTCCAGATTATCCTGAGTATCAACACCTGGGTCTTCCATCGAAACCCCAAGATCTTTGGCGAGGACTGCGATAGCTTCAAACCTGACCGCTGGCTTCAGAAAGAAACCGAAAAAATTAATCCATTTTTGATTCATGTAACTATGTGTCAATATCTTCTCAGTTTGCACCAGCACTGACAACCATTTTATAGTGGGGAGCCGGATACAACCAATGCCCCGGACGTAACCTCGCCCATTTTGAACTCTCCAAACTATTAGCCACCTTAATCAAAGACTACGATATTGAGCAAGTGGACACTAAAAAGGAATGGGTATTCAAGAGCCAGTTCACAGCTGTTCCATCTGGCTGGCCATGTACGATTCGACGACGCTCGAATAAATAGCAAGAAAAAAAGAGGGAGGAAGAAAGAAAATATCTTTTTGCAGAATCTACTGTGCTACCAATTGAATGGCCATTCCTCGGCTGTCATTTCAATGATACTTCTACCTAGCCGGTCTTTTTGTTGCCTCTAGCATTCTCAAGTTTATACCAACCCTCCTCAAGATTTAGCTAACAAGGGACCGATTTTTACAATCGCTATTGCCCTTCGAGCGATAGCCCATGGCTGTACAGCATTGCAAGATATTCCGACATGTACAGCACGGGTAACTTCAGCCAGTAAGGCTATAATCGGTACGACCCGATATTCTATGCTGATGTCGCTCCATTGAACACTCTTATGTCAGACTCGCATGAATCCAGAGGTTGGCTTTACCATTCTGCCCCGCGATCAGCGGGAGACATCTACCTACTGGGGTGAGTTCCCTGTCGAGCATGTGGGAAAATGAGTGCTTTACTCTCAGGCAGGACATCAGGCTATGTCAAATGCATTTACAGTCGTAGCGTACTTGACGATCAAGGCATGTATATTCCAAAAGTCTAAAATTCCAAGCAACTTCTTCCTCCCATACTTTCTGGGTGCAGATTTCGATTAACCAACTATTTCCTTGGCCGGCATTATTGTGGTTTCGGTACTGATTGCGGACTACTTGCTTGCGCTGTTCTTCGGGCAGATTATGCGGCGGTCTCTTTGTTGTGGTCTGGAGGAACCATCGGGGATGCTGTTCCACTTACACCATTGCTCGATATTTCAAATTCCTCGCAATTATAAGCAATATGTCGTGGCTTGGATGTTTGTGGCTCAAGTATATAAAGAGCTCGTATTCCTTGCCGGGTTTCAAAGAATCTCAATGTCAGATAGAATAAGTCCATCTACCAGACCTTCAATCGAAGAAATCATCGAATTGACATCAGTTTCTGAAAAAGGACCAGTACGGGGTATACATACAGCATACAGCTCTTAAGACACATAAATACGCTAACTTGCGCGTTTTCAGGATGTCTTCATGATTGCCCGTCCACCGTGGGCGTTTACCGGCGCTCGAGGATTATACAGGGGTACAACGACCGCGCAGTGCCTGGTAGCTGCTCAACACACGGTTTCTAGTGAAGCCATCACTGTCTACAACATGCAAATTGGTTTTCTTCATCCTGGCAAGCCAAACATTCCGATCGAATATCACGTAGAGAAGACGCGTGACAGCAAGAATTTCGCGACGCGCATTTTTCGAGGATTCCAAGGCAGACATAACTGCTACCGCGACATTGAGCCTTGCATCCGCAGTTGGAGCAACTGGGAGAGAAGGAGTGGTGCTCCATATGAACATGGGAAAAAGATGCCGACCGGTTTGAGCCCGCCAGATCAGGCCGAAATGGAGACACATAAAGTGGAGGGACCTTTTGAAATCCAAACGGAAAAATTTCTGAATAGTCTGTTACCTTTGGCTATTTTGTTTTTCGTACAAGCTTCCTTCTAAAAAGAAGTAGAATACTCCGATAATCCTGCCGACATGACGATCCGCTACTGGATGCGTACCAAAGGGCCTATACACGAGAATAAAGTGCAATCTCATCTTGCAGCTCTGGCTTTCCTAACTGACGCATACTTTGTGTCGTTACGGGGGTCCAAGATGGTGCGAAGTACGAGGTTTTAGGAGTGGTTGCGAGTCTGAACCATACAGTTCATTTTCATGAGTCCAAGGTTGTGCATGCAGACCAATGGATGTCCTCTGAACGGGAAAGCCCTTGGGCAGGGAAGGATCGAGCGTTGGCTGTTCATAGGATCTGGTCGGGCGACGGTGTTTTGCTTGCTACTTGTATGCAGGAGGTAAGCGATCTTCCTGGATGGTTTACGAGGGACGAATAAGAGGGACCCCCCATTTCCTCTCAGCTTCTTCGTTTTATTCATTCGAAATGCCTAGTTGCTAACATCGTTTGGTTCCCCTAGGGGTTAATCCGATCGAAGTTGAAAGTATAGGGTCGAGTATAGATCTTGAAATCATTTGCGTGAAACGTGACTTTAAAGATATATGGTGACAGAATGCCTCCGTCTTCCTAGTTCCGTGGCCTGTTTGTATTTATGGGAGGAAAAGAAAAAGAGCAAATATAAGTAAAAGGATATTTTATTGACGATAGCCCTCATCCTACTAAAATCCATATCTAAAAAATATACATCCAAAGACAATTTTATATTCACACTGTTCAACCAAGCTGTCTATTCTCGCTCTGAGAGTCCCTTCTCACTGCCCATCCACCAACGCTTTGCCTTGGAACTGACTTTCCGTGGAGTCTATAGAATCTCCACTAGCTAGGCCCTTCCTAAAACACCTTCATTCATACCGTGGTCCATGATCATATGGAGAGCAAGTCGTGCACCACACCTCCATGACGGAATACCAGCTATCAACCAGTTCAGGATTGGACGGTCTAGGACCGGAGGCGAAACGCGGATGGCTTAGTGAGAGCCGAATCTTGCGGCCTTTGATCTTTAGATCGGGCACTGTATCCCCATAAATGACTCCATCAAACCAACCAACTCCGCTGCGCACGGGCTGAGCCCACGACGCTGCTGCAGAGGACGACGAGTGCAATCCCTTCCGGCAAGATAAAAGCGCAATCAACCCTTGTCTTGAGGGAAAATACAAAATCTAGATTTGCTTCTTACGAAGGCATTTCTAGGGTATAATGCCTTAGGGTTGACAATCGTACAAGCATTAAGTCGCCATAGTCAGTTCTGACCAAAACTGAACACTGGTAGAGAGCTGTTGCATATCTGTCGTCTACTCAAGACGTGCTCACCAGGGCCTACTCATATCGTGAGCTCATGCTATGGCGGCTTCCTGTCAACATACAGTCCGTTGCTATTAGGGCCCTCGATCCAGTTGCTGCTTGGCAAGAAGTCAGAACTGAGTTGTGAATCCGCGGATATATTTCACTCCTAACATTTACCTGGAAGGAAATATCTTAATGGCCGTGTTTGATCATGCTTGGCTGAACATCATTGGATGACGTATCGAGAATCCCACATTCTGGTCAAGGAGAAGCTTGCATTGACGATACGAGACGAGCATCTGTACATGCAACATATCCGCCAAATACCACAACCAAGACCGCTAAGTTCATCTTGGCTGACCAAGCCCCGTGATGCGTCGCTCGTTCACTTGATAGCGAGCTAGACAACTACCGCACATCATGCGCAGTCATTCGCAAGGATGTCAAGATGTTGAGATGCGCATGAAGAACAGACTGACCATAGCGACGACTATTACCTACTTCTAATGTCTCGTAAAACACTTCCTGGCCACGATGCTACTCAACCCCAGGAGAAAGAAAAAAAAAAAAAAAAAGCTATAGTACGGTAGTGAGTGTCCATTCATGTCGAAGGGAGACACAGCCAATACTCCTGACACTGTGTTTCCGAACAAAGTTGACCGTTCACGGCTTTACGATTTCAGACTGGAGCTTCCCATGCGACATTTGGCCTTTTCGCAATGCAGGTGGAACGGAAGCATTCCATTTTTCCGGCCATGCATTTCAGAACTTGCGAGGTCGACGATTATTAGTACTTGAGGATCGTTGTTTCTTACAGGCGTCTTTGTTTCTGTAAAGCAAGCGTGTTGCTTTTGAGTATATACTCTGCTGCAACTGGTTCTCAAAGCAGGACTTGGTCATTATTAATGATACGAGGATATGGACAGTTTTCTATCATTATTCTCCAAAATGTCAGTGTAATGTTGCGATGCCAGGTACTTGTGCATGCGATATACAATATGCATTGCGTGCATAAATTGTGAACGAGCACGTGCCCCCACGTAACCGAGGTTGCCGATACCTACCTGATAAGAGACGGGAAACGCCGGGACATGCTAGTGTGGGACGGATTGCTGGAGGAGTCGATCGCGGGTCTGACACGGTTGTTGGTCCAAGTGGCGCTTATGCATGCCTACAAGTACTTACGGAGTAGATACTCTGCACAGTGACGGTAGTTAACTATAGGTAGTTATACCTTGTAACCTGTACGCTGTAGCTACAGTAGAATAGCTCAGTAGACGGGTTAAGCATTGAGGAACCACGGGTCTCTGCCGGCCAAGAATGGGTCAGGGGAATTAATATGGATTGGAGTGTTTCAAATTCAAAATCAGCCCTGTTATGGCCGGTGTGTACAGAAACCCCTCTGTTTCATCTCCTTCATTCACTCTTCATTCATTCTTTAGGCGTTTCTGACTTGCCTGCATTGCTTCTGCCAATAATTCAGGCATCATTCACTCATTTCTCATTCTTTGTTGTCTCCAGCCCTGTCCATTCATTCTATAAGCCCACATTATCCCCACGGGTCGCACGCGCCAGCCATCCTGGTCCTGCAGACTGTTGTGCTCCTACTCTTTCTCCATCGCGGCGCCAAAGCATTGATTATCTAGCGCCTTCTTGAAACCTCATCTTGTTCAGCTGTCTATCACTATCCTCGCTCCGACCGTCCAGTGGCCATGCGTTGTTGATCCAACTCTCCGTCGTCTTTGCGCGTCGCTCATTATTCCCGCGGCCGTCTTTTATAAGATATTCCTAAAATATCCTTCCCAGCGGTTTCTCTCTTCAGCGCATTGATTGCTGCTGCTGCTTTGTTGGTACTGTCATTGTTGGTTGCGATCGCGACTTCGTCCGGCTGGTCCGCGGAGTCGATTTACGTCGTTCACTACTGTCTCTATTTACATTCGTTATAAACGTTCCTTGGCCGTTTTTTCCTGCTGGATCAGGATTCCGCTTGCAAGATGGGCTTCTGTGGTGATCGTGAAAAGGGGCAGACTTCTCTTGAGGAGAAATGGGACTATGTGGTGAGTGTAGCTTCAACTGCTATGCGACCACGAAGACTAACCGTGACATCTCTAGAACCTCGACGATTTCAAGTCTGAGTCCTGCCTAACACCCTTCTCCTATTTTTTCCTTTGGTTCTTTCTCATCATCTCGTTGGCCGTGTATGGCGTCGATACCTTTACTGCCGTTAACCTCCTCGCCTTCTCTCGATGGGCTGGTCAAATCGAACCCACCATCCCGTTTCACATCTCGCGCTGGATTTACGCCGTCTGTATCATCATCTCCTTCGCTCTGTTGGTTTACCGATGGATGGTTGCCATCCGCGCCATCCGCTCGAAAAGTATCGCACGCAGCTACCTTAACTCTCTCGCTGTCCGCATTCAAAGTATTCGACCGGGCAGAAGAGGTCGCGGGTGGAAACGCTTCCTGGTGTTTGCGGAGTTGACCAAGAGTAAGAAGGGGGCGGAATATGTGGCTTTATTCACCTATTTCTCGTTCGAGTGTGAGTCTTGTGTATCCGTCATTATGGACTGGTGCTAACTATGCAGCCTGGATGAACACTGTTTTTGCCGACGGACCGCGCCAGGTCGTCAATGCCATAACATTGTATTCTGTGATGCAGATGGACCTTCTCCCTGGTGGACAGAACGCAGAGAAATCCGATGACAGCGGGGCTGCGCAATTCTTTGAGAATGTGAAGATCCTGGCAGTGAACAATAACCTGCGAGCCGTGGTCTTGTTTTCCATGTTGTTCACCTTGGTCATCTGGGTTCTGTCCGTCATCAAACTGTTGATCGCTATCGTTCTTTACTTGATTTTCCTCTTTCACCACATCCCGTCGCGCGATGGTACCTTGACAGCTTATTGTCGCCGCAAGATCAATACCCGTGTGATGCGCATCGTCAAGGTAAAGGTTAACAAGGCATTGGCCAAGGGAATGGCTCTGCAAGACCGAGCACCGACACAGCCAAACATGGGTGCGAATGTCAGACCAACATTGCCAACCGTTGGGAAGGGTGAAGACAAGGGACCCATCGTTACAACGATCTCTCGCTCGACGACTCAAACCACGTTGCCCTCGCGTCCGGGAGGTGCAGTGGCAGACCGCAACCCTACACTTCCTGACCTGTCGTGGTCCGATGAGCATCCTGGGCTAAGCAGAACGGCCACTGAGACGTCTGCGTTCTCTGAATCAACTGCGGTTTCGACATACAGTCCTCTGGACCGCGGACCGTCACCAGCACCACCTGTGCCCCCTCTACCAGCCAACATCCCTCCTATGCGTTTAAACACGCCTGCCACTCGACCACCGGCCTCACGGTTCGCTCCCACACCGACCACGGCCCGGTCTACCCCAGCACCTGGATACCGGGGAATGACCGAGGAGCGTAGCTACGGCGCTTATGGGCCTCCTAACCCGGTGCCTTACCGGTCTCACACTGCGGCTCCTGATATGTATGGCCGATCGATGACTCCTGGTGTTGTCATCTCACCGTCAGCACAAACGGACTATCCCACTCGAACCTTTACCCCGGTTGCTTCAAGTGCAACTGCACAACCCGGTTATCCAATGCCATCATTCACCCCATTCAATCGAAGCGCTTCTCCCGCTGTCGCACCGGTTGCGTATCCCGAACGAACCTTCACCCCGATGAACCAAACCCCTCAGCCTAGCGGTGGAAACTACCACGCTTTCGGTCCATCCATGACCTCGCAGACACCGATCCAACGAACAATGTCCCCTGCCTACCAAGCATACCCCGGACAAGACTCCGGACAACAACCATTCCGGCCCTACCGCAACGATGGCAACTTCTGATAGCGTCCCGGTGACTTTTCTCGTTGCACACAAAAGAAATTTTTTTTTTTTTTTCATTAATGAGCGTGAGCGTTGGAAGAGCTGATTAATCTTCCGCATTTGATGACCTGAACTGACAACCTGTTTTCTTTTCGCTTTGTTATGATAGAGAGCTGTAAATACCCGTATCTTATGATAAGCAATCTATTACTTGACTGGAAACGAGAGGGTTATATGCGTAGAGATATCTGCGGTATATAACGCAGTTTCTTTGGGTGCATGAGAGGAGGCAAATATTATAATAAGATCGATTCAATAATGATCATATAAAACCAATAGAAATCTATAACAGATAAAATGTGATATGCATAATGCAAGCTGTCCACTCCCTGCGCAATATCAAAACCGTTATCATTAAGCCAATCTCCGCCCGCTCATCATCCCATCACCGATCCAGACCGCACCAACGCCAACCAAAACCAACATCTCCAAAACCTCCTACAACTCAGCCACAGTCAACATTGGCAATGATCCCTCCTCAAAGCCGATAGAAATAACCACCTAATGTGCGCCATTCATTCACTTCCCTTCCTAAATGGCCGTCCCTACGCCCCTGTTTCCGCCGCCGCCAGCTTCAGCCTCCGATCCCGCTTCGATTCCAGCCACAACACCAGTACATGACCATTCGTCTGGGAATCATGAATATGAGAACTACACTGGAAGCCATAGCAGCGGAAACAACAGCGATGAAAATGTTCCGCACGGGTTGAGTAACGGAGTTCATGTAGATATGACGGAATCTTTGAACAAATCTACAACCACGGAAATGAACACGCGACGGGACGGTTCAACGCCTTCAATACCGGAAATCCCTCCTTCAGCGCGAGCAGATAAAATGGAAGCTATCGCTGAGGATCCTGTGTCTACAACTGCAGTGGAGGACAAAGACGAACAAGGACAGCAAACAGGATCGGAATTGCGCGCCAAGCGGTCTCGTGCGCGATCGACGACGAGTTTACTGGACGGTCCTTCGATTTTTCAGCCGCATACCGTGAACCGGGACACCAGTAGGATGGGTCGCAGCAGCAGTAACGGGAATTTGGACATTCCGTTGTCTCCTAAGGGTACGATGAAAGCGACAGAGAACGCTCATGTCCGTCGTGGATCATCGGGGGAGGACATTGAAGGGCCCGGGGCGGTTACACCGCAACGAAACCAAGACAAGGACAAAGAAAGAGAAAGAATACTGAAGCTATCGCCGTCGAGGATCCACGAGCTCACGTCGTCACCGCAGTCAATTCCGCTTCGCCCAGTTCCCGAGGCTTCGCCGGAGTATGGTCGACGGGTTATGTCTGATAACACGTACACGACGGTTTCGCGGTCGGTGCCCGGCGATGGGATGGCGCCGCCGCAGCTACAGCTTCCGGCTGATTTGAGGATATCGACGGATATTGCTAAGATTCGGGGTAGTAAGGATCTTCATCTAGATGAATTGCCGGAAGCGTTGAGTCCGGGAACGAGGCCGGTGTCTTCTTCGTCGCGCAACGGGCGGCCACATGTGCCAAGGACGGTTTCTACTCCGTTAGCATCGTCGTCGCAGCGACAGAAGCCCGCTTCTTCGAATAATGAACGTCTGGCGCAGACCTGGTCGTCACGCCCCAGACAGGATCGACCGTCTATAACTCGCATGGAACAACCTGAACCCAAACATCACCATAATCATAATAATCACGGCCTCGCGCCACCACCTCAGCTAGCGGAGCCGGCTCTCCCATCTCCTATGCCTCAATCTATACCCCTTCCGCCTGTGTCGATACCTACATATTTGCAACTAGAGCTTGCATCTGGCCGGCCGTCACCACTGTACATTCATCATTCCGCTACGTCCGACTTTCCATACGAGTCTGCGCGGGTGAAACTCGAACGATTGGTCAATTTTCTAATGCTCCCTCCGGCAGTGGAGCAGGTGCTCTGGTTTGGGCTTCTGGCATGTCTTGATTCATGGCTTTATTCATTTACGATACTCCCTCTGCGTTTTGTCAAAGCATTATACATTCTACTGGAATCATGGGTTCTGAATCTCGGCGTTGAATTCCGGTATATCTCAGGGTTTGTTTATAATGGTGTTGGTCGGGTATGGCGGCGGAGGAACAGGGCTGCTTCTATTTCTGCTAGCTCTGAACCACAGCGCAGTCCGGAGCTCGATGGGAGATTCCGAACAAAACAAGAACAGGCTATTGAGCGAGAGTCGCGCCCTAAAGCACCGACGGAGCCGCGACGGCGGCATCGGACTGAGACGCATCGGCATCATCGCCGACAGAAGTCCATTCCATCTGCGCTACTCCCGGATGATAAGGCAGATATTTTGAAAGGATTGCTTATGATTGTGACGTGTTGGGTGCTTATGCGGTTCGATGCGAGTCGGATGTACCATTGGATCCGTGGGCAGGCGGCGATCAAGCTTTACGTGATCTACAACGTCCTCGAAGTTAGTGATCGGTTGCTTGGTGCTATAGGTCAGGATGTGCTAGAGTGTTTGTTCTCGAGGGAGGCACTGGAGCGCAGGCCAGATGGACGGAGTAAGGTGTTTCGTCCGTTTGGGCTGTTTCTGCTCGCGCTGGCGTACACGGTGATTCATGCGACTGCGCTGTTCTACCAGGTCATGACGCTGAACGTTGCGGTGAACTCGTACTCCAATGCGTTGATCACGCTACTACTATCCAACCAATTCGTGGAGATCAAATCGACTGTGTTCAAGAAATTCGAGAAAGAGAACCTCTTCCAACTCACCTGCGCCGACGTGGTCGAGCGCTTCCAACTCTGGCTGATGCTCACGATCATCGCCTCCCGCAACATCGTCGAAACAGGTGCTTTCAACTTTGTCGGCAGCCTAGGCTCAACTTGGAGTATCAGTGGCAACTCCTCAACAAGCACAAACAGCACCCCTCTCTCAACGCCACCCCGGACAGCATCTTCCATTCTCCCGCAGTCTTTCACCATTCTGCCTTCATCTCTAATTGCATCTTTCAGCCAAGTAAACACTTTCCTCCCGAGTCTCCTACAGGTTCTCGGCCCATTCCTCGTCGTCCTAGGCTCAGAAATGCTAGTCGACTGGCTCAAACACGCCTACATCAACAAATTCAACAATGTCCGACCAAATATCTACGGCCGCTTCCTCGACATCCTAACAAAGGATTACTATACAAACGCCTTCGGCGACCAGAACCTCACCCGCAGACTCGGCCTCCCCGTCATCCCACTATCCTGTCTCTTCTTCCGCGTCTCGGTCCAAACATACAAAATGTTCCTCGCCGCATCACTACCACAACAACCCTCCTCAACAATGCAAGCGACTTCTCTCTCTTCGATACATAATCACTATGCACCGGCACCAATTCAATCAGCACCACCACTTACGCTGAAAACAATTGTCCCGTCCTCCATGGCACATATAAGTAATATCTTCCGCAGCGTACTAGCAAACGCAATGCCCACACCCGCGCAATCAGTCTACATATTCACCGTCATCCTGTTAATCACCGTCTTCCTCGTCCTCCTCATCTTCAAACTCCTCTTGGGAATGGGTCTCCTCGCGTACTCCCGCAGACGGTATCAGGGCATGAAACTTGCTGAATACGAGCGTAACCACCCCCACGCTCACTCTAGCCCTCATAACGGCATCCAGCCCCCGTCAATCACCACCGACCCCGTGTCTCAGAAAGGCCGCGGCTACGCAGTCGAAGGAAGTAAACGCATCGGCGGCTGGGGTGTCGTCGAAGTCGGCGAAGATAGACGCCGTTGGGTATATGCTGATGATCCCGAGGGGTTGAGGAGAGTGCGCGCGTATGAAGAGAAGGAGGTGAAGAAGGGTAGTGAGGAGGGGAGTTTCGATCATGTGCAGAGGTATGAGATGGTTGCCAAAAGGATTTGGTGATGGTTTTTTCCAGCCATGTGATTCTTGACAGACGTGTGTTGAATGCTTGTGATACCATGATTGTAGCATATGTAACTGCATATATTGTTATTTGTTAGCATTAATAGTAGGTATTAGTACATAAGCAGACTGAAATAGAATAGCTTAGTGGGTCAGCTGAACTCCGCCCTACATGGATACCCCGTGTTATAGTAAAAAAGAAATTTGGAACACTTTCTGCATTTAATGATTTACAGCCTTGATCCGCCTAATAATGTCACATCTCGTAAGGACTACAGTATTTCTAGAACCTAAGGCTTTACACTAGGAAAACGGAAAAAGCTAGACAAAGGTTCTCTGATTCATATAAAGAGAAAACCAAACTGGAGGCACGATTTACAGTGGTGACCAGTGTTATTCAATGACTGCTAAGTTTCTTGCTTGAGAACCGTGATATTAATATCTAGTGATAGACAGCATACTTCTTGATAAGTGGTTGGGCAGCAGAACCCAATGCAGCGAGATCTCTTTGGACTGAAGCGAGCGTTTGAAGAACCCCCTGTCTTGAAACACTATGAATTTGGAAAGCCAACGTTGTTGTTACTGATGCATCTAAGTACGCTGTTGCAGATATCATCCTGCAACCCGCCCCTGGTACGACAGGAGAGCGGAACCGAGACTGGGCACCTGTAGCTTTCTATTCAAGAAAGTTAGATAATACCGAGCGACAGTATGAGGTCCATGACCAGGAACTACTCGCAATCGTCGAGGCGTTCAAGGTATGGAGGCACTACCTACTTGGTACAGGGTCGCCTATTCGTGTGCAGACCGATCATGCGAATCTTCGATACTTCTTTCAGGCCCGTACTTTGAACCAGCGCTAGGCTCGCTGGGCCGAATTGCTCGCGGCGTATGATTCTATTATTGGACATAAGCCGGGACGTCACAATCCCGCCGATGCACCGTCGAGAAGACCGGATTACCGACCTACCGAAGACGAGGAAGAGTCTGTCGGGATGCTACTACACTGCAGCGGAAATTACAGTTAGGTCGAGTACTCCACCGGTTGGGCTGAGGTGCCCCCAGGCCTCCTGAAGAGGCCCAGGCGGGAGACCCAGGATATCCGGAGTTCTTGGTCTCAAGAGAGGTAGCCCAGGAGGCGGCTAGCCATGAAGACCCCATCGAACCGTTGGCAACTAGCGGTCTCCGGAAGTTGATTATAGTCCTGCAGCAGGAGGACGCTTCTGCTGTCAGTCGAGTACGAGACCTGCAAGACCCAGCTCGGATGGGGCTTCAGAAAGAAAAGGGGTGGTGAATCGATAGTGAAGGGCTATTACGATTCCGGAATGCCATTGCCGTGCCTCCCGACTCAGCCATACTTGCTGAGATCCTGAAGGTCTATCATGATGATCCTTTTGCTGGGCATTTGGGACACGATAAGACCCAGGAACCGATTGAACGCAAATATTACTGGGAGAGCCTGCGAACAGACGTCGCACGACATGTCAAAAGTTGCCCAGAGTGCCAGTACAATAAGACACTCCGAAGGAGGCCGTACGGGAAACTCTCTTCATTAACCGTGCCGGAAGGCTCCGGGCAAAGTTTATCTATGGATTTTATCTCTGCTGTACCGCCCTGTGCACGCGATGGAGTTGTTTGTGATGCCATTCTTGTCTTTATGGACCGATATACCAAGACCGCTAAATATATCCCAACAACTAAGAAAGCAAAAGCTAGTGATCTGGAACGAATGTTCTTTAAGCATGTTTTAACGAAGACAGGAGCTCCGAGGAGCCTGATAAGTGTTCGAGACTTGAGTTGACGAAGTAATTTCCAGATATGACCATTCCATGCAAAAACGGATTCTTGTCGAGCGATTGAAGAAGCGAGGTGTCCAATGAATTTTCCCAACACGAACTTTACCTCGGAAATGAAATACAGTCCAGTTTCACGTATACGAGTGTAATTGTTATTTTTTCTCTTTTTAAAAAAGAAAAAAACATCCTGTCCTAAAAACCTTTTCAGGTTCAAGGAATACTGAAATACAATTTGCCGAGCACCTATATCACCCCAAAAACAATTTGGCTACATTTCATCCAATTCTGGCTCCTTGTTCTTCTCAAATTCAGTGATCTTCTCTGTTACTCGGACCTTCCTCGGTTGGTTGTTAAACTCCTGGTCAGCCTTAACCTGTGTTTAATGTATTAGCATCGATCTTTTCTTCGAGATAAAGACTCATTACCGAGGCTTCACTCAATGTAGCATTGGTTTCGTCCCATTTCATCACGCGTGCTTTCTTGTCTAGGACAAAAATGGGCGGTTCAGTGGTATCGGGGTATGCAGGGTGAACGAAGAAGTCATCAAAGTCGGTTGTCAACAAATAATAGCAGTGTAAGTTAGTTTGGATTTCAGCTCACATTGACCCTTTTGCAGTCCATGATAGCAAGCTCTTGAGAGCAAGTTGATCTGCTGAAGAGAGCGAGGTTTGACTTGATATCGAAGAAGAGCAAAAGACATGGCAGGATCTGTATAGTGTATGGATAATATTCCAAATCGTAATGTACTATGAATCTTGGGAGCATCGAATAGCCACTTTGCATTGGTAAATGCCATTTATAGGTGGCTGTCCTAAGTTGAGCTCATACCGCCACGATGATTTCATGAAATGTAAGCAAAACACTAAGACTACATGCGGGGTCAGGGATACATGGAAACAGTCATGCTACTCTGGTTAAAAGCTGCGCTAAGTTGCCAATTAAAGTACTGTTCTACTACGTTCCATGGTTCCGGTTCTTGATTAGGTAGATGGAGGACAAACAATACTTTTATGCACTTTGAGCCGATATAGGTGTAGCGGGGATCCTCGAACTCTAGAGTATCCTTGTAGGCCATTCCCAAAGAATGGCTACATGATCATTGAGAAGTGTACAGATGATGTCAGACCCGCTTATGAGTTACCTCCCTATAAGTAGTCAGACTAGCAATGCTTCAATGTGACTTCATAGAGCCAGACAATAGTTTCGAATAACTGAGAGCCTTCTATATATAAGGCCTGCATCCCAATCGCTCAGAATTTGCCACATGTACTGTGCATCTTCAAACAATCAATACCTTTTCTAATTTCTGATACATTCCACCCAATATGTTACGGGGCACTTCTGTCTCCATCAAGAATTCGGTGCAAGCAGCCAGAAGAACATCTAATCGAACTTCATCTGTATACTCAGGCTCAGTCAGACACCTACGTGCCCTACATATCACAAGACATGAAAAGCCGTCGCCCAGAGAAATACAAACAACAATAGAGTGTGAAAGACGAGTACTCAACCCAGAGCGATCAGAAACGTCAAAATCAGGTACGGACAATGAAGTTGCCGGTTATAGTTCCTCATATGATCCATCCGAAACGACTCCCGAAAACGAGCTAAAGGTCCTGGAGAACGAATGCCGGACTGTGGGTATCATAAACCCATTATTCATTAGTCCGGCAAACAAAGATTTCAGTACATTGCTGGATCCGATGGTGGGAGGATCAGTTCATAACGCTGATAAATTGGGTGTCAGTGGGCGGGGGTGGACAAGGAAAGGTAAAGAGGTCCATGTTCAGAATGTCTCAGGGAACCCGTATGGTCGTTATCAAAAGCTTCTAGAAAGCTTGAAGAAGTCCAAAAGGTTTGACAGATAGCAGCTCCCATCTGGAGGGGACTGCTAGCTGATGGTGGATGTAATAGGTATATGAGTTCTTATGCTATCTTAGGCTTGCTGTTCACCTGCATGCAGTGAGCATAATCAGAATGTGATGCAATTTGATGTGCACAGGTCAATTAATCATTGGAAAGCCAGGAATTGTGAGTCCATCATAGATCCGTAATAGGAATGCATCAGTTTGTAGTAGAAATAACGATAGAACGTTGGACAGTCTTGCGGGATGATTGAATATGAGATAGGCAGTTGTGTGGGAAACGTGATGCTGATGATGGAAACTGAAAGAAAAAAAGGAGATAGTGAAGGATAGCTATCTATACAGGGAGGCACACGACAAATGTGGTATCAGTGAAGAGCAAGAGCTCAAAGTTCATCTCAAATGTAGCGTATCAATCTATATATCAAACATCCTTATCACCAATGTCGTCCCTATAAGCACCCTTCCTCCAACCATGCGCAAGACCCAATACTTTTCCGGTAATAAGGCCTTTGATAGTGAAAATATGAAGCGCGATACAAATGACAAGTATCAATATAAAAAGTGTCGTAGACCACACCTTGAATGCTGGCGCATCCATAATCCTTCCCAGCTGTACAGCTCCATTTGTATAAACGCCCTGCAAATATATAAGCAACACTTAAGCACGAAAAGCGAGAGGCGACTCACCCACGGAAAAACCAACGCCCAAGCCGACATAGTAAAATGTGACCCCCTGATCCCACCCGGCTGCGAGATAAACGTATGCACTATACTGATAATCGCAAAACACCACCAAAAAGTCCCATATCCCCAAGAAAGCAGACCTGCGAAATGACTCGCAAATGCAACAGGTTGTGTGGCTTGAGCTGTAAGAAAGGTGCCACGATTGTATTCTGCAAAGGCGCCTTTTAAAACTGCCTGTCCGAGAACTTGGAATGCAAAACTACCTTGTCCAAATGGGCCACAGAGGATCATGTCTTGGTATATTTGTTCGAGCTTAGGGAAGGAGCGGTCGAAGAGGCGAGTCGCAAATATCTCACTCAATCCGAGTGCCATTGGAAGCGCAAGACCAATTTCTAGGTATGAAACGATGATAATGGGGACTTGGAGACGTGGGCTTATTTGTCCGTATACGCAGAGGACACCACCGCCGGCAGCAGATGTCAACGCTGAAATTAATGGTAGTAGCACACACGGTAAAATGGCCTTGACGCCTGGAGGTTGGACCTTGACGAAGACATACGGGATAACCATAACCGCTACCAGCACCAAACCGGTATTGATCCACCATAGTACGAATGACACAATTGCCCATGCCTTGCCCCATGAGTGTACCAGGACGAGCGTCGTCATCTGTATGATTGAGGTGAAGGTAATGGGTACACTAGCAAGGCATGCGGTTTCAACGATACTCGTCCTCAGCACGCGAGCAACATGTCGAGGGTAAAGAATCACGCGGAGGAGGTAGGCAAACAAACATAGCGCAAGCAAGATAATGGTGTATATCCAGATTACCACGGAGATGACCTCGATCCCACTAAATTGATAGTTCAATTGGTGAAGGATTAAAGCGATGATGCCCGTGCCTTGTGGGACGAGAAACCATTGGGTGGAAAAGTTCCATAATGCGCGCGAGGCAGGATGGAATGGTAGTCTTGTTGTTTCTTGTTCGTGACTTTTATCGACGCCGTTTTCATGATGCTCTCTTGAGGATTGAGAAGAATCATGAGCATGATCCGCCATGTTAACTCTATCTCTCACCCGGATAAAGCATGTCTCGCTGACCTCGACAGTATTGAGTGCTGACAAGAAAATACAATATGCATAAACTGCTCAGGTTGTTTTCGCGAATAGTAAATACATAATGGGTCATATTTCGAGGAAAAAGATGAGAAATCGGTTAGAGAGCCCTGACGTAATTGTATCTTGAATGCGGAACTGAATGGCCTCATCCGCCCAATTGGGGAACCACCATGTGAGAAAGTTGCTAATACTTCAGATTCAAGAATATACTTGATCTATGTTTCATTGAGGATTTCGCTGAATGGGGGAAAACAATAATGTTGACTTGTAGTTACATTGGAAGACGTCACCACACATGATGCCAATTATATTCCAAATATCGTTAACTATCGGATTATCAAATCGCGAGTATAGTAGTAGTAAGCACAGGTAATTATTACAGAGCATTCTTCAATCTTTCTGGTTTCCTTCCAATAACCATGTCCATAGTCAATCCCACCGTCACCTCAGCACACTCCCTCTTAAACACAGCCATCAATTCCTCCGCCATCTCCTTAGCAACATCTTCCTCACTCGCCTTTCCAAGTCTTATCAGGGACATCGGTATCAACGATTGGAGTCCCTGGGTAAGCCAGGCACGGGACCAATCTCGCAGATGCGGTCTTGCAGTACTATTGTATTCCTCGATGTGGAGGTTACCAAAGCCGATACGTTCCGCTCCGCTCTTGATGTGCCCTGCGGGCTTTGTGTAGAGGTCGGACTTGTTTAAGGAGTCAAGCAGAAGGCCACGCGCTTCTATGAGGCTTGGTGGTTGGGGGGATATATCGCTTCTGATGGAGTTCATGTCTATTTCTTCCCATTGGAAATAGCCACCGGGTCCTGCGCGCTGTCAGTTGCCAATAACTTGAAGTTTGATGATCTTTATTCATACTCAGAATATCGAATACGTTCTTTATGGCGAGCTCATACTCGCCCTTCCTCAGAGCACCAACTAATAATCGCACATGCACGAAATCATACCGTCCGTGATGCTCCGCTGGAAAAGGCTCGAGACAGTTCTGCAGGGAAAGCTGGATTTCTGCGTTGGCTTGCGCAGGAATGGGCTGGAACTGGGCCGATGAAATATCAGAGCCGTGAAGGTAGTATGGACTCGATGGATTGCGATTCCACATGCTTAACACGGTGGCAGCATCTCGTAGCCAAATTCTGTATACAATTTGCTCATTACTCACTGGCTTATCGACATTGTCAGAATCGAGAGAAATACATACCCCGTGCCGGTTGCAAGATCCGCTACGCTGTGAAGGTTCTCTTTAGGAATGGACGGATGGATCAGGTTGTTTCCATAAATTTCGAGTAGAATTTCATGTTGGCGGTTGAGACTACAGTCCCAACATGTCAGTCTTGATTGATATCTAGTTTCAGTAGTCCCTAGCGGTGTGCAGGGTTTTCAACGGGGACAGATGCATACCGCGCGGATTCCTCGGCGTCTCGACTGAGAATATAAATTTCTGGCTGGATCTCGCCCATTGTATGTGTGAGCAGCAATTATCTAAGGAAATCACAAAATCAAAAAAATAAAATTGAAGCAATTAATATAGAATCATTCAATCCGGCGAGTAGTTGTAGACCGAAAAAGAGGGAAAGCTATATTTATAGTAGACCCCCTCTGTCATATCCTTGACCATAACTCTGTAGCAACTCGGCTACTTGGTATTCACCCCCTATAACCATTTTCTACCTATCAAACGGATCATCAGATCACTTGGCCGTCTGTGCTTCACTTCATAGGGTAACCTGCAGCGTACTTTTGATTTCCTGGTGAGGGTCTCGGCCAATTGGAAAGGCAAGAGCGCCGAGAAATAAAAACCCGTTAGGCGGATTTAGGAGAAGCTTCGCCGCCGTTACCGGGCATTTTGTCGCATTTTCCTCTTTGGGCATAGTTGGTTGGAGCGTGCATAATTTGACCGTTTTTTTTTAATGCATAGTGCTTACCGGATACAGGGGCATGCATTATGCAGCAGATTTTTTCTGTAGAAACACAGCATCGGGATAGCATGTTCCGGCGGACTGGATCTTCAGTTCAATCGTTCTCCGTCGAGTATAAGTCACTCCACCTTCCGATTGCCTCGACGTTGATCTCCATGGCACCGTTTCCCCTCCATGCAGTCCTGTATAGGCCAGATCATTTTGCTCAGTGTTCTTTGTAAAAGTAGCTTCTTCCAACCCCTTTTCAAATACCAAAGCCGCACTATTGTCTTTCTCAGCAGAGCTCGTCGCTAGTTACCGACTAGCCCAGTCATCTGATATTGGCCCAGAGAACATCGTGTACGGGGCCCGGCTCAAAAATAAGACAGGAGAAGAGCCCAGGTCAGTAGTCATGTTGTTTTTGAATCTCATATCCGCCCTTGGAACGACAGAGATGCAAGCTCCCAAGAGAGCTCCTTCGCCGGTGTGTGTATGCTAAGAAAGCTGTTGCAGGTTGAGGTACGAGATCCTATATATAGTAATCGGAGTCTAGTCGACCAGTAATAATCGACAGAATTTAAGACAAGGAGATGAATAAAAAGGGCTATAATGGTTATTAGCAGTCCGTTTGACGGACAAGGGTGTACAAGACTGTTCCCCTCGCAGCACCATTATGCATCGGCCAAGTGATATCGACATCAGGGTTTCGACGAAATGCCTTCACAATACAGCCTGTCACCTTGTCGATATCTGGAAACTCCTCAATTCTAGGGTTGTTAAACGTCCCGAATTGCCTAACAAAAAGCAGCTTAACTGAAGCATGTAATTTCTCCAGCGCAACCTTCAATTCATGAAGACAAAAGCCACCTTCCTGGTACTTCCTAGACCCTAGACAATGGTCAGAAACAATCACGGCGCACACTTCCATGTATACAATCGATATCAGGCTGATACATTTTATTACCCCCCCCCCCCCCCCCCCCCCCCCCCCCCCACTCATCGCAATGAATAGGGTTCAACTCAGCTTCAAAAGCCCGCCAAGCAGAGAACTCAATGGTTTAGCGCACTGCCTGCTTTGTCCAGTCTTTTAGGTCGAGGAGTAGCTTCTTGCCATCTTCCGTCGTTGCGAAGCTCTGAAATATCATTCTCCGGGAATTTGCAGGTGACCGCCATTCACAGAAGTGTCGCAAGCGATATTAATAGGGCCATACTATGCCCCGACACAATTCCTTGAACATTAGCGCTTCCGGGAGCGTTATTTTCAAGAATGGGACACGAAAGAGACATCGTATGCTCTGGGATATGATGAATGTAGTTCCCATTAAGGCCCGGGGAATTCCCCCGCGGCCGTAAACGAAGGACCGGAAGCTGTCTCTGTCAGACGGGAATTCCCATTACTATCGCTGCAGAGGGCGTCAAATTTTAGACGGATCTCCGTTTCTACTTCTGAGGTGTTGAAACCGAAGCCGCTCAATAACTCGTTGGTTCCTTCGAAAATCCGGTCGATGTCCATTGCTCCTTCGGCGATCCAGGCGTCTAGTTTGCTACCAAGAAACATATTGTTGTGTTTGAGTGAATGTTGCAACAAAAAAATCTCATTTTTTTGTCTAACAATGTTGTGGCTGTAAGTGAATCAAGTCAGCCCTACAACAATTACAATATGTCATAACTGAAAATACCCATTACAAGCTTTCTACTCTCTATCATTTAATGTATTCTGGCATATAATTTATAACAGCTTCGACCACTTGGTTACTCCTCTCTGATTTCTAGATTCTGTAGAGTACTTCCTAACGGTTTTCTAGGTTGGTATTGGCACGGACTAATCTAAGTATCTCGTGCAAACACCTCCAGCCAGTGTCATACTTATAACGGCAAATTCTTTATTCTGCTGGAATGAATGTCTTTCGTAGAATACCGAGGAAGCTCGGGACTAAGTGTCCTTCTCATTGTGGGGAGCCACAACCAAATTAAATGGCTAACGAGAACGACTGGAGTTAACGGAGAGCCAAATCGAGCCATATTCCATTGTAAAAATTTCTCTAAAATGTCCACCAGTAAATACCAGAGAACGAATGGGTGAGCTTACTCTAAATATGGGCGGCCACTGGCAAGCGCCAATATACGGTCCCAAGGGAACACGTTTACAAGAAAAACTGGGATATGATCACATCATAGCAGAGCTAGCATCAAAGGAATAAAATAACACTGAAGAAGCTTCTCAAACATCGTGACATCAAAGAAGCGAAACAATTTGACATGGTCACAACGGAGGGGGGGAAGCACCGGGTCCAACATCAAATTAAGAAGTGTTTTCCAACGTGACAAAGAAAAAGAGAAGGTTCAGTTATGCTGATTGTGTGAGGAGCAAATAGAGCACTATAACCCTATGCCAGGCATATATTGCGTACCCCTGTCCAAAGCTGTATTAGCGATGTGTCCCTAGGCACGGATGCTAACATGCTGGCATGGCCGACGGTGTTAACCAAACTTGCTTGTCATGGCAAAAGCCAATGTGGTGAAAACCTGCAGACCCCGAATCAGCAACCTGACTACCACCGCAAAACGATGCTTATGAGGCTCTATTCGATCGTCCTAGTCCATTTTTTGTGAGTCCTTAAAACTCATTGGTATCATTCCAGGCTTTGCATGATTCTTAGTTAGGGACCACATGCTACTTTCAGATCCGTGTGCGTACTTCTAATCGTGTTTTAGAGCCTCGCAGTATTGTGTGTGGTCTAACACGGTCCTTTTCATATGGCCGGATGCAATCCAGTATTTCTCCCAAAGATACGCTACTCAAATCGGCACATAGGTCACCAAGGAATATAGCCACCCATGCCATCAGTTATACTGACATCCCACCGGTAGTCTTGCCGGACTCGACAATCCTGCGTCTGACACAGATTATTTGGTTTCGAACATTCCTTTTCATCCAAGAGCGACCCGTAATGCGAGAGATTTGGCGACGAGTCAACGATAAGCTTAAACTAATCTCGATCACTACGGTATCTCTATTGATTTATTGTCTGCATTAACTTCTACCGTTTACAGTGGCATGGAACAGACTTACTAGAGTGGAGCAAGATAATTCCCCCTTTCTATGTTGATGTTTATGGTGAATGAGAGGTCTCTCGCTAGTCGCGTAGAAGCTCGATGCTCAACTAGACAGGCCCGACTACGTCTGAAGATACCGTGCTACTTTAAAACAAGAATGGGTACTCAGGGGCGAAAAATTTACCCTCAACATGATAATCCTACGTGGAGAATGACACTCCAGATGGTGTTATCTTCCAAGGCACGATTGTGAACATGGTCAGACACCGACTATGAAACGTTCATGCTGGGATTTGATTAGGTCGGAGAGAAACCAAAGACAAAAGGAAGCCCTCAAATTTTACCTGAGCCAAAAAAAAAAAAAAAAAAAAAAAAACTGTTGCATCGTTTGTCTGTCTGCTCTAGACAGACATTTTGTATGCTTCGAGATACATCATTCACTGTAGCTATATCCACTACAATAGAAGCTAAAGTCCCATATATGTATTTGCTTACCGAAACTTCAACCCTCAAAAGAGCTCACAGGAAACAAGAATTTTTTGCGAGAGGGTCATGCATATTCTTCAATTTCAACATTCCCACAAATCCGGAGATGTCTTTCACCCCTGTTCTCGCTGACAACCTATGATAGCTCGCGTGCATTTCTTTCAAGGTTCAAGGACATGCAAGAATAGGAGTCGAAATCTTTATCAAAAGACCTCTACTGGTTGTGGCTGACAAGTGGAACAGTTGACATATTGACAGAGTGGCGACATTACAGCATTGAGAGTGCCCCAACCGCTTTCCACATGGGTTTGGTTATGGTTAGTCCAGCTTAGGTCAACAGAGGAGTTGCCCGGGTGTCAATTGAGCCATATCTATACCATTTATTTCTATCCGGGAACATCATGTATCTTGGATAATATCCATTGGTCGGCCTTGGAGACGTAACTGGATACGTTCCGAGGGCCTTCTTATCCGGGAAGAACGGGCGTACGTTATGTGGATAGAGAGATTGGAATAGAATACATCAGTCTCGTTTTCTAACGATACAAGCTGTAACACCATAGAGCTCCCATGCAGTTTGACGAACAGGATCATGTCTCTAATACCTAGAAATTAGCCACGCTCGACGCTCATTAGGCTCCATCTTCTGCAATATCTCCGCCTCCTCCCGCTTGACAGCAATATAAGTCCGTACCATTGCCATAGGATGGCCTCCAATAATATTAGGCATATACTGGTCCAAAATCGGATCGATTTCCAAAGCCTCGAGACTCTCCTGTAAGGATTTTGGAAGTAGCGTAAGATCATCTCTTTTGGTCGGCGGAAGCTTCGCTGGCGCAGTCTCGACTTGTCCAGCAACCAAGGACATCTGTCTTTCAATGCCATCTTCCCCGGCCTTCAACATGGCAGATAAAACGAGATATGGGTTAGCTAATCCGTCTATCATTCTAAGCTCGAAATGGTTCTCTTCAATGAGGCGCAGAGGGGTTTCTTTGTTGTCCCGTCCCCAGCAAGCATACTCGCCACCACTCCAGATTCCCGGCTTGACTCTCTCGTAGCTGATTTCTTGTGGAAGGGAAAACGCCATTATTGCGGGAAGATGTTGCAGCACCCCAGCCATGAAATGTTGGAACTTCTTCATATAATGGGTGTCGCGACTAGGCTCCTGTCCCTTCCATGGGTCATACAAGGACATGTGAACGTGTGCTCCCGTGCCAGGGTGGTCAGGCCAAAGACGCGGGTGCCACGTCGCATGCACACCAAACGAACGAGCCACAATCCTGATTGTGTCTCGAGCCTTGAGAAGTGCATCGATAGCTGGGAGGGGCCAATCAGGCGAAAGCACAAATTCCCATTGCCCCGGAGCGGCCTGGGCATGGGCATGCTCAACAGTGACACCGACCATTTCCAACGCACTCATGCAGCCCTCAATGAGGCCCAAATGCGTAGAGTCCTCCTGGGTAATACCGGACCATTGATGGTTCCGGCTTATGGGGGTATATGTAGCTGCATCCGACTCGCGTTTCATGAACACCACCTCCACTTCAAATCCGATATAAGGAACAAGACCGGTCGAACTCTGAAACCTCGAGCAAAGGCGTCGAGTTAGAGAGCGCGCGCATCTCTCAATCGGTTGTCCGTTCTTGCTGTCAACGCAGTCACACTGGATGACCGCACGAGTTCCTTCGGAGTGTGCCTGGCAATAAGCCGTGTCGAGGTCTGGAAGGAGACTGAACGACCCAGCTGCCAGTTCCTCATCTACCAGGCAGTCACCAGGAGCAAGGAAAAAAGCTTCGTTGGAGATAGACAAACGTCGACCATTCTCGACCATCTGGGTGAATTTGGCCACGGGCACGATCTGAGTGTAGGTGTTGGCCGTGTATGGTAGGAACTGGAGCCAGATGAACTTGACGTTGTGATTCTTGCTGAGGAACCTCATCCATTTTGAAACGGAAGGTTCCTTGTCGTTATCTAGTTAGCATATAGATATGGATGAGAAATGGGCAGAAACAAACCTGGAGTGGCCACGGACTCTTATAGACGGGCTGAGTAGCCATCTTGACCGGTTACACTTGCGTGCAGGCTGTGTGCATGTATAGCTTACTCTGAAAGTCTGGTTGATTGGGGAAGTATACAAGTATAGAAAGAACGCATGTCACATGATCTGATACAGGGATTAGCCCTGTCAGCCAAAAGCGGCAAGAATGGCTTGGCTGTTTGCTGCAGGTGCGACCCCTCGTCTCCATCTTTCTCCCTCACGGATTTTTTGTTTCGACAGAGCATCCATAGTTTCTGATATTCTGCTGTCGATTTGATCTCCTCGGATTCCCAGGATACCTTCTTTCCAAACACCAAAAATCAAAACCAAGATTCAATCCAAAATGTCCAACCAGCCCAATCCCCACAAGCGGATCTTGATTGTACGCCATCCCCGCCTGCTTAAGCTCCACCCCCAACCTCGATCCATATGCTAACGCCCCCAGATTGGCGCCGGCATTGGTGGCCTAACCCTCGCTCAATCCCTCAACCTCCACTCAATCCCTTACACAATCTATGAGCGCGAATCATCCGCTTCTGTCAGGAAACAAGGCTGGGGGCTCACAATCCAATGGTCTCTCGAAGCCATGGCAAAGCATTTCCTCCCCGAGACATTTGATCGGCTGTGTCAGGCCCAAATTAGTCGAGAGACGGGGCTAGATGGGACGAGAAGGGTGCCGTGGGTTAATGGGAGCTCGGGGGTGGTTGAAGGGAGGAGGCCTGCTAGTCAGAAGTTTCGGTTTCGGAGGAGTGGGATTAGGGAGGCGTTAATTGAGGGGGTTGATGTGCAGGTAGGTTTGTAGGATTCGGGTCGGGCCGGTGGAGATGTGCTAACTGAGGTAGTGGGATAAACAACTAGTCGACGCCAGGCGAACCAAGGATGGCGTTCAGGTTGAATTCTCGGATGGTACAACGGCTACCGGCGATATTCTTATCGGAGCAGACGGCGCCATGTCAGCTGTCCGCAAAGTCCTAGCTCCGACTACGTACCCAGCCCAGAACCTTCCCATCAACGCCATAGCGACAGGCGTCCCTGTAACTGAAGAGCAATACAAGGAGATCCGCGACACTATCGACCCACTATACTTCCTCGCTACGCACCCAGAAACCAATACCTGTCTCTTCTGGTCCCTACAAGACACCCCCGAAGAAGGGGCGACTTACACAGCACAGATGTTTCTATCATGGCTCAAGTCCGACGAGGACAATGCTCACGACGAAGAATTACTAAAGAAATCCCGGCGCGAGGTGTTTATGAAACGGGGTAAATCGTTCTTCGGACCCCTAGGTGAAATAGCGGCCACCCTTCCCGAGGATGCGCAGGTCGCTGTGGTTAGCATGATGGATTGGCCATACGTTGAGTGGGATACTTGGGATGGGCAGTGTACGTTGATTGGGGATGCTGCGCATTGTATGACTCCTTGTAAGTTTCCTTTCCAGTGCTATAGTACGGTGGTGGTGCTGATATATATAGTCCGCGGGGAGGGCGTGAACCACGCGATTGTCGATGCTTGCTATCTCGCTGATAACCTGAAATTGGCACTTGATGGACAGATATCGGTGAAGGATGCGATAGAACAGTACGAAGCGGAGATGCGACCGAGAGGACTCAAAGCTGTGCAGAATAGCAGACAGGCTGGGTTCGAGGCACATTCCTACACCACCCTTGCGAAGGGAGGCAGCTCAGCATTCTTAGAAGTGAAATAAACACAAACATCCCATACTTGATCCATTGCATTGTATAATCGAAAAATCAATACCTAAGCAATAAAATAGAAAATAGAGAACTACTCCCTCGCCTTCTCCGGCAATCTCCCAAACACATATCTCAGAATCTCCCGACTTTTATATAAATTCTCCACCCTCAACCGCTCATTATCCAGATGCGCATTATCACTAGCCTGCCCACACGGCAGATTCGCCGCCGGCGCAGAAAACTCCTTCTCCAGGAACCGAATTGTAGGAATAGACCCTCCTTCACGGATGTAGATTGGTCGAACGCCAATTCGCGAGGGAGAATCTACTTTTTCACCAGTCTGCGGGTGTGGCGGGCGTGGTTCAATGGGCGGCTCTGGAGAAAGATGGGTTGATCCTTCGTCAATTGCTTTTGAGGTATCGGGGTCTGGCGTGCCGGTGCCTGAGGAAGAGGAGGATGTTGTGTTGCCGGTTCCAGTTCCAGTTCCCGTTCCAGTCGACTTGCTGGTTAATGTCGAGGACGTCGGAACTGTCGTTCCAACAGCTGAGCGTTTGCGAGTTGCATTCTTCCTAGCTGAGGAGCTCGTCGTCGACATGATGATCCTGTCAATATGCGATGCCAGACTATCCGATGAGTCCTTTCGGAGGAGTTCAGGCCTTGATGCAGCCGCCGCATTATCCCCTCCTGTCACCGCCGCAGCGGGCGTTGATGTAGTTGGTCCAGGTGATAGTGACAGTGACGGGGACGAAGCGATAGGCGGATAGTGATGCTTGGTAGCATGCGTATCCGGCGCCCACGCAGTGGTAATCGCATCCGCGAGTGTTTCAAAAATCTCGTTATCGGGATCTCCAAGCCAAGCATCTGATTTACCAGTGATCTCGACTGTAAGTTCGTTTCCTGATTCGAGATTATCGAATTGTTCCTGTGCGAAGGCTGTGAGGTTTGCTGCGACTTCATCCGCATCTTGGTTTGGTACGATACGGATGGATAGAGAGGCTTTTGCTTTTCTGGAGATCGTCGTTGTTGCTGATTTACTAGACCCGGGTACTTCCATGGAGTGGATTGTGAGTGATGGTTCGCGCCAGCGATGCATGAGCGAGTTAACCAGGGCTTCTGGGTCTGCGATCTCCGGGTGTCGCGGGAGGAGGACATCAGCGATGGCTGCGTAGCGGTGTTTCTCGGCCTCTGTGGGCGGGAGGACGGGATCGTAGAAATTTGGCAGAGTTATGCGACCTTTCGGGGCAATGAGCGTGTTAACCAGCATTGAGAGGTCCTTGAGTGGTTCGTCGAGGAGGGCGCTGCCGTCGATTCCGCTGTGGAGATCTGGATGGTCTGACGTGACGATTAAGTTGGCGTGGACGACACCGCGTTGGCCGTATGTCAGACAGGGGTTCGAATCATCGAGCCAGTAGCTGTTTGCGAGCAGGATCCAGTTTACAGGACCGATCTGGTCTTTGTGCTGGCGGACTGTATCGTGGAAGTTCTGGGAGCCGGATTCCTCTTCTCCCTCGATGAGGAAGACGACATTGCAGCGGAGGTCCTTTGTACGTGCTAGATCGGCTGCTGCGTAGAGGGCTGCTAGGATTGGTCCTTTGTTGTCTGAAACGCCGCGGCCGTAGAGGAAGCCGTTTATGGATGTTAGTTGGTAAGGGTCTGTTTTCCATTTTGGGCGGTTGGTGTCTGCGCCGACGACATCGTAATGGCCATAGAATAAAACTGTTTTATCGGTTTTGTGCGGAGAGGTTGCGTTGAAGCGCGCGTAGACTATGGGGTTGGTGTCGTCGCCTGTGGTTAGGAGTTTGGTTTTTGCGCCGAGGTAGTTGCAGTGGCGGCGGAGGAAGGCTGCGCCTTGGTTGCATTCGCCGTTGAATTTGGGACTGGCGGAGATGGTTTTGAAGGCGACGAATTTCGCCAGGGCGTTTACGAGCTCGTCTGCGTTATTAGTATATCGTTTTGCTTGCACGGAGGGAGGAGGGGTACCATTGCTGATTGGGGGCATTTCGTCTTGGTTCATGGAGGACTCTGTTAGGTCCCAGATACCAACGGTGTTGTCGTTTCCTCCGGTAGCGTAGATACGGCGGTCTTTGAAGTGGCCTGCGGCTGAGGCGAGCATGGTTCCTTCGTGGGCGACCCAGCTGCCGACTTCTTCGAAGCGGGAGTTGAATTTCTGTTCTGTCAGCGATTGTCCTGGGCTTGAGGCATTGAGGGGTGGCCGACCTTCACAATACCGTTTGAGTCACCGCAGACGGCAATCCCCCGGATTATATCCACAGCCCATAGATCACCAGTATGTCTGGCAATGCGCTTCACCAGTTGATGTGAATCCAAGTTCCAGATATTCAATGCCCCGCCAGCCAACCCGCAATACAAGAACGAGCCATCAACGGCGATGGAGAGCACAGGATCACCATTCTGTAGCTTCGCCATCTGCATCGGCGCTGTATTACCATCGTCATCTAGACGCCACAGCTTAACCACGCCATCACCAGCACCGGATAAGAGCACTTCTTCCGTAGGTGCAGACTCGATCAGGCCCCGGACTAGAAGCACCGCGTTCACATAACCATGATGCGAGAACAGCCGATGGTGGTCCCGTTTAAACGTTAGAACTTGGCCGCCCTGCGCGCTGCCATCCGAACTAGAGTCAGGGCGTGGAGCACGGGTGCCATCTGGGCCACGCGAGTCGAAGAAGCGATGGGTCCGGCGGGATAGATGGGCTGCTGATGTTTGAGTTGCAGCAGCATCAGTTTTGGAGAGGTCGCACCACTGCTAGCGTTAATTGAGGAGACAGATGAATGGGCAAGGAAATGACATACCTGAATGCTGGTGTTTTGACCACCACAGTAAATGGTCTTGAGAGTGGAAGAGAAGGCGACGGCAAAGATATCGCCTACGTCATGGTGCGAGTAGATGGAGTAGAGACGATCGAATGTCCTTGTCGACCAGACCTGGACCTGTTATCCCCTGTTTTCCTTGATTTGCAGTAGATGCACTCACATTGACGACGGAATCGCCACCACTGGAAAACAGCAGATCGCCATCTTCCGATAGATACAGCCCTAATACGCTTTCCTTATGCGCATGGACCGAAAGCACGAGATCATATGTCTCAAGCGACCACGCCTACCCACTGTTAATTGGTACCACACAACCGACATCCGGTGGATAATACGTACGACAATGTCACCACCCTGCAGCCCAGCGAACACACACTCCTCATCCAAAGTCAATGCCAACACGGAGCGGCTGGCCTGAACACGATGGCCAATGCCGCATTCAAGCGGATTCAGCTCGTTGTCAGCATCGTGGACGTGCTGAGTCACGAGACGAGGATCGGATTCCCAGGCCTTGGTCTGGTCATCGATTTCGGAGGTGCTGTCGGACTCGACTGTGTTGTCCATTATTGCTGATAAAATCTCAGCTGTGTTCTTTTCTTATTTATAAAGAAGGATTATTTCCTAGATCCGGGAAATGGTCCTGTTGGCCGGTTGAGTGTCCGATAATGGTGCAGTGCAAAATTACTCCGTATTCTGAGCGGAGCTGAATCTGGTCGGACCACGTAGAGAACAAGTCAACTATCATATGTTGTCCATCTATCCAACCAATTCTGTACCTCGCTTCTTTTCCCTTATTCTTTTCTCGTGACGTTGACAAGGCGATGTTGACGTGAGTCTCGTGACCAGACTGAAGAAATTCGGCTGTGGCGGTGCGATACGTGGATAACAGAAAGAAACAAAAGAAAGCGACTCACCACTGTTGAAGCTGCTTTTGCTGTTGTTTCTTTTGAGATTCCAGCAGAACCCAGGTACTTCCGAGGGGAGGTATCTGCCCGGCTTAGTTTCTATACAATGCGACCGATATTACTGGCAGTAATAGCGCATACTGACCTCGGTTCCCACGATAATCGAGCCAAAGGCATACTGGGTTTAAGAGTGGCCATGATTAATTTGAGGCTATGGTACCAGGGGCTTGGTTCAGTCGATCGATTCAATAAAAAGAAAAGAGACAGTTATGCCATTCAGCTTCAAGATGATGAAATCCCGAGGGGGTAACGCAGTGGCCGTAGAGCACTTAGGCGCTCAAGGCAGGGAACAGTCAATAGTAGGGGTGCAAGTATCCTAAGTATCCCTTGGTATGTTTGTCTATATGAGGGATCCAGCTCGGGCATCAACATGGAAGGATCTCAGTCTGGGCTGAACTGAAGACCGGGAATTTGAGCAATCGCTGAAACACATCAACCGCGCTCTAGCACATTATCTGGCAGAGCCAGCGAATGGCGTTGTTCATGATCTGCATGAAGCTGTATGATACTGTTATCTGAGCATGTCCAGGGTAGTGAAGCTGAGTTGTGGCTCATTTGGCAGCTTATAAATAGAACAATCTTCGCATGAGATCATACGAAGCTACTCTACGAGGATAGCATGAGCACTCTGTATGGAGCATCAAGCGTTGACAGAGGAATACATAGTGGGATGTAAAGTAATACAGTACTGTGCGCCACACACGAGCCACAGTGACGGTGACTGTCCAGCCAATCAAGTCACACTGCATCACCGCCAGTCCGGAAGCGGTAATCAACTCGCTTCACTTTGGCCCCAATAGAAATCCATAACACCGATGATTCACAAGTACTGAGCGCTAGCACTGCGTGCCGGTACTGAGTACCTGAGCACTATCCTAGCAGAGTAAAATAATCTACCCAACTGCCTCACTCAGGATAATCCGTCAATCACACCGCGACAACAACACCGCAGCGCTCCACGATCTCCTGTTCGTCCAATGCCGCTGTCCACTCATGTCCGCATAGCACCAACTCCACCGGCGCAATTCCAGTTTCGTCGAGCTGCTCCCCTCGCTTCGTGTGGGCGATTCAATGCTGTTTCTAATTCAAAGGATGCATTCTCGACACCCAACCAACTCTATGTGCCCCCGCAGTGCTGTTGCTCGTGAACTCGGCCCCTCTTAAAAAGACCGCCAACCCCCCTGCTCTTAATTCCCCTGATTATTATTCTATATTATTCTTGATTATTATCTCTCATCTGACATCCGTCAAGACCTTTCGTGGCTTCACCCGAATCCAACGGTCTTGCCTTCATACATCAAAGTACCCCGGAGTCTGGATCTATAAGACCCAACAACACCCGGACAACAGGCATCATTATTTCTTTTGCTATCGGTTATTGTGGACATCGTATATATACCCCGGGACACTGACTCGTGCGTCCTTCGACTCTTTTCCAATCCGACTTCCACGCTAGACTCGCATCCGCCGGGACTTTGCATCCATCTCCACCGTGACTGGATCTATACACACCGCTTCGTCGGCGCGTTGCTCCTGTCGATCCGGCCTTTTTCGTTCCTTTTTATACGCCCTTTTTTTCGTGCTTCTCGAATAATTATTCTTCAAGCAAATTTTCATTCAGCAATCAGCAATCGCCGGTCGCGTGTTGCGATATCCAACATACATACATCATGCCTTTTGGCGAGACAGTGGCCGTGATTGACAAGTCCGGCAAGGTCGTCAACACTGTGAGTCATCTGCTTCCTTCTGCAGCCTCTTGCATAAAACCTAACTGGTACAGAGCAAGCAAGTCTTTGGTATCTTCAATAATGCCAGAAATGCCTACCGCGAACGCAAGTCGCAGTTCCAACACGAGCGCAATGCAAGAGTCGCCGAGCGGCAAGCCATAAAGGCCATGGAGAACTTCAGCTTCGATGACGGGCAGTCTGTCGCATCTTCTCGACGGAGTGGACGGTCAAGATCGGTTGCACGGCGCCCTTCCGGTCGCAGTCAACATCCCCGTCGCGCCTCTTCCCGCGCCCCTTCGTACTATAGCGATGAGGAGTCCGTGTACGCTCCACCACCCGCCGTCCTCCCGCGCCGCCACACCCAGCCCATTATGGATACCCGGGATGTGCCGCAACAACGCCCACAGACCGGCCGCACCATGAGCGATGCGGATATCGATATGGACCTCGCGTACGGCGACTACAATCCTGAGGCCATGGTACCACGGAACCCCGGCCCGCCCGGAGCCGCTCCGGCCAATAACATGCAGCTGCAGAAGATCGAGGATCCTGAGCTGAATAGCCTGGTGAACCGTGCGCAGATTTTACTGGAGGAAGCGGAATGCTTGCATTACAGTGCGACGACGGCCATGACTCAATTGCAGCAGCATCCAGACGCCATGGCCGCCGTCGCCCTGACTCTGGCGGAGATCAGCAATCTCATCGGTAAAATGGCCCCGGCGGCCATCTCGATGCTCAAGACATCTGCACCAGCTGTTTGGGCTCTCCTCGCCAGTCCCCAGTTTCTAATTGCCGCCGGTGTCGGAATTGGCGCTACGATTGTCATGTTTGGCAGCTACAAGATCATCAAGCAGATCGGAGGCGGAGGCTCAACCGAAAACAAGCCCAAGGCCATCGAGGAGCCCGACAGGCCCGAAGAGCTGATGGAGATCAACACAGAGTGTCTCAGTCAAGTCGAGATGTGGCGTCGCGGTGTTGCCGACGTCGAAGCCAAGAGCGCCGGCACCAAGGTCGACGGCGAATTCATCACGCACACCGCGGCTACCATGTCCGGTATCGACGTAAACAACGCGCGCAACTCGCGGGATCCTCGATTCAAATTCGACGATGATGCTGCAACGGTTTCATCGCGCCGCACTGGCCGCTCGCGCAGTGTGCACACGCCTCGTCGGGAGAGCAAGTCGAAACCGCCTACTACTTCCATCTTCTCGAAGATGCGGTCTTCGTCCAAGCCGCCTCCTCCGGTCAAGTCTCCTTCAAAGGCTCCTCCGCCAAAGACCCCGTCCAAGGCCCCTACTACCCCGATGAAGACTCCCTCCAAGGCACCTTCTCCATCGAAGTCGCCTTCCAAGACACCATCCAAGGCCCCTCCGCCGTCAACTCCGTCGAAGACGCCATCGAAGCCCGCGTTCACGCGGAGTTACTCAAAGCACGACGGCCTATCGGAGCGGGATTCCAAACAGGCCAAAGACACGCCTAAGCGGTCTAGCAAGTTGCGACTCATGTTTACTTCGTCTTCTTGATTTCTTTTCCTTCCTCCACTATATTTCCTTTGTTTTCCAGACTGATATACACACTACCATCCCCATGCCTGTATATAGATACCAGATTTTGATTGATTGATTACTGATGATTGATGCATTGATATGGCGAATGATTTGAGATCACGAGGACTGCTTTGCTTTCTATGTGAATTTGACGGTTCCAGACCAAACACAACTACGATACTCATATTTATACATGTTCTGTCGAGATACTATAACAACAACAACATATCTACCTAGCATAGATTGGCGTTTAATGAATTACATACTATACTCTCGAGGACATGCAAGCACCATAATAGTACGGTTCAGATTAACTTCCCCAGAACCCGACCCAGAACCAAGGATCAAATCCGCGGAGAAACTAAACCTACCAACCTAGTCCGTCATTATCACATTGACATCATCCCTCACTTCCAAGAACGGACAAACCACTCGCGACAACACCAGCAAATCGCTCTCAACATGAATTCATATATACCATAACCCATATCCAGCAATCCCCCATCTCCCATCTCCAACCAACACTCCACGCCCGATAACACAAATCCCGAAAATAACGTACCTACAGCAGCACAATGCCCGGAAAAACACCATCATCAGACCTGGATATCCTCAACGAGCCCGACTGGAAAAAAACACACAGCCACCACATCGGCACACGCTCCCGCGACGCTAGACACATCGGTCTCACACATCCTGGCGATGACAGACCTCAAGATTATCAGGAAGATTTGGAGGGTATTGCGGGAGAGAAACTTGATGAGTTGAGGGAGATGGTTAGGAGAGGGGAGCTGGTTAGTGTACGCGATATTCTCACTAGACAGATGGTTCGTTCCCCTCCCTATGTATTGGGTCTGAGTTGGTGGTAAAGGGGCTGATTAAAGTAGGACTTTCATTTGGAGCGGCCTGAGGTGCATCCGAGGTTTTGGAGGTATGTGTTGCATACGACCGAGGAATTTATTAAGGAGGAGCAGCCGTGGGCTGTGAATTTGAAGAAGAGGGAGAGGGAGCAGAGACAGAGAGACGAAGAGAGACAGAGGCAGGATGGGGTGGATGGAGTGCAGAAAGGGCAGAGTGCAGATGGACAAGATGAAGATCCGAAGGACGGTACAGGGGAAGGCGAGGAGAAGGACAAGCCCAAGCGCTCAGTTGAAGAGGAGGCGTTACTGCAGTGTCTGCGCTACGAGCAGGAGTATCGGGCGTCAATAGCAATGAACAACGGCCAGGGTTATTCCAATCTGCAGAATGAGGATCTCCCAAGGCTAATAGATGAAGCGGACCAATTCTCTCCCGATAGTTGGATTCCTCGAAGTGACAAACTCACTCGTCTAACCGGAAAACATCCATTGAATGCCGAAGTAAACCTCACCACTCTCTTCGACGGCGGCCTCATTACACCCTCACCAATACACTACGTCCGCAATCACGGCTCCGTCCCACATCTGCTCTGGGAAAATCATAAACTTGAGGTTATTGCTGGTAAACACCTATTCTTGGGAATGGACGAACTAAAGAATCAGTTCGAAAGCATCAACATCCCCATCTTCCTAGCCTGCGACGGGAGCCGCAGAAAAGAACTCAACATGATGAAGAAAACCCGTGCCTTCAACTATACCGCAGCTGCAGCGGGGTGTTCGTACTGGAAGGGAGTCTTACTTCGCGACGTTTTACTAGCAGCGGATGCTCAGCAACTTGCAAAAAGTAACCCGAATAAATCATTCTGGGTAAACTATGAAGGCGCCGACAATCTTAGCGAAGGAAAATACGAAACATGCCTTCCGCTCGACTACGCCCTCGATTCCAATAACGATGTGCTACTCGCCTACGAAATGAATGACCATCCCATCCCCCCAGACCACGGATATCCCCTACGCCTAATGCTCCCCGGCTGGGTCGGTGCTCGATCTGTAAAGTGGTTGAGCAAAATCTGGCTCACCGATTACGAAAACGACAGCTACTACTACATCTACGATAACAGGCAACTTCCGAGTTTCATTGACGACCCCGAATCAGAGATCGCGCAGATTATGTACCGTCATCCGAGTACGATATGCACGACACAGATGCTGAATTCTGTTATCGTCAGGCCTGCGCAGGGGGAGAGGATTGATTTGGGGGGTTTAAAGAAAGGTACGATGTATCGGGTTGAAGGATATGCGTATAGCGGGGGTGGGAATGAGGTTGATCGGGTGGAGGTTAGTTTGGATGGGGGGGTTAGGTGGTTGTATTGTGTGCGGAAGGTGAGTTGGCTTGAAAAAAGAGTGATAAGAGTTGTGCTGATAGCATGTAGTATCCCGATGCGCCGATCCGGCATGGAAGGAAGTTTTGGACGTGGCTGCATTGGCATATTGATTTGCCAGTTAGCAGGTTCATTCGCGCGGAGAGTATCCTGGTTCGTGCGTTTGATGAGCATAAGAATACGCAGCCTCCGAAGCCTGTGTGGAATATCGAGGGGTATCTCGTCTCTGTCCCTGTCCCTGGTCTTTGTTAACACAATCAGAATGATGAACAACTGCTGGTACGAAGTCCGGCCCGAAACTCACGATTCCTCGGACACTTCAACATCCCTCCTCTTCCGCCACCCTGTCGACGCCGGCACCAGCACAAATGGCTGGATGAAGCCCTCCACCTCCGAACAAATCGAATCCATCAAACAGAAAGCATCAGCCCCCGAGAAGCAATTCACCAGACAGGAGATCGAGAAACATAATACTGAGGATGATTGCTGGATCGTGGTTAATGGGAACGTATACGATGCGACCAGTGTGCTTGGTTGGCATCCTGGGGGTAAAGGAGCTATTTTGGCGCACGCGGGGGCTGTGCATGTTGATACAACGGAGGAGTTTGAGAGTATTCATGATAATTATGCACAGGATAAGTTGAAGGGTATGCATTCGTATTCAGACGAAAGTAGGGCTTTGCTGATTATGAACAGAATGTATCATTGGAAAGGTCACGCAAAAGGCAATGGATCATATGAAGAAAGACGCAGAACAGAAAAAGGCAGAAGCATCACAAACTGACAAGACAGATCCCGACGTCGTTCTAGATAAGCACAAGTATCTCCCTACCCCCACACCCCTCCGCACCAAGCACGCCTGCTAACTGCTGCAGATGGATCCAAGCAACCCTTGCCACCAAAAAGCGCCTCTCAAACGACACCCAGCTCTACACCTTTACCCTCCCACCCCCCGCCAAAAAACTCGGCCTCTCAACAGGCCAACACATTCAACTCGGCTTCCACTTCGAAGACCGTCTTGTCGTGCGTCCATACACGCCCACCCGACCAATCCTCGACTTCGAAGATGACGGCTCTTTTGACCTTGTTGTAAAAACATACTTCCCCGATGAGAACCAGCCCGGCGGAACAATGAGTAATATCCTCGACTGTCTACGCGAGGGCGAGGAAGTTGAAGTTAAGGGACCGTCAGGCGAAATTCGATACTTAGGGAACGGGCGGTTCGAGGTCGATGGTGACGAACACACGTTCAACAGCGTCACCTTAATCCTTGGTGGATCAGGCGTAACACCAGGCTACCAAATAATAGCCCGAATTCTCAAAACCACCGACGACAAGACGAAGATCAAAGTCATTGACGCGAATAAATCAGAAAACGATATCTTACTCGCCGCTGACCTAGATGATTTTTCCAAGAATCACGGTGATCGATTCCAAATTGCACATGTGTTATCTCATCCCAGTGATAGCTGGAAAGGATTAAAGGGACATGTTAATGAGGATATTATTAAGGAACATGCATTCGAGCCTGCGGAGGGAAATGTGGCACTGCTTTGTGGACCGCCGGCTATGATTCAGAAGGCTGCGTTGCCAGCGTTAAAGAACTGGGGGTATGATGAGGATAGGAATTTATTCGGGTTTTAGTTTGTGGATTTTGGGTTTTATATGTATTTCGCATTATTCATAGCCCCTGCAAATATTATGAATCTCGTACATTTTGGCCAATAGTCTCCTGGTAACTATCACGAAGCACGTATAGAGTTACATGCTGGTTTGTTGCTGCTATTTAATGTTTTATAGCACGTAACGCAGTCTAAGTTGTGACGGTTAGCGGGGCGCCAGAAACGGCTCCCATTGAATCGCGCTTCTGCCGAGCCCTACCGCCTGCCGTCGATGGGCATTCCATTGCCCTTTGCGGTATGGCGCCTACTGTATCAGGGATAGCGCCGCATCACGCTGCTTTTGGGCCGCTCACATGCCGCCTCAACGCATCCACTGCATCTATAAAAGCCCGACATCTCCCCTTCAAAGGACCACACACTTTCTCTTCCCTTTTCCCTTCTCCTGTCTGCCTTGTCCGGTGCACTGCCCTCTTACCAAGATGCCGCGTTACCCGACGATTTGCCCTTTTCCAGTATGACGCCGTCCACTCTCCTGGGGGGTGGCCGACGGGTCATCTGGACAGTTGAGACATTGAGACCTTGTTACTGTTGCTTCATTGGAAATTGACCTATCCACTTTACCCTTGCTGCTATGCTGCTGCTTACTATTGCAGTTATGGGCCCCTTCACGCGTCCTCCAGCTGATCAGCGACTTTTTGAGTTGCTTCCAGCCATGCTATCCTATTTGGGCTTTCCCTTGAGAATTCTGAATCCTTGGCTGCTTTGCTTGTGGTCTCTCATCTCAAGATTTCATGATTGCTTCTTCACCCAGGCTCCCAAGATTCTACATGGGAAAGACAACTTTCTGGTTATCTGGCTACTAGGTCTGGTTGTGAACCAGGTTGCGCCTGTCCCCCTCCACAGCCGTCTTTCGACCCCACCAGGATCAATTCATTTACGTATCCTCTCCATGTTTACCATCCAATATCAAAATTACCGCATTCTTTTCATTTCAGCGTGTTTGACATGCGAGGCCTGGAGCTGCAACACTCAGATGCGATTGGCGCAGGGCACCGGATCTCGGCCTCCAGGTGTCACTAGTAGATGAAAATACAGTCAGCAGTCTTAATGAGATTTTCAGGACGAGAGGAATTTGCCTCATTGCTTCTGCTGATGAGAAAGGTGGAATGGTGGACTTGACGGGCCGAGGGTAAGTATAAAAAGGATAATTGCGGCCACAGAGGTTGCAACATCTTAACTCGTTTTCTCCCACAACCCGCACTCTCCCCTTCCTCTTCCCTCTTTCTGTAACGGCTCAGCTCAGCGCCTCTATTGACAAACACCATCAACATGGCAAACGATGCCACGAGAGCAATCAAGACAAACAGCTGCTTAGCGAGACCACACTCAACCGTATAAGACTTCGTGTAAATAGGTTTTCCTCCTCTTTTCTTTTCCTCTTCAGATTCGATATTCTCGTCGATGGCTACAATAGTTTAGATAGAATATCAGTTCGTTATTATCTACTATTCCGAGCCCGTGACACTTTCCAAATCGCCTGTCTGCTATAATATCTAAACATCCCCATCTTCTAAAATATGACCCCTACCTTTCACATGAACAACTTCAAGCCGTGGGCTCACCCTCTGGAAAGCCATTTTCACCATGCAAATCACCCAATCCATGTACCCCAAGAACCCGAAAAATTCCCTCGCCCCAAACCTCATCATGATTCCCTTCCAAGCACTTTGCCACTTCCCTCGGTAGCTGCACATGTAGTGCGACTGTATAAATGTTGTTGATGGATGCAATTCAGACAAAGAGGGGAAGGGGTGGAGATGAGATTTCGAGCACGATTTTATTCAATACTGATAGAATGTGTTGGTTAACTCATGGCTTCCTTTTAGCTTGCACCTTTTGATTGTCTGGGATCCTTTGGCAATTTGGAGCCCTACACGGTGAGGAAATAGATCAGGCAAAGCACTAAAGTCTTCAGGTAAATAGCAGCCAAAGAGGGCCGGGGGAGCCCCTCAAACATACACCATAGTTACATGTACCCGCCGCTGGGACGGCTTATGACATAATCAATCAATCAACCAACACACTAATGTCACATGCTCACATTCCTTGGCGGCAACAGCGCGGTGGTAATAGATTCCATAGGTCTTACCATCTCTAGACTCTATTGATCATCTCATCTCACTACATCCTATTCCCTGCGATTTTTTTCCCAACTTGACTTGAAATAGTTTCAGATGGAAAACTGACACGTATCGCCTGCCTGTGTGAACAAGGCCGTCAGCAACCTCTCTTTTTACAGTATTGTTTGTCAGGCAGGTGCATTTCTAATTCTTATTAGGCAGGTGCACTCCTTGTTCTCATCAGGTAGGTTCACATCTGTAACGGCTCAGCCCAGCACCTTCATCAGCAAACATCATCAACACGGCAAACAATGCCATGGAAGCAACCAAGGCAAACAAGCTGCTTAGCGAGACCACACACAACCATATAGGACTTCTTCATGTAAATAGATTTGCCTCTTCTCTTTTCTTCTCCAGATTCGATATTCTAGTTGATGGCTACACTGGTTTAGATAGGAATATCACTTCATTAGTATCTACTGGTCCGAGCTCGTGACAGTAAAGAGTCAGTTGATCGCTCTTTCCCTCATATAGAGAGGTGCACAAGCAAGATTTCGAACCTATTGAACACAATTACAGAGGAAGGAAGTATTTCATTTGATCTCAATGATGCAGACATCAGGTTCTGTTATCAGAATGGTTGGATTCACAGGGTAGCCCTAGATGGTGAAAATATTGCAGTTCTGCCATCGCGCTTACATGAAAAGTAATTCTTCTCATATGCCCCTATTGTTTTGAACTGACCATATTAGGTATATTGAATACTCGATTGGCACAATGTCAAAACCCCTGCCTGCCAGATTCGACTCGCTACAGAAATCATGCAAAGAGATTCTCTGCAAATTCTCCATCATGAACTTGAGGCACTCAGTTGAGGGCAAAAAAATGTCAACTGCATCACAGCCCAGACCTATGGAAGCCCAGTATTAAGCTGAGTTCTACAGGGGATTTGTCCATACAGCAGGGCGAGGTGTACCGATATCCACTGAATGGTCAAGAACCAGGGATGGTCGAGTGGATTTCTATATCCCAGAAAAGAAATGGGCGATTGAATTGTTGAGAGATCATATTGAAGTCAATGAACATATCTCTCGATTCAAGGACAGTGGGAAATATCATCCCTGGCTGAAGGAGAAAATGGTCAAGGATTGGATCATAATTGACTGCGACTTCTTTACCAACCAAAGGTGTGTTCTTACTCAGCGTTTAATTTAGTAGCCATGATTTATTCCACTAACAACTTATAAACTTCTCTGAACCTAAGTTATGGCATGCTGTGTTCGCCAATAATTATTCTAAATTGCAGTTGTATAACCATCAGCAAGCTTTTATGATGTCTGTGCATCTACATAATTGAGAATAAGCAGGGATGATATTGCTATTACACTGCTTACTTGCGTCTGTCTTTTATTGTGGTATCTTTGTTAGCTGCAGCCAACTTCTGACTATCAAGCAATCAAATGAATTCACCTCGTTTCCTTTGTCTTACCCCTGTGGCTTCTTCTCTTTTCTCCTCGGGGTCGATATTCTCGTCTTATGGCTACCTAGTTTAGATTGAGAATAACGCTATCTCGTTTTATCTACTAGACTGAAACTGTGACAATAAGGGCACAAGTGAAAATAAAAAGCAAAAGTTGTATCGATGTCTTTCCAATCTCCTGTGGATCTCAGCCTAGCTTATATGATAAGTCGACGATGTTACATAAGTATGGTCGTGGTTGATGGAACCATTGCCTAAGCTCATGTTTTATAGTCCCAAAGATCTTCCATTCAGTCTCAACCTGTTGAGGGATAATTCGACATATATGATCCTTAGTATATGCCGCTGCAATCATCGCTACATATACTCGCCATTTTTCGTTTATGAGAATCGGAGTAATCGCAAACACTACAAATAACAAGACAAAAGAAATAATTCATCAATCCCACTGCTTAATTTTCAAAGCATATCACGACCTTCCTCCTTCCTAGCAGAAATTTTTGTCTCGAATCAAGGCATCCTCCATAAGCTGGTTCCCAGATGCAAGCAGTTCGTAATGGATCGCTAGGTTGTCATTACTTCTTCGTTGCATAACTCACGAGAGACCAAAGAAGGTAGCTCATTCCTACAAGCAAGATCACAGCTTGACTCGTAATTTGGAGAGTGGACAATCTGACTGTGACAGAGTCGATCACTGGCTGAATCCGGACGCTTATATTTCTCCCACAATTTCTGTTCCTTCTTAATATTTCCATTGATTGTGAGAAGATGGCTTTTAATCTCACATTGAGTCTTTAGTCCGTTCACTGCCGCCCGCAGGATAGTAGGTGGTTGGTTCAAGAAGCCTGTTGGGTAGAAGCTCTGACCCTGGACCGTTTCCCAAAGTCATACTGAAATAAACCACCTTGTCCATTATTAGAAATGCTGACCACAATATCCCGAAGGCAGAAACCATGCTTTCCACTTGGCATACCGCCGCTGATGCCGAATATCAGGCCAAGTCGAACATTCGGGAAGCTATGCATCATGTCTCCTGCCATTCGTGCTGCGGAGGTGCCACAGTCACCCAGGGGCATAACGGCAATAATGACATTATGCCTTCCGGTCCTACCCAGGGTATAGTCTTTTTTTTTTTTTTTATTGTGGGAAGTAATCCGGGTAGTCGTGCTTTTCATCCAGGAACACTTGAGTAGCAACATATTCGGTGGCGATGGCGCAAATCCAGCCAACAGTGTACTCCTTCGGGTCGGACATCACGAAACAAGGTTGATGAATCAATTTAATTGTTGGAATGACAAGTTCTTTTGGGCGTTTGAATCAATTCGCACTAATGTAGAGTGTGCGGGGCTCTGTTCAGTCTCACTTGCTGTCTGACAAGCGACAATCTTCTGGGTCACGACAGGTATTTGCATAGAGACTCAGGATGAAAAATGATCTATGCATTCCGACTAGTCACTTACATCTATGTCTATATATGCAACATCTACTGCTGACTCTTCTTCGACTTCAGGAACGGACCACCCCCACGAGTACCAAATCCCCACCGGATCTGGTTCGACATGGAGATCTCGACATCCAATTCCTCCGCCCAAGCCCAAGCCAACCCGGGATTCTTCTGAAAGGCACGCCCAATAAGGACAAAGTCCAGTCCGTCCGTCTCGAGCAATGAGTTAGCTAGCTGCGCGGAGTTAATCATACCCACAGACCCAACGGAAACCTTGTTGCCAACAGCCTTCTTTACAGCAATCGCGAACGGGGCTTGGAAGGCAGGAGCGGCGTGAATGTGCTGGTCCTTGTGAACACCACCGGAGCTAACGTCTATCAGGTCAATGTCGCCGCTGTCCGCGAGGGCCTCCGCGAGCTTAACGGTATCCTCGACGCGCCAGCTGGGGTCGTTAGGGCGGGATTCCTCGAGCCAGTCAGTGGCGGAGACGCGCAGGAAGACGGGCATGTCCTCTGGGACGGATTCGCGGGTGAGTTTGGCGATTTCCAAGGTCAGACGAATACGGTTTTCGAAGCTGCCTCCGTACTCGTCGGTACGCTTATTCACGGAGGGCGAAAGGAAGGACATGAGTAGGTAACCGTGGGCGTTGTGAATCTCGACAAAGTCTGCGCCAGCGCGCACAGCACGCTTGACGGCGGCAACCCACGCGGCCTTGAAGGCTTCAATGTCCTCCTTGGTCATTTGTTGAGGGATCGGGCAGTTGTCCGTGAAAGGCTCGCTGCCAGGACCCTTGACATTGTCGGGCCAGCCGCCAACTTTCTCCGATGCGGCATCGTTGAATGAGAGCCAAGGGGCAACAGTGCTGGCTTTACGGCCGGCGTGCGCAATCTGCACACCGATTATTTGGTTCTGACTATGCACAAATTCAATGATGCGCCGAAGAGGCTCGATCTGGGAGTCTTTCCAGAGACCAAGGTCCTGGGGAGTGATACGGCCTTCAGGTTGAACGGCGGTGGCCTCGACCATAAGGAAACCGGGACCGCGCTGGGCAATACCACCCAGGTGAGCCATGTGCCACTGCATCCTTGTCAGTCACTGTCCTTTTGTTCTCGTGAATCCTTGCAAAGTAACTCACATCGGTCATATGTCCATCATCACCGGAGTATTGACAAAGCGGGGAAAGCTATGTTTGGCTCCGTCAGCAACATGTCCAACCAAGCAATGTCTCACAGGCTTACTCCGATGCGATTGTGGAAGGTAACACCCCTTAGCGATAGAGGCTGGAACAGTTTCGGGGGACCAGAGCCATCGGACTGGGGGATTGCTGCGGAGCCTGCCGGGGGGATTTGAGCGGGTGTGTAATAGGAAATGCCCGAGGCGGCTTTGTTTTCGATGTCTGGGAACGGCATGTTCTCGTTATTCAGTATAGCAAAGTTGGGAAGAATAATGTATCATCAATATGCGCTTGGGGGGGGGGGAAGAGGGAGAGAGATATAGGAGAGATAAAGCTCCACCGGATTAGAAATTCAATTGTACCGTTGCAATGATGTCAGGCAATCGACCGCGGTACAAGCCGAGTGCCGATATGTAGCTCTAAATTGGGTAGTATGGTCATTCTTGGTTCATCTACAGGGACAGAATATATATAAGAGACTATTCTGCATAATAAGTGATTCTGGATTTTGTATACAGGATAAGCACCACCTTCCTAATATGGCATAGACACCTTATGCCCACTTATGTCAATTTATGCCTACTTATGCAGGTCTTATCTAATATATCAACCCCTCATTCTTATCTTATCAGCGAACCGACTTCGGCGAGCCAAGGCCGCCCACCGCCCGCACCCGCACTTTGTCCCGCCAATTTTTTATCTACGCCGCCGTGACTCAACTCTTCTCTCCTCAATTTATCCAATTCAACCAATTCATTCAAAATGGGCAAGGGAACTCTCGTCTGCGCTTTTTCCGGTGGCCTCGACACCAGCATCATCCGTATGTCTTCATCCTTTTCAAAGGATTTTGAATGCCGCTAATGGGTTATAGTCAAGTACCTCATTGACGATGGGTGGGATGTTATCTCTTTCAGTGAGTGCCCTCAAATTACTTATACATTGATATAGACAGGTGCTAATGAGAACAGCCGCCGATGTTGGTCAGGAAGGTAAGAAGTAGGATAACGTCGCAACACCGGAATCGTTCTAACAATCCCTCAGAGGACTTCGATGCTATCCGCGAGAAGGCCTTGAAGCTTGGTGCTAAGAAGGCTGAAGTTGTCGACCTGCGTCGTATGTATCCATTGGACAATGATAGTTGAGTAGGGTGACTAACCTGAGCAGGGGAATTCGTCGATGAGCTTTGCTTCCCCGCCATCGCCTGTAACGCCATCTACGAGAACGTTTACCTTTTGGGTATGTCGATTGAACCGGTTGGATTGTATCGCGGAAATATCGAATATTGACAGAAAATAGGAACTTCTCTTGCTCGCCCCGTCATCGCTCGTGCTCAGATTGATATCGCTAAGCGTGAGGGCGCCGTTGCCGTCTCTCACGGTTGCACCGGCAAGGGTAACGACCAGGTCCGTTTCGAGCTTGCTTTCTACGCCCTGAAGCCCGACATCCAGGTCATTGCCCCGTGGCGTGACCCCGTCTTCTACAACCGCTTCGCTGGTCGTAACGCCCTGCTCGACTATGCCGCTGAGAAGGACATCCCCGTCACCTCCACCAAGTCCAAGCCCTGGAGTATGGACGAGAACCTGGCCCACTGCTCGTACGAGGCCGGTATCCTGGAAGACCCCAACACCACTCCCCCTACCGACATGTGGAAGTTGACTGTCGACCCTCTCAAGGCTCCTGAGCAGCCTGAGGACTTCATCGTCCACTTTGAGAAGGGTATCCCCGTCAAGCTCGAATACACCGAGAACGGTCAGCAGAAGACCGTTACCGACTCTGTCGAGCTTTTCCTCACAGCCAACGCCATTGCCCGTCGCAACGGTGTCGGTCGTATTGACATTGTTGAGAACCGTTTCATCGGTATCAAGTCTCGTGGCTGCTACGAGACCCCTGGTCTCACTCTTCTGCGCGCTGCTCACGTTGACCTCGAGGGTCTCGTTATGGACCGTGAAGTCCGTGCTCTCCGTGACCAGTTTGTCACCGTCAACTACTCCAAGATCCTGTACAACGGCCTCTACTTCTCCCCCGAGCGTGAGTTCCTCGAGTCCTCCATCACCACCTCCCAGAAGAGCGTCAACGGCCAGGTCCGCTGCCGGGCCTACAAGGGCTGCGTCTCCGTCCTCGGCCGTTCGTCCGAAACCGAGAAGCTGTACGACATGTCCGAGTCCAGCATGGACGAGATTGGTGACTTCTCTCCTGCTGAGACCACCGGCTTCATTACCGTCTCTGCTATCCGTCTCAAGAAGTACGGCCAGATGAAGGCCGCTGCTGGTGAGAGGCTGTAAAGTCAGACTTTTGATCATGTGTTCTATATAAGATGAGCATTTAATGTGTAACGCAATAAAAAGCATATATGTTTGGTAGCATTCAAGTGTCTTTTGACATTAGACTGGAATTCGGTGCTGTGAATCCGTATATTTAGATTATAATACAATGCTCGCTTGTAAAAAAAATGCCTCCCGGTGCATCCTGGAATCACTGCCTGCCTTCACAGGTACGCGCTCAACTTGGACTCATCACCGCAAACCTCTGCTCAAGTGTTAGTCTCCCTCCAACACCACATATCTCAAAAACAAAGAGAAAATGAACTCACCCCTCCAAGCCCCCGCTGCCGCCTTCTCCGCATCCCACCCCCACAAAAACCTCTGCGTTTCACGATCACTCCACCGATCTGGATTCTTACCACTCTCCCTCATCGACACGCGGAACTGTTCATCGCGCGCAACCTGCTCCGGCCCATCGGGGAAGTGCAGCGGCGTACGGTTCTCGGTGCCAGATTGCTGGACGGTCTCCGCGCGCTGCTTGCGGGATTGCTCGTAGGCGGATAGGGCGAGCGGGATTTGGTTGTGGGTATCAATGGTTGAGAGGAGGATGCCTAGGGCTGCGGCATCTTCGACGGCTTGGGCGGCGCCTTGGGCGATGTAGGGGCTGTTTCTGTTAGTCTGGTTTGAAAACAGGGAACTGGAGGGGAGGGGGACTAACAGCATGGGATGGCAGGAATCACCGATAAGAGCAACAGAGCCACGAATCCATGTCTTCAATGGCGAGTGCAGACACAACTTCCACTCCAGGACATCATCATCAGGAACCAAGTCAATCAATTTGGTCACCTTGCTATCCCAACCCCGGTAATCATCAACCATCCTTTGCTTCGACCCCTTCGTCGTCCACGACTCCTCCACCCCATGCCGGTCCGGATGAATCAGCACAACATTATACAACTCATGCTTCCGCACCGGATACGCAATCACATGCCTATACGGCCCAATCCACCTCGTCGCCTGCGGCTCCCGAATAAGCCCCCTCAACTCCGGGTCCGCCTCCATAACACTCCTGTCCAGCATAATCCGATACGCGGCATCACCTGTCGGCTGCGCTTTGATACTATCATCTTCAAGCAATTTCGCGCGGATACCAGATTTGATACCATCAGCCCCGATAACGACGTCACCGCGGACGATTTCTCCATTAGCAAGGATTACAGATGGGGGGTCAAAGGTTACGTCTGTAACAAGGGAGTTTTCGCGTAGGGTGACTGTTTCTTGAGCTAGGGCACGCTCTATGAGTGCATTGTGCAGGTCTGCACGGTGGATGACGGCTTGTTGGCCGTAGGTTTTGTTGACTGGCATTGTGTTTAGGAGAGTGCCGTCTTGCCAGCGGCGCACGTGGATATGCTCGAGGCCGACATCTTGTGCATGGATTAGGTCGGAGATGCCCCATTCTGCTTTGTTAGCTGTGGGTTCACGTTAAAAGAGGGGCAGTGCTTACTGTCGAAGAGTCTCAGCATGTTAGGGGAGACTTGGATACCCGCACCGACTTCGGCAAGCTATTGAGATGTTAATTTCTGCAATAACTGACTGGGTTGCATTGCATGCATACTTTTGGCGCGGCTTCAAGAATAGTGACATTATGTCCACGCATACCCAGAGTCAGAGCAGCGGCCATACCACCGATACCTGCGATTCATGAGCATGCTGTGGTACCCCAGAGAACGGGATGCATACCGGCCCTACATAAAAAATTAACACCAAATCAATAATCAGGAAACGGCAAACTTACCCAACAACAACAACCTCAAGAGGCGTCTTCGCTCTCGGAACAGCCATAGCGAGTGTGCAATTAATCGCCTCACGATAAGAATATCGTATTACAAGAATGCAAACAGTTTCCCGAAGCAGTGGAGCAGAATAAGATCCGAAGGGCAAAAAAACTCTGATAGTGCAGTTTTCTCCGGGAACAAATATTCTCAACTAAAACAGGAGGATTTTCCCTGGCCAAAATTCTACAGACCAAGACTAAAGGAAAGGGAATTGAAGACAGGTCAAGCTATATATCCGAACCCCGTGGATAACTAACCCAACAAACGGAACGGCGGCAGAAAAACCTTTTCTCCACATCCCATGGCAATCCTGGACGGGGTTACGAATATGTCCTCTTATTTTTTCTACTCCGATCTCCGGCTTGGTTTATCATTGATAGACTTTCATGTTTCGGGGGCTGTCTCCGAGCTACTACTTGCAATTATGCAGCTCGGCTGCGGGGATACATAATCAGCTTCAACTACACAGCATTCATTCAAAATACTACAGGGTATTGTGGTACAGCATAATTAAAATCGATTCTCAATTCACAGAAAAAAGGAATATGATCATCACGCGCCAGCATAATCCACAATCATGACCCCCGTATTCGCCGCTCGGTAAACCCCGTGCGTGCTCGTGAATTCTGGTTCCATATCAACACCCTCACCCGGCTGTTGTGCGCGCCGCTCATCTGCCGAAACCCACCTTCAACCACCAACACCCACAATCTACTCACCTTCAAAGCATATCCCAGAACTCGTGTCTGCGGTTTCCGAAAACGGAATGTATAGGTAATTGCTGCTGATGATCAGTTGAAGGGCGGAGAATGGGGGTGGTGGATGGCGGTGTTGGCTTGATGTCGGTAATGGCTGGAGGATTCAACTGCCGATGGAGGTGTTTTTGATATCAGGTTGAGGTAAGGAGTTGTTCTGTAAGTCTGAATATTTGGTATAGTAAATTATTACCTACTCAGATTGTGTTACTGCCATGACCGGTTTCACTTTTTTGGGTAGTGATTGGTTCATTCTTGCTGTGATGTCTCGATTTCCGCATACAACGCATCGAGTCTTGCTGGGAGGAAATAGCAATAAGCGAATGTATCACTCCGGGAAAGACATGGCGAGGTCCATTGCTGTAAACTGGCCAAGGGATGTCCTTATTCACTAATTTCGTAATCGCTCACCAATCGCTCCCAAGAAGTAACGGCCGAGATGCCAGTTTTCAGTCGACTGCAGATATCGTCCGTACTATACGAACTCTGTCACAGCAATAACCGCTCCAGTCGCTTCAATAATGGAACTTGATAATATCATAATAGCAATGGTCTTTCATGTTGCTCTTAACCGTTTGACTGCTTTTTGACGCAAATCCGCAGCTCAATACGGCATTCGACACGGTGATGGTTGCAACAGCAAGTCATGCCTGAATCTCAGGAACAAGGGAACCATGGAAGCTATGTTCAAACTGGAGTCGATAGCTTTGCTAATGCGGACTGGTCGTGTCTGATGACAACTAGCAGCGATGGAAAGAGAAACCCCCCTGTGTTGTGGCCATAAGAAAATCTGCCCGCTTTCAACAATATCTAACTTGATATGACTAACAATGAAAGCTTGTTCCAGGGTGAGCATGGGTATACACTCATTTTTCTGTAAATTGGGGAATCAGTCGTAAGTTATATTTACCTGGATGTCACTACAGGCTAACACTGTTAGTGTAGCACGTTCTTAATAACAACGATACCAACGATTCGCTAGCAGCATGTTTCTGACAAAGGTGATCTAATGGAGGATAGCTGCAGAGTCAATTGTTTGACAAGTCTCGCAGAACATCTCCAGCTTCAGGATAGGGTAGTGAGAAGCATTCTAGCGTTTTGCATTACCAAGAAAAACATCTAGCCACACCGGCCACTTTCGCTACCTTTTCCGTTCCAGTGAGCTCCGTCACCCAGGAAGACAGCTGGGTACGTGATAGTGTTGGTTCGAGAGCAGAACTATGATTTCTGACGTATATGATGATTTATGGGCCCCGTGATGGATGAGTGCTTTGTCTTCATGGACCTCCTGGACACAATACTTTTGTGCCGGACATCCCGCGGCAAGCTTCATTGCGCGACTGATACCAGAGGACTTGAAATTAATATCAACGTCAACAATTGAAAGAAATCCTCGTATACACTAGAGTGATTGTTCTATAGACGTGGCTTCGCGAATGCGGCTTTCTCTTCTGTGCTTGTGTGTATGCACTAGGATTGTTACCTGAGACATGTTATACTCATATCTTAAATTGGTTGTAGCAGCCGCATGAGAGAGCCATGGAACCTTAGCAAAGCTTTTGCTTTGGTTTGACAAGCTCATTTGTTAGGGACACTCCCAAAGGAGAGAATCAAGAAGCTTATGTGCAGCTTTACTTTCACTGGCATATATAGTAAGCTTCAGTCGTTGCCGCCTCGAACATATATGTAGTTGTGATCAGCTGGAATTGGTCGTGTGCAATCTATGACATTTTGCACACAGAATTCCTTGATGATGACGTTGCTATGTTCTTGTTCTATTGGGCTACTTTGATGCTTATTGTAGCAAAGGCTTGTGGTGAACATCTGAAAGCGAATGCGTACCTGTGGTGGAGGTCTAAAATCCTATAGCAGCATCTTTTCATGATATACTACCAGCTCGAGATACCCAGCACCGTGATGTTGAAACAAAACGTGATGTCTGGCTTGTCTGAGGTTCTTCTGAAAGCCACGCCTGGACGGACATCATTATACTGTATGACTCAGCAACCTGTGCATGGCACCTTTTCCATCTTTACCCTACTAGCCTTTCTTAACCTTGGCTTTTTATGACTTGATATTGGCATGTTGTGCTGTATATTTCTAGAATGAATAACGTGGTTTTGGGAGTAACTAGCTCTAACCACATCCTGCGCCAAACAAACCAGAATATTTACAGGGAGAGATTCCAAATTATTTTCCCTATGATGCGGTCTCGGAGGTCCGAATCACCCCGGATTACCGTAATCCGTCGACGTCATCAGAATCTATAAACCCTCAATCAACCCACCAAAGCTATCAGTAAAACCTCCAGCTTTCTTAATGTCTCCTACAAGCCCGAAAACAATCGCCATAATCGCCGGGGCAGGCCCAGGCACCGGTGCAGCAATTGCACGCCGCTTTGCCCGCGGGTATCCCGTCGTGCTGTTAGCACGTTCCCAAGCTTCACTGGACCCATTAGTTCGCGACATTCAGAAAAATAATGGGTCCGCGCTAGCTTTCCCAACAGATGTGACAGACATTTCGAGTATGAACCGTGCTGTAGCTGATACCAAGGCACAATTGGGCAAGGATGTGCGCGTGGCCGCGGCCATCTTCAATATGGCCAGCAAATTTAGCCGCAAGGGGTTTCTGGATTCACCCCCGGAGGAGTACTTGGGGAGTCTGCATACTACCGTCAATGGGGCTTATAGTTTCAGTCAAGCGGTGTTGCCGTTGATGCTTGGCTCTGATTCCAGTGAGCAGTCGCATCCGCCAACTTTGATTTTCACTGGTAATTCAGTCCCTCTGTTTAATTATTACCTATCTAGAACAATCGTTAATCGTGTCTTCTAGGAGCAACTGCCGCCCTCAAAGGAGGCAATGGACTTGGGTCATTCGCCATGAGCAAGTTTGCCGTTCGAGCCATGGCACAGTCACTAGCCCGCGAATTCGGACCCAAGGGTATCCATGTGGCGCATGCTATAGTAGATGGCATCATTGACACGGAACAAACAAAGGGCTTCCACGAGGAAATCCCTGGGTCTAAGATCAGCCCAGATCAAGTGAGTGTCTGTTCCTCGCGAGAACGTGTTCTGGTATTTAACCATTGATACAGATTGCGGAAGCATATTGGTATTTGCATACGCAGACGAAGACCTCGTTTACGCATGAGTTAGATCTTCGGCCTTATTGTGAAAGCTGGTAAGGAATGTAGATGACATGCTCGAGGATTTAACCTTCTCTGAGTATGCCTTCGAAAAATTCTTGTATCCGTGGGATGAACATGGTGACATGGGACGGAAAGAAAGGAACTGAAAGACAGTTTATTTGCAGATATATAAATATGCATTCCTCATGACAGCAATAATGCCATCCACAGACGATTCTATTCTTCAAATAGCTGCTGAGCGTGGTGCTAATGGTGGGCCTAGGTATAATCAACCGTATCGTTCTCATCTATCGTACATATTATTTAATGACGTTAACAAGTACAGGGTCAATATGAATGATCCCATTCCGGAGATCTTTGAAACTGTGTTGGAAGAGCACAGAATGACTCATGTGGATTGCACACGTTTTGCTGATGATGTCGAGTTCTATGCCCCTGGATATCTTGCTATGGAGGTTGAAGGACGGGCTGTAGAGTATGACCTGGAGTTTTTATTGTGACGTCTTGTGGATTGAAGACCGAAAGTCATGGTTTATGGATACTATCCTGTTGAGTAACTAGGATAATATATTATGCCTGTCGGTGCCATATACAATAGAGGCATGCTCAATCCAACCTCTATTCTCAATATAAAAAAACACATGACTCATATGCAGCTTGATTTAGCGCTTATAATAACTCTGACAAGGCAAATATACATTAACAGAGAAAACTAACTCAATATTCAGACCACATAGCTCCTCTCCTCGGTAGAAATATTCATTTACTATGTAATCGGGGATCTACTGCTGAAAAGTGCTAAAATTACTGTTGGAAATAAATTCAGTAATGTTTCGGCCCTTCGGACACTATTTTAGCCCCGAGCCCGGAACACTGGATAATCAATATGATGTTGCATCATCATTAACAACTTTGAATTCAATTAACCCCGGCTGTATAAATTCTCCTATTTTCCTCTCCGGGCGCCCACTGCACGGATTCCATACATCGCATCATGCCCGGCAAACTCCACGACAACGTCTCCCGTATCAAGGAGCCCTCACCCCTTGGAAAATCCGTCTTCGTGGGCCTCCGCGCAGCAGATGTCTTCTGGCAATACAACCTTCTCACACGAGGATGGGGCCTCCGTCTGATCGAGAAACTTGGTGGCCAGGCCGTATCGCCTTTACACGTCTTCAATCCCTTATCTGTTACCCGTCTACAGCCTTACTTCGGACTAGTTAGTCTGTTGTCTATTGGTAGCAGTGTGAAGCAAATCATCCACATGATCTTTGTATCTGAACAGGCGATGAGCGTTGGGTCTGGTGTTGCTATTCCCGCTTTTAATACTATCTTTAACACGGTAAATACCTTGCTTTCGTTGTGGGCGGTTACGTCGCCTGTCTCTTCTGTTCCTGAATTGGGCACTTTGACCGATACTCTCTCCTCCTCTCCGTTGGTTGCAGTCGGACTGGGTGCTTATGCCATTGGCCTGTTGGTCGAGGCAGTGTCTGAATTCCAGCGGAAGTCATTCAAGCAGGATCCCAGGAACCAGGGGAAGCCGTATGGCAGTGGGCTGTTCTCGCTAGCTACCAACATCAATTACGGAGGCTACACTGTTTGGCGAGCGGGGTATGCAATGATCTGTGGTGGTTTTGCTTGGTCAGCGACGACCTTTGGGTTCTTCTTCTATGACTTTGCGTCCCGTGGGGTTCCGGTTTTGGAAGAGTATATGACGCAAAGAGTAAGTCTATTTTTTTCTGGTCCGTCCTAATATTTTTGACTGATAATGTTACAGTACGGCGATGCATACAAGCAAATCAAATCTCGCGTGAGGTATTCTTTGATTCCGGGGATTTGGTAAGGCACTCATTATACGATACGTTGCAAAAAAGTCCATCTAAGGGATGGGGGAAGTTGTTAAGACTCGGCCATTCGGCCTCCGACTCTGTCAGCTCGGACTAGAGTATTCCTGCATTACACCTTGAATACGCGGGATCTGCAAGGTGCATCCGGGTTCACCTGAACACGAGGAAGCATCCTTTGCTTTCTCGCGCTACGTCTTGTATCTAAAGCCGACGATAGCTGTTCTGAATATTGATAGTCGCCTTTTTCATTTTGGGGGGAACAACAAGACTGCTCAAGGGACCCTTTCTCTTTCCTGGGCTCGAGGCGCAAAATTGATCACGAGGACTACGGCGTATACTCTGTCAACTAAGCGGCTGTGGTACTTCGGGTTCAAGGCCAAGGGTTCCAGGAGCTAACTCCCTCCTAGATCCAGCCCATGTGCTCCCAGAGCCGACCGTTTTGCCAACGGGAGGATGGTGTCAGGCTTCGGGAGTAGGGCGCACCCTCCTGGGGACCAACGACCGGCCCTAGAAGCTACTTTCGGTATCCCGGGAGCTATATAGCTCCCAGAGCCAAATAGTATGTTCCCAGAATTGCTCAACAAGGAAAAATTCGTGACAATGAGCCATGTACCATACCAACAAACAGGGGATGGGAGGCTCCTAGCTGTAGCGGTGCGAGCCCCCTAATCCCCTACTGAGTGGACATCACATCTTCTTACCTAAACACCTGTGTCAATCCTTTGCATCAAGTACCTGGCGTCAGTCTCCCAGATACTCTCACTCCGCAACTTCAACAACCAACTTCGTACAACTCACCCCCCCGCGTAGCACATCCAGCCCAACATTAATAGCCCCTAAACCTTTTCCCACGACCCTCGGCTCCGGGCTCGGCCTGATTGTCCTGTCGGCCAGGTTCTCCCTCGACGTTGCCATCCAGTATCGGAACTGAGCCAACCTCTCCCCTTCGTCCGTCGACGGCATCACAAAGATGGTTTCCACCCCATTCACCTCCTCCGCATCCGGAGGAATAACCGGCGCCGAACCGATCTTCGCCTTCTGGTTCTCTCTCCCTTGGTCATCCCCGAAGAAAGCGTTAAGCACGGCCTGACACGGCGCCAGCTGTCCCGTGGCAAGAAAGCAATGCCGAATCACTAGGCCGTCCTCTCTGGCCGCCGAAACAATCGCATCCACAACCTGCGGCTTTTTGTAATTGAAGACGCGATCCGCGCCTAAGGAGCCTATGTACTTCTGATTCGCCGCACCGGCCGTGGCGTACACGGCGGCGAAAGAAGAGTCGCGATCTTCCCGCAGCAGCCGGGCGCTTTGCACGCCCATCGTCCCTACGCTAGAGGAAGCGCCCCAGATTAATAGGGCGTCTCTCTTTTGTTTCTTATGTTTCTGAGTTCCTCCACTAGTGTCGACACCGAATGGGGTAGCGGAGACGGAAGAAGAAGCAGTGGCTTTTCCCACCCGTGAAATTCCCATGGCATCCCACGCGTTAAGGGGTACCTCAACCGCAACGGGCAAAGTTGCCGCTTGGTTCCAAGAAATACCCTCATCCGGAAGAGGCAGGGCGTGCTGCCAGGGGACGAGGCACCGCTCCTGAAAGGCGCCGTAGTCAGGGTCACAGGACTTCCAGACAGAGGCGGCGTAGGCGGCGACGCAGGTAATCCCCGGTCGGAAAAAAGGGCCCGGACCTTCATCGGTAGCACCGGCAGGGACGTTGTCGCCGACCTCAAGGACTAGCCCCGAGATGTCGAAACCGATGACCGTGGGGTAGGTCGGTATGAAGAGGCCTTGATCACGCATGTAGCCGTCTGCCGGGTTGAGGGCGACGGATTTGACCTCGATGAGGAGCTCACCTGGGCCTGGTTTCGGCGTGGGGCGGGTTTGGAGCTCGAAGGGCTCACCTTTTGCGAGGGAGACGGCGGCGAGGTGGGTGGCCATTCTGGACTACTCGAGGACGCAATGAACGTCGAACCGAAATAAACAGAGGGCAATTCAGGTACTTGTAGAACGAATGGACTACATAGGTGGAGTGAGCACTCTGTAAAAGTATAATTGATACTGCATCGCTCGGGACCATACTCTTCGAATGACAGGTCAGCCCCCTCAAAAGCCACCTGCGTAGAGTGGCCAAATAATTCCAATCCCAAGATTTGAAAGTAGAGTAACAAGAAGGTAACAACAACTCAGCCGCAGTTTACGACCAGAAAGAAAGAGGGGCGGGTGGGGTAGACGGGGAGTCCAGTTGGGCGAACGAATTGCAGGGACGCAGAGGCGAGTGCAAGGTAAAGAAGATGGAGGGAGGAAGGATGGAGAAGTGAGATAGGAGGTCGAGCAGAGCGAGGTCGGGTCTTTTATATCAGGGCAACTGAGGGGAGGAAGGGGGTTACGTGACGGCGTATCGGGAGACTAGACCAGAAACTGCAAAATAACCGGAATAGGGAATTCACAGGTCCTCGTTTTACATCAACAACAGCAATTCTTTAGTCCTGCGTAGCACTTGGTCACCACTTATACTATTCTGCTATCACTACAATGCAATCCCGTTTACTCCACTCCATCCGCTCCGCCTCCTCTACCTCCACTCCGAGGGACCCTTTACCAATCCTGGTCTGCGGGAGAAGCCCCCGCGTCGCTTCAGCCGTATCCGCCGGCTTGCGGCCCGACTATGATGGTAAATTACCCCCCTACCCCATGAAGAAGCCTGGCTGTACTCCGTATATCATGACCATAATCGCATTGTAGATTCAATTAATTGATTGATAACCCCTAAAACAGTAATCCACTCAGTCTCATCCCCCCAAGCTGGCGCACTCGATATCCCCGCCTTCCTCCGTCGTGGTGGTAATACTACTGCTTCTGCTTTTACAGGTCTGACCCCACCCGTGGCCATCCTGGTTGGCGGTGGGTATACAGTTCACGATATGGAGATTATGCGCGAGGCCTGTCGTGGTCGTGATCCTGTTGTCTGGTTGAAGGTGAAGAAGGATATGCCGGGACCGTTGCCACCGTTGGAAGTGTATGGAGCGGAGGTGGGGAGGATGGCGAGGGATTATTTGAATGGGCTACGGGATCGGGGGGAGTTGTGGGGTGGGGGGGGTTATCATATTTAGAATTATGGGTAGAGGTGTTGTAGCTACTATGCATATCAGGGGGGAGTGCAGTTATATGTGTGAGTATATGACTGGTCAAATCTGAACGGAAGCGAAGATATAGAAATGGGACTATATGTCGCTAATTAGTCAACCCGAAGGACAATGACTAGTTATCACCATTATCCGGGAATATTTCGAGTGGGATACCGGCGGTTAAGGCGGCTTCCATCGGGGAATCAAACGGGAGAGTAAGCCGGTTGATGAGGTCGATAAAGTTGTTTACTTGTGCGTCTTTGATGAGCCATGTCTGTGACACAAGCTGCTTGATGGTTCTGATATCTTGTAGAAGACTGTTGGAGTCTGGTAAAGCACGGCCCAGCCGGAGGGAGATCACAAATACTAGCGTGATATGGAAAAGACAATACCTGCCATAGATTAGGGAAGAACAGGTTAAATTGACAAAGGAGAAGCAGTGGTTCAAGAACATACAAAAAGAAAGATGCGGCCAGTCGTAAATGCGCGCCGCTATCGATGCTCTTGCGGACCAGATCTAGGGATTCTCGAGCAGCATATAGACACCGTAATCCGTTTTCTCGAAAGACATCATTCGCGTTGTTTTCATACCCTTCATCTTTGCAATTAATTTTCACCCACTGTAGGAGATACGGTCGCCACAGTATAATCCGCAGGTTTCTGTCGCAAATTTGGAGCCGGTCACCGGAGAACCTCAACCACTCTGACCGGGGTGCATAATCCCCGTCTATTAAATAAGATGGATGGGAGGCCCGGCAGTCATCAATCATCTTCTCCATATCTTGCATTTCGGTGATAGAAATGTTCGGCTTTGCCACTAGACGGCGGTATATAGCGTTTGCCATAGCGTGGAATCGGGACTGGCCAATTAAGCCGGAATACAACGTCGGTCCATTTACCTCGGAAGGTAACGAAGGGGTCGTGGCATCGAGGTCCTTCCATCAGATACTAGTTAGGAATCGACTATATTTGAGGGATCTAATGACGCGACTATACCTCATCATGCACATTAAGCACTTGTCTAGTGCTTATTTCACTGTTGGTTGGCAGCAGGAGAGGAAGGCCGAAGGTTTTGGCAGCGCAGCTGTCGAAAATGTAGATGGTCCACCATACTCGCCGTCTCATTTCTCTTTCAAAAACTGTAGAGTACAATTCCGGACTCTCCCGGTGAAGCCTGAGGCCAATAGCCATCCGCACAGCAACGGAGAGATACTGCAGCCCTGCGTCAGGCATGCCCTGTTTTTGTGCAAAATCACTCAAGAGCAAGAGCGCCTGTAAGAGCGTCAAGTTTCCTGCCTCCATTAATGAGACTTTCTGCAGAAGATCTTTCGCTTGATGGTAGAGATCCAGGTCGGTATTGGAGTGGACATTTCCTAGCGTCCACTCTCCCATTGCCATTAACGCTTTGTGCAGGATCTGCCACGCCAGGCTGGGAGGGTTAAGCGCGCGGGCGTTAAGCTCAGCTCTGAATGTTGGCTGGTGTATGACAGGATGACCTGGATGGTAGTTCATGAAATATGCATCGACGTATGTTTCCTCGTTGGGGGGTTGGCAACGACCTCCCTGGGCCAAATTTAGGCTTGGTTCCTGAAACACTGTACTAACTTCATGAGAAAACTCATTGTCGGCTGATGTTGGGAGAGAGTACAAGAACTGGTCGGGAGAAGCCACTGGCGCTGTAGTCACGCCCAGATCATCTGGAGAAAAGTTGTCTAAGGGTAACAGGAAATTCTCAGCGCGTTGGTCCTCCACCAGAGAATGGACAATTCGTTCCACATCCCCCGTTGGAAATAGTCTCGCCAAGGCGGTCTCATATATACCCAATCGCTCTTCAATACCTGTGAGGTGGCTACGACTCTAGTTGTTAGACTGGGTAACTGGGTGGAAAATCAGCCGGCACTCACGCTCTAGTCAATGGGGTTCGGGAGACCTTCGGTGCATAAGTACACTCCTTCTGGTTATACCTGCATTCTGCGCATGTCGGCCGTTCCTTCGAACACTGCAAAGTCATCAGCATCGGTCATAACTTGAGCCACCAAAGCTACATTATATATTTACCTTCGATTTCCGGGCCCTGCATTCATTACACTGGCAGCTCATTAACATGAATTTGTGTCGATGGGGCATTGAGAGTACTTACAGATAAGATATGTGGATTGCGAGGAGCCATTGGCACTTAATATTATCGTAGATACCCCAGATTATCCCCGATCACATCAGATCCCGGTCCGGAGCAACTAGCTCGGGCAGGACAGTGGAATGCCAGACCGAGTCACGGAACCTTTTTTTTGCATCCCAGGTATTTTTATTTGTTCTGGGTTTCGATTACCAATGTGTGACTAAGTGCTCTCGGTGTGAACCAGCGGATTAGCCTAGTCCGAGCTCCACTCGGAGTCCGAAGATATTGCTATTCTAACCTATATCCGGGGTAATTAACATTGGCCGGTTTCTATGATTTTCGGCTCACCAAGGTATAACTTCGGACTCGCGTGCATCACTGTACGAAGTCGTAGCGCTTACACTCATTGCTGCCCCCACCGTCTCTCTGTACTCCGTGTATCTGGCTATAAAGAGTATCATAGTCAATTGAATTAATTTATTATATTCAGATTTCTGAGTCTAAATTTCTCTCTGCATCTCGCATCAGTTCACCATGTCTAAGCTCATTACCATCTTTGGCGCCACCGGCAACCAGGGACGTTCCGTAATCAAGGCCATCCTTGCCGATGCTGCGGTGTCGAAGGAATTCAAGATCCGGGGTATTACCCGGGATGTCTCCAAACCTGCTGCCCAGGAGTTGGTGAAGCAAGGAGTTGAAGTCAAAAGTGTGCGTCATGTTTTCTGCTCCCCTTACCCAAGTGTCATCCTAATTGACCGCTTTACCAGGCCAATATGGACTCGACTGCTTCCATCCTCGATGCAATCGGCGGCTCCCACACGGTGTTCTTCATTACCACCTCATGGAGCGAGAACGAAGGCGGCCCGGAAGTCGAGCTGACCCACGGCACTAATGTCACCAACGCTGCTAAGGAGGCCGGTGTTGAGCACATCATCTACTCCTCTCTGCTCAACGTTACCGAGATCTCTGGTGGCTGTCTCACACATGTGCCTCACTTTGACCTGAAGCAAAAGGTTGAGAAGTACATCCGTTTTTCTGGTGTCCCGGCCACATTCGTCCTACCAGGCTACTTCATGTCCAACTTTGCAGCATTTGGTATGATCCGTAAGGATGACGACGGCGTTTATAATCTCGCGTTTCCAGTCACCAACAACGCCAAGTTCCTTCTGATCGACGTTCCCGAAGATCTCGGTGCGTTCTTCGTTTCCTTGTATACGTGGGATAATTGACTAACAGTGACAGGCAAATTCGTCCTCGCAGCCATCAAGAAGCGCACTGAGCTTATCGGTGCCCAGATCTTGGCTTCTGCCGATTATTACACTCCCACTCAGATCCTAGCCGACTTCGAAGCGGTTACTGGAAAGAAGACCCGATATGTGCAGGTAGATGCGGAGACATACAAGGGATTCTTGCCGGTCCCGGTTGCCGACGAGCTTTTGGAGAACCACCTTTTTATTGAAGATCCTGGATACTACAATGGTCACAGCTTGGAGGATAGTAAAAGGCTGCTGTCGGGCTTGGGTTTGAAAACGACCTCTTGGAAGGAGTATGTGCAAAAGCACGAGGAAGCTCTAGCCTGAGCGAATTCTATCGAAGATTATGTATAGCACTTCATAACAGATGCATTATACAGCTAGGAATATAAGGATTTATTTCAATGATATTTTTTATACAATAACAAGTAAGAACGCAAGATATGTGATATGTACATATTCGAGAAGACTTATGTGAGGTCTTGATACCTTCTAAGCATTTACTGTCGTCTCAACGTATCACCTATCTTGACAGTGGTGAGACCACTTCGAAATGACATCTGGAGGCTGGCTACCAATGAGCAACATCAATGATCTGAATCAAAAATTTCTAAAATAACAACATTCCGTTCTGGAAGCTTCTTGAAGTTCTGAAATAAATTTCGATCTACTATTCAATTCTGAATATTTCCACCGTCACTGAACAGATGAATGACTTCCCAAAACGGCAAGTGTCAGCACTGGATCTATCACACGATTCCTTTCAGAGCACAGGATGATATCGAACGACAGATATGCACTCCGTGCTGGCGTAATTAGATTCGCTCCGGTGACAACATAGAGCCGACCCCATTCTTCGGTCCATAGAAGCGTACAGCCTGATTAGCATGGATACGAGATATCCGAGTCAATAAAGACATCTCCGCTTTTGGTTATTTAGAGGAGATTTAGATCCTCCTTTCTCGCTAATAATTATAGCAGTTCTACCTTCAATTAACTACAGATTATCACAATGCCTCGTGACATGAGACCAACCAAGCTCTATGGGGGCTACCTTGGTCCGAACCCACTCAAAGCATCCTTCATCCTCTCGGAGCTCGATATCTTCGAATATGAAGTCATCAACCCTAACAGCCGCCTCCCAGCCATCCACGACCCCAATACCGGCATCACCATCTGGGAATCCGGCGCCATCCTCGAGTACATTCTCGACACCTACGACAAAGAGCACAAGCTCAGCTTTGCCCCTGGCACGAAGGAATTCTACCAAGCTCGTCAGTGGCTATACTACCAGGTTACTGGTCAGGGCCCGTACTACGGCCAAGTTGTCTGGTTCAAGCGGTACCATGCAGAGCGGGTGGACAGTGCGGTACAGCGCTATGTGAACGAGATCAAACGTGTATCAAAAGTGTTGGACGAGTGGTTGGAACGCAGAGAGTGGCTTTTTGGTGATAAAATGTCGTATGCTGATTTAGCGTTTGTGCCATGACAAAATAATGTGCAGACCATATTGTCTGATGAGGGGTATGATGGGAAGGAAATTCCGCATATGACGGCGTGGTTAAAGAGGATGACTGAGAGGCCGAAGATGAAGGAATTGGTTGAGGTTCAAGGGAGGCTGTTTCAGGAGATGCAGGAGAAGTTTTTGGGTTAGTGAGGCTCCTGCAGGTGGAATAGTAATGTACATTTTTGGGTCTGTAAAAGCGTTCAATGGTATGTTGACGAATATTCCGTAAACTAAGCCTAAATGATTTGTTTATTCCAGATATTCAGAATGCAATCATTCAAATCCAAGTCATACATACTGCCTTTCCTCTCATTCTTATACTTCTCGTCGACATGCCACCTGACTTGTGCATTCACAATTGTGTTGGTGACTAATCAATGCAAGTAAATACACATGCCAGCCTCGGGATCTTCTCCCTTGACAATTTATCATATATTTTCGTGCAATGGACACGTCGAGATAGTCAGGGATTCGCCCCGCTTCTTGCACAGGGTTTCCAGCAGGCAGGACAAGCTAACCTCTCACCGTCACTTCACCGAACAACAGCGATCGAAATTCCTCCGATGGTGACATACCATTTGATCGTCGCTCGCATTGTATACGCATACGCCTGGCATACACATGCTGCAAGATCTCGAGTCCCGGTCAAATCTTAAATCAAGCATAGGTTGAAGGATCGTTCGGGCAATTGATTCGATGACCGACTGGGCATCTCGGCTAGGCTCTCCTGTCAAAGTGGGACCGAGATCTCGCACTTGTTCGGGGGATCTCTGCGGGTCTTCAGCACTGACCAAGTGCGATTTTTTTGTGGGAAGGGGGGTTCATGATTACTTTGGCTCTGATGTCAGTGGCATAAAAGGATAGAAGACTCCCTGATGTGGGTGGGCTATGAACTGATGCGGGATCCATTCACATGCAAATTCTTTACATCCGGTCTTTTTCTCTTAGACCACGGAACATACGGAATACCGGCAATTCCCATCGTCACTCGCATGCTCGATCTTCGTTGATTCCCAAAATGGCGCGACCCAGTATCCACTTCGGGGTTGTTTACTTCAGTATTGCAGCTCTGGTATATTTAAGACCCGAGTATAGAGTGCTCGACTCGCCCGTCTTGACGTTCATCGGGTTGTCAATTATTGCAACAGCACTTCGGATCATCTATGATTTAAGTTTATATCCTCAATTTTTCACACCTCTCAAACAATTACCGACACCACCGGTGAGATCACTTGCCTACACTTTAGCCCGTCAAAGGGGATTGCTCTGACCGTTTGGACAGACGCGAACATGGCTCCGAGGCAACACGAAATCTATCTTCCTGGAGACTCCCCTGGATGAAATGGCGGACTGGATCAGAAATGTGCACAACGACGGGTTGATTCGTTATTACATGGTTGGAAACCTAGAACGTGTTCTTTTGACGTCCCCCAAAGCCCTCAGTGAGGTGCTCGTTCACAAGGCGTATGATTTCTGCAAGCCTGAACTAGTCCAGCTTCAATTGAGGCGTGTTACGGGGAATGGGCTCCTTCTTGCGGAGGGGGATGAGCATAAGGTGAGACTATTTCATTATAGCTTCCCACTAAAGTATATTAACTCCGTCTGCAGCTACAACGAAAGAATCTTATGCCAGCGTTCTCCTACCGCCATGTCAAAGACCTTTACCCGGTATTCTGGGCGAAGAGCGCCGAAATGGCAAACCTGATCGAGCAAGATGTCAAATCCCGAAATAACCCAGAAGACAACGTCGTCCAGATTGGTAACTGGGCCAGCAGAGCGACTTTGGATATTGTCGGTCTTGCAGGAATGGACCATGACTTTGAGTCTCTACAGGACCCCGACAATGAGCTCAATCGGCAGTACCGTCGATTCTTCGATGACGACCCAAAAATGACCAGAATAATCGTGCTCCTAGGTTTGTTCGCAGTCGACCTGAAAATCCTTCAGAAACTGCCCGTCCGACGTAACAAGATCGCCCAAGAAACGTCAGGGTTCCTCCGCAGCGTCGCTCGGCAAATCATCCATGAAAAGCGCGAGAAAATAGAGAGCAAAACCGAAAACAACGGAGTTGACATAATCTCTGTCGCCCTACAAAGCGGTACCTTCACAGAAGAAAATCTAGTCGACCAAATGATGACCTTCCTAACGGCCGGCCACGAAACAACATCCACAGCCATGCAATGGGCCATCTACGCCCTCTGCAAACATCCAGACATCCAATCCCGTCTCCGCGAAGAAATCCGCACAAGCCTCCCCTCCATTTCCTCTGCCTCACTAGCCCCCTTATCCGCTGCAACCCTCGACTCCCTTCCCTACCTCAACGCCGTCTGCAATGAAGTTATCCGCTTCTACCCCTCCGTCCCAGCGACAGTCCGCATCGCCTCCCGCGACACCACCATCACCGGCGTCCCGATCCCCAAAGATACCTTCTTCATGATCTCCCCGCACATAATCAACCGACAAGAGGAATTCTGGGGGCCCGAAGCAGCTACATTCAACCCAGAACGGTGGATCGATCCCAACACAGGACGCACGAATAAGACCGGCGGGACGAGTAATAACTACGCTTTGTTGTCCTTCCTTCATGGGCCGAGGAGTTGTATCGGGCAGGGGTTTGCGAAGGTTGAGCTGGCTTGTCTGGTTGCCACGATGGTGGGCAAGTTTGAGATGGAACTGAGGGATCCGAACGCGAAGTTGGAGATCAGGAAGGGTGCGACGGTACATCCTAGGGATGGGGTTATGGCAAGGTTGACGCCGTTGGAGGGGTGGTGATTAACAGAGCGAAGGCACCATGGCACCGCACTTGTCTGTAGAAATGGATGCTTGCAAATTTGGTCAGCAGTTAATACAGCCAACTTATCCAATGGTTCTTACCTCTAGGAAGTCATCAGCGGTTGTTGGCGGGGCGCCGGCGAAGTCCTCAGCAAGCAGGCCAATCGTGTCACGTACTCTAGCTGGTCGCTCAAGCCAAAGCAGTCTCCGGGCTGCGTTGTAGACAGCCTGAATGTCTTTGGCCTTGCTGTGTATGCTATTTTTAGGCTTCTTTAGGAGAGATTCGCTAATACCGGCTGTAACCAAGTCAGCTAAACCCTGCGTTGTGCCGGATTGGTTCTTACTGGTCTTCACATCGCCCTCTTCAGTTGTTAAAATATTTTCATCTGTAAAACCACCATAGCAGACGTCCAGGTCTTTGTGAAGATATCTGAGGCCCTTGAGGATCTTCGAAAAAGTCAGTTCAAGCCCTTTACATTTTGTGGTTCATTTGGAACATACCACTTTGCAAATCATTGCCATTTCCACTTCACTGAGCTGATATACTTGCCAAAGCTGTCCAATCTCACTCAATGTGATCCCGCAATGTCCATAATAAAAGTAAACATTGCCCTTAGCAACAAATATTTCCCTGGCAATCAATAAGCTAGGGTGGGAAACTTGGAATAAGTGATAGACAGGGATTTCTTTTCCTTCAGTATTGCAGTGGCTGATGTATCCAACTGGCAACCCATCTTGGAACTCAATAGAGTCAAATTCCCCTCCATGAGCGGCCTAAACCGACAAACAGTCGATCATGCCGGTCATATGGTGAGCCATGCTTAATGAATTCACTTTTCCATTGTCTTGTTGCACTGGAGTCGAGGAGAAGATCGTCCCAGGTATGATGGTTGATGTAACGGCTCAGCCCAGCGCCTTCATCAGCAAACATCATCAACACGGCAAACAATACCATGAAAGCAATCAAGACAAACAAGCTGCTTAGCGAGACCACACACAACCATATGGGACTTCTTCATGTAAATAGACTTGCCTCTATCTTTCTTTTCTTCTCCAGATTCGATATTCTCGTCGATGGCTACTAGATGGTTTAGATAGGAATATCAATTCTTTAATATCTTCTAGCTAATGAGCCCGTGACAGTTGACCTGCGAACAGGCAAGTCAAAAGGTAGATCAAGCTTCTGTGCTGGTGCCATCAGGGCAGCGAATTTCTTTGGAGAGTCCTTAGGGCCGGAAATAAATGAGGGGATATGGAAATGTAAGCCCAAAACTGGGATTGCTATCTTATATTGGACTAAAATATAGCATAATAATTCTGTCTACAATCTCGAGCCTGAGCATAGAGTGGCTGCTACTATAAGTAGGCATATTTTACAGAGGAGACTTGCACACACGGGAATCAGACAAGAGAATCTATTTGATCAAGTCAACCCACCCAGACTGGTATTTAGAGATGATGTCAGCTTGGTTTGTGCGTATGGAAGACACCGACTCGACTCAGAGCTGGAGAGTCCTTCGGAGAATATGAGTGGCTGGTTAAGCTATATTTATCCGGTAAGTGTATAATTCATGATATATTATTATTATTTAATCAAGTTTATTGTCCATAACGAGCCTTAGAGCTATGATAGACCCTTATTCGTGGACTTGAGGCTGGTGGCTATTCTACAGTCTTTTATCCCCATAAGCTCCTGAGGCACTAGCTGTCACGGGCTCGGAATAGTAGATAATAATGAATCAATGTTCCTATCTAGACTATTGCAACCATCGACGAGGATATCGAATCTGGAGAAGAAAAGAGAAGAGGAAATCTATCTAGGTAATGAAGGGGTTTTATAAAGGTTGTTGGCGACATGGCTGAGTAGCAGCATTTGCGATGTATCATTCATTGCTGCAGTGTTGGGCCGTCATATATAGGTTGTCACAGCTTCAACGAAACAAGCTACTTATGAGGACTTTGACAATTTGCTGCCATATATTGGACTTTGGGACCCACTGAAAGCGTACCACATTGAGCGGATTCCTGGACTCCAGTGTCATGAAGTATGTTATTGCTGGAGTCTCCATTCATCATATGTTAATGTTTTATTGGCAGCATGTCTATCACTACCTCAGTGTGATCCACCGGACATGGGCATGTCTTTTCCCGGATGATATAACATATTTGATAGATCCAAGCTCAGTGCGAACTGTCGAGGGTCTAATGCCTGCATATTCAACAAAGGAGTGTGATTAACTTGTGGAACTTATGCAATCACAAATAATTTTCTCTTATGTTCAAGAAAAAACAGAAAGAGACTCTCTCCAAAACAGGCTCCTTGAGGTCCCTGGATGGCTGGTGTCTATCAATACACTCATTCAGGATCCTCTGTATCTGAAACAACCAGTGAAAGCCTTTCGAAACCTTCTCCCAAAACGGTTCAAGGGTACTATTAATGAGGCGATGCTCAAGCGTTGGAGCTCCCAGAACATGAAGGAACTCTCATCTTTCCAAGCTTCAGAGCATGCCTTCATTCCATTGCTTTCCAGAGTCAACCCATTTGCAGCCAGCATGGCACGGCTATGGCTATTTACTCCAAGGCACTTTGTCCAACCACATTCTGATAAGAAGTGCCACCAAACCATGGCAACACAGTCAACTGAGAGATTTAGTCTAGGGAGAATGGCTGCCCTTGCTCATCAACTTGGCTTTTCATCTGACGAAATACACACCCTCCGAACCCATGGCTTCAATCGAACGGATTCAAATCAAATGTTGCGAGCATTTTGTATTATTTCTTTCAATTCCTTTCTCAATTAATTATCTCGATGTATAATCAAAGCAAATGCCTCAGAACTACATTGCCATTTCCAGTCTGGTCAAGGTTATTGCAGAAGATCCTGCCGGTTCTTCTGGTATAATCCCGCAGCTCCTTCAAATTGCGGAAGAACTATATCTCACTGTGGTTTCCAGTACTGCGAGCCCAATCAATCAGGCCAACAATATTTATACGTATTCCTCGCACGGCCTGTAAATTCATATTAATATGATGTCACTGAAAACAACTTGGTACAGTACAGTACAGTACCACATTCAAGACAACTTCTTGGTAGAGGTTTAATCCTCACAGCGCGACAAAGTGAATGCCAAGCAGCAATGTTGTCCTCTGCCCCAAACCAGAGTTTGAACTCTTGAGTAAGCGCTTCCTGATACTGGTCCCAAGCTTGGGCTGAGTCCTTATCGCCTTTACGCCAACTGTAGAATCTTTGGAAGGACGAATACGATTCGTTCGATGGTATATTAGGATCAAATATAAAGCCGTCAAATGATTGAAAAAATCTGTTCAGTGGTGTTTTGGGTAGTTGAGGATGGGTGGGTGAGTCCCGGAGGTGTTGGCTGAGGGCCTCCTGGCTGCCAAACGAGCAGTCACAGAGACCACACCACACCATTGTAACACAGATCATATAGATCCTTTTTATGAGGTGTTGTAAGCCACTTCAGCATTTATCATTTGATCTCAGCTACCTCGCGTTGTTAAAACGAATCACAAAAGTACGCAATGGTGCTGTCACGGGCTCAATGACTAGTAGATAAAAGAGACTATTGAATCTGGAGGAGGAAAGGAAAGAAGGAGAAAGGCCTATTTACACAAGAAATCCATAGACGTTGTGTGGTGTCGCTAAGCTGCCGTTTGTCTTGATTTTCTGTATGGCATCGTTTGGCATGCCGATGTCGTTTGTCAATAGCAGCGCTAAGACACTGAGCAGATACCCAATCATATCAGCCGCCTGTGTTAGGCTCAGAAATACTCAGCAGCCTCCTGTCTTCTATTAAGAGTTGGTTCTAGTAGCCAAAAAAACAAACATGCAATGCAACATAAGCACCTACAAACTACCACCCACAATCAAAGACGCATCCTAACAGTGAGATATTGATGCCTCGAAAAGTGACACTTTATATGGAATACAGAGGTGCGGCGTTCGCCTACATGCGGCGCTCGCTTGCCGGTTACGTTACGCTACTAGTTATACCAGATGGTGGGTTTTCAGCTGAGAAGATCACTAAATGAGCTGAAATGGCGGTGGGGCTCACTGATAATGCACCCAAAGAGCCGTCTATTGCCCTACCATAGTAGGCAAGAGCGGCCGGTTCTTATCCTACCAGGGAACAATGTTTGTCAGTACTGTACTATAGAGGAGACAAGAAACCTCAATCAATCTCGCAATGGGCCGGGTTTACACCCCCGAACGGCGAATCCGACTGGATTCGAGGGCACGCAAGCTTTCACTTTTCGCTATTTTCGTATACTCCTAGGTATAGAACCCAGCGATCAAGTAGTCAAAAACAGGATCAACTTGGTACTTGGTACAAACAGAACAACGGAGGAGATTCAATAGCGTAGCGGATTAGTATCAAAAAATTATACTGAATAATTCCCCTGAACAGGTAGTGTATTGACTTGGTACCCCACAGTTCAGCTAGCCACAGATCCATTATTGTATTGTATTGCACTGATCTGACTTGTGGTTTTGGGTAATCTGACTGATCAGTTCTGGCAAGCCACAAAGCTCCGTCTTACATTACAGCCAGTCATCTTACCACCATACAAAACAGTGGGTCTTAATTTTCAGCAAGGTCCAAGCCATTACGGTATTTTTACTTCGGACCTTGAATTCCTAAACCACTACTGGTAATGCCTAAGCAAGGTCTGCTGATTATAGGGTTCTTAAATTTGAACACGAGCGTCAGAGAGGTTTGAGTAACTTCAGTTTAAGACTCTTTGTTCTTCCCCTAATCGAATCTTCCTGATAGCGTCCTTCGGCGGACTTCTATCCGGTAATATGACAGCAGTTTTTCTCATGTTTCTTTGGCTCTGCATTTCGCATGTTATTGCTCTTAACGATAGCACTGCGCTATGCTTCAAATCCGTACTACTCCCCTTTACACTTCTCCAATAAGCCAGCTGTGCATGACTAACTTACAAAAAAAGAGGCCAGACATCTGTGCTCCTGTCTTGAATGTGACCCATTATGAAGCTGGACAGGTTTCCCCGGGCTACCTGTTCGTAGCTCCTATGCATTTGCAAACTGGATCATCATCAGCCCCATACATCTACGATGGCTTTGGAGTGAGTATTCCATTACGTGATTCGGGCAACACTGACATGCGCATGTAGGAGTTGGTCTGGTCAGGTGCGGGAATCAACCAAGGTGAAGTGTACGATTTCGGCCCATGCCAAGTATCCGGTGAGGTCAAGTTATGCATGCTAGACATGCGTGATGGCAACCCACCTCAAGCAACGGGCCCGGTCCTCATCGTCGATCAACACTTGAAAGAAGTGGAAATTTTCGAACAGGTTGGGAGTACTCCATGGTTTGATGAACATGAACTGAAGACAGTCGACAATGGAATTGGTATCTTGACGATTTTTTATAAGCCACGATCATGGAATCTGTCCAACCTAGGCGGTCCGTCTGCAGGATACGTAATTACCAGCGGTTTCCAGGAGATTGACCTGGACACTCGCAGGGTCAACTTCTCCTGGGATGCATTGGATCACGTCGACGTCGAAGATTCGTATATGGAACTCGGCTCCACAGAGCAATGGGGAGACGGTTCTAGTCAACGCACTGCATGGGATTACTTGTACGTTTCCTGCTTGGGATGATGTAGGCATGTGTCCTTTAACAGATTACTAGTCACTTGAACTCCATCGACAAGAACAAAGACGGCGACTATTTGATATCTTCGCGCCACACGAGCACGGTCTACAAAATATCGGGCAAAAATGGCACTATACTCTGGCGGCTGGGAGGCAAAGCATCCGACTTCAACTTTGAGCCAGGTCTAAATTTCAGCTCCCAGCATCACGCACGGTGGCTAGTGTCGAATGAGTCCGTTGAAATTCTCTCGCTCTTCAATAATGCATTTGACAAGTACCATAAGACCGCGTTGTCATCCTCCGGTCTTGTTTTGCATCTAGATATGCAAACAATGCATGCGTCCCTTATCAATCGCTACCCTGCGCCACACGATCTACTTTCAAATAAGGAAGGCAGTGTGGACATTTTACCAAATGGGAATGCATTGTGTGACTGGGGTGCGTCGCCATTCTTGAGCGAGCATACGTGGGATGGGTCTCGGGTCGTATGGGAGGCTCATTTTGCGGACCAGAATGCCTTGACTTATCGTGCCTACAAAGCGAATTTCACTGCTACTCCATCATCCAATCCGGATGTCTTATCTATGGCACACACGAAATCTGGACCAACTGTGTGGTACGTATCGTGGAATGGCGCGACAGAGGTGCGGTCCTGGAGAATATATGCTTCATACAACGGGCTGGATGACCTGGAATTGATTGGTTGTTTCGAGAAAGACGGGTTTGAGACACAGATTGAGACAGATTCGTTTTTTGCTTGGGCAATCATCGAGGCTGTCGATGGGGTAGGCAACGGGATTCACAACACTACCTCGAGAGTCCGCGCAGCGCTTCCCTACACGCATCTAAGTCAGGAAGTTGGTCAAGCAGTTTTAGCACCCTGACCTCGACTGGACTGTTTGCAGCATTCTTAGCGAACTTTCTTCCGTGGAGACCTGCTCAGCACTAAGCGGGCTTTTTGTCTTGGTCTCAGTTTCTCAAGTGGACCGACCTGGTAAAGGACCAGAGTTCATGCTAGCTGTATTTACAAGTGGATCCACAGGATCGCAAACAAATCAAGTCAGGGAGACGATCTTCCTTTGTAATAACCCTGTGCCCCGTACAGTACGAATAGTTAACGTAATCCACGGCCATGTGACGAACACGGCTGAGTGACGAATTTTCGCCTCGCCCACCAACGTGTTGAGATTCTTCATCTTTTTCTACCATATCCTTCAAAATGCCTTTATCCCAAGAAAATCGCATGCAAATGGCTATTTCTGCATATAAAAACAAAAAAAAATCAAATCAATATTGAGAGCTGCTGAGATATATGGTGTATCTGAGGCTACTCTTCGTCGTCGACTTAAAGGAAAGAAACCACGCGCAGAAACACGTGCCAGTGGTCATAAATTGACATCTCTTGAAGAGGAAGTCCTTGTAAAGAGTCTGCTTGATGCAGATAAACGAGGCTTTTCAATTCGGCCTGAATACCTACGTGGAATGGCGCAGATTTTACTTCGTGATCGAACACAAAATTCAACTGCAACCCTTGGAGTTAACTGGGCATATTCCTTTACCAGACGCCGTCCTGAATTACGTACAAGATATAATCGAAGAATTACATACCAGCGGGCAAAACAGGAAGATCCAAACGTCATTAGACAGTGGTTTGAAACTGTACACAAAGCCATTGAGGAACATGGTATCCATGAGGATGACATCTGGAACTTTGATGAAACTGGCTTTGCGATGGGACTCTGTACAACATCTAAGGTGATTACTGCAGTGGAACGCAGTGAGAGACCTCGTACAGTTATCCAGGGGAATCGAGAATGGGTTACAATCATTGAATGTGTCAGTTCTAAAGGGATTTCTGCACCACCAGTGGTTATTTTAAAGGGAAAGGAACATCAGGCTGCTTGGTATCAAGAACCTGCACTCCTTCAGGATAGGAATCGAGACTGGAGGATTGCAAAGAGTGACAATGGCTGGACAACAGATGAGATAGGCCTTCACTGGCTAAAGGATGTGTTTGAACCATATTCCAAACACCATTCAACTGGTGCAAAGCGGTTGCTTATTCTTGATGGTCATTCTAGCCATCTAAGTGCAGAATTTGATACCTTCTGCAAAAAGAACACAATTATCTGTCTCTGCGTGCCACCTCATACATCTCATCTTCTTCAACCACTTGATGTTGGAGTCTTTGGGCCGCTTAAGCGCGCATACAGCAAACTGGTTGAGGCGTTGATGGTTGCTGGAAATAACCACATTGACAAGGAGGATTTCCTGCATCTATATCCTTCTGCACGCGAAAAGTTCTTTAATCAACAGAATATCAGCAGCGGCTTTGCGGGAGCTGGTCTTAAGCCGCTTGATCAAGACCAGGTTCTTGAAAAGATTACTTTTCAACTTCGTACACCAACACCACCACTTGTTGAAGGTTCAATATCATCTGCTTTTCAAACACCTCAGAATCCTTGCCAGCTTGATCACAAGATCCACAGCTTGCAAAGAAGCCTTAATTCAAGAAATCGCAAGCTTTCCAGTAGTCCAATGTCTCATATCTATCATCTTGAGAAGACTGCACAGATGCAAATGAGTATGAATGTTCTTCTTCATGAGCGAATCAAGGTTTTAGAGGCCGAGAATGAGCGGAAAACTAGAAAGAAGGCAAGGAGACATGCTAGTCTAGGGAATGATTTACTTTTATCAGTACAGGAAGGTGAAAATCGAACTCAGCAGCTTGGTTTGCAGCTTAATGAGGATATTGGCGATTCTACACCTAGGCCTCGTCAGCGAGCTCCATCACGCTGTAGTGGCTGTGGAACCATTGGACATACAATACGAAATTGTCCTAATAAATAACTATATATTCAACTAGTTAATAGTCGTATTTAATGGCATTGGTGGTTGAAAGCCTTTAAAAACATAGTGGGCGAGGCGAAAATTCGTCACTCGGCCGTATTCGTCACATGGCCGTGGACTACGTTAAATGTGTACGACTTACATAAGCTATTTTTACCACCGCCACTAAATCATCGATCCCAGCTGACCTGCGACCACCGAATAAATCTCCATCTAAAATGGCTGATCATCGTAGTCGTACAATACATGTATTATTTTCCGCTTTCCAGACTTCCACTTATCGTCCAACAGGTCCCTGGCTTATGAGCAAGCAATGGCAGGTTTATCTTAGGACGCATTCTGGCGTCCTTCAACTGCATATTACAGAGACGAAGCGGGTATAGGTGACGCCGACATTCACAGGTGGATCTGCAACATTATACTAGTTTTCAGCTCCGTATGTCGATGTGGGTCTTTTGAATGTCGACCTCAGCTATGTTTTGGAGCCTGTCGGTTTTGTAATTCATGGAGAAACAAAATTTTCTTCCTTTCTTCGCCTTCAGGATTAGGATTTAAGTCCAGTTTGAATTCAGCGGCAATGGGCAGAGGTCCACATGTTCCAATGGCCGGTGACACTGGCGCTAAGGCGGATGAAACGGCCCCTCTACTGCCATCTTCCGCAGAAGGGGATTCTCGCTCGGTAGGTTGATATTCTCTTTGGCCCAATCAATCACTGAAGAGAACTGGCAGGGACTGGACCACGCCGATGAAGTGGACGAGGAAAACCAGCCCACCATAGATGGGAGCAGTGGTAAAGAGGGAACTCGAAAGTTTCTCAATGGCTTTATTGCTATCCTCCTAATAGGTAGGCAGCAGCATAGTACAGCTGTTGAGTTATGATTACTTGTGCTAATTTGCCTGTTTGCAGGTGTTTTAGTTTCTCAAGCGGACACCAGTATCGTGCTTGTGACTTACGGACAGATATCCTCCGAACTCAATGACTTCCAGTCCGGAAGCTGGCTTATGACAAGCTACATGTTGGCACAGTGCATTGCGCAACCGTTGGTTAGCTGTGACATTACTGTTCAAGCCCAGAAGTCTATAGCTAACATGTGATAGTATGGAAAGCTGAGCGACATCTTCGGACGGAAATGTTGCCTCCAGGCCTCGTACATGATATTTGTAATCGGCACAATGGGCTCAGGACTGGCAAAGTCCATGTCTCAAATCATCTCGGCACGGGCTGTTCAGGGCTGTGGTGGTGCGGGCATGGTTTGTGTAGTGGCTATTCTTCTGACTGATCTTGTCCCTGTGCATGAAGTGGCACTGTACCGCTCGTATGTCAACGTCATACAAACTATAGGCCGGAGCTGTGGAGGCGCAGTCGGTGGCTACCTTGCACAAGTGATTGGTTGGAGATGGTACGTTAGCACTGGCTTGCTGCTTGTTCCAACTAACATCACTTGCAGGGTTTTTTTGGGCCAATGCCCGCTTGTTCTTGTTGCTCTCTGGCTTGTCAATAAGAAGCTGCCAGACATCACAAAGAGACCATCCAACAGACATAGTACATGGGATAAACTCAGGCGCGTTGACATTGCAGGAGCAATTTCTATGAGTCTCAGCATTGTATTTTCCTTACTCATACTTGATACGGGTGGGCAGAGGCTCCCATGGGATCATCCCATAATAATCGGTGCAGCTGCAATTGCTCTCGCGAGTGGCACTATGTTCGTTCTCATCGAAAATCACTGGGCGCAGGAGCCAATATTTCCACTCAGGTTGATAACACAATACCCCGTGGTCAATTCTTATACATTGATTGCGCTCCAGAATTTGACACAAATAGCTGTATGAACCCTAGCTAGACTGATTACCAAGGTGGCTGACAGTGCTGGCAGCTTATGGTTACAGTGCCACTGTACTGGCAAGTGACAAAGAATGCAAGTCCGGCTGCTGCAGGGTTTTATCTTATCCCGGCCATCATTGGCAATACGCTGGGTGGTCTTCTTACAGGCAGATGGATTATGAGGTCAGTCAAATACCCGAATTTCATAGATCGAAGTTCCTGTGCCTCGACTCATGACATCCAGATATCGCCGTTACAAACTGCCTATTGTGGTGGCATCAGTGAATTCGATGTTTACTTTTGCGTCGATAATCATCTACTGGCGTGGAAACACAAGCCCACTGGAAAGTCTACTAATCTTCTCCGGGGGTTTTGGAACGGGAATTGCTCACTCGGCAGTCTTTGTATCACTCGCGAATGGTGTGGCAGATGAGGACATAGCCATCGCAAGTTCAGGATTTTATCTCAGCGGAAATATTGGGGGTAGGCCTCGAAATGGTGCGGTCCCGGTCCTATAGTCGGCGACCAAGGACCGGACCACGCGGTCTTGCGGTCCTGAAATGTCAGGACCGGACCGGACCATGGTCCCTTGCGGTCCCTTGCGGTCTTGACCGCGGGGGACCGCAATTGCATAAAATTGCCAAGACTTTCCTTTTTCGGCTGGATAATTTGCTGATTCATCTGATTTTTTACCATTATTAAATACTGTCTTGGTTTGTATATCAAAATCTCCTGTAATCATACAGAGGTAAATAGTATTTTGCCAATTTCTTGGAGTTATACAATAATTTTTTACCAAACTACAGTTGGATTTAATGATCAATATACAACGCAATGCCTTTCAGTTATAGGTTGCCGTTAGATATGGATTTCATCAGCATTCAGCAGCCTACAGACCAGTTCATCTCATATACTACAGGCTGCTGGGTATATATATATATATATATACATGGGTAGACATTACGGAGTAAATATGAATTGCTGTGCAACTTCGGAATGTATATAAATATATGGCTATTTTTGCTTCGGAGATGGTTGATAGCGGAATGAGACTGATATAGATGATAT